TCAGTTTTAACTAACAGAATGGTGTTGCAATTACAGGCTATAAAGTAAATTGACCATCGTACTTGCTTTATTAAAAATAATTGCTAGAAACTTGATGGTACCTTATCTTTCTTCTTCAAGAAGTTAATGAGGGAGGGGAGACAAGGCACTTGGACTCAGCATTGCAGAAGATCAAGTCCAGTCCTGTAAAATAATAACAGAAAATGCAGTGGGATCTGAAATTTGCCTAATTAAATGTTATTTTATCTATTGCTACAATATCTTTCTTGACAGGTGATATATTTCTGAAGTCTCATTTAAAATACTGCAACAAAAGCATTGTGATAAGAAATCTGTGTTGGTTTCAAAGCATCTGCAACATTTCAACAGTATCATTTAAAAATTATGAAATAGCCATCAATATTATTTGCAACATCAAATCAAGAAAGTGATTTGCTTCATGTGCCCTTTTTTTCATCCTGTATTATCATATCTGCTCCACTGTAAAAAAACAGATGGGTTATTCCTCTCCTAAGAAAAGCCAGATGCCCTCTTTATATCTGCCAACACACACTTTTCTATAAGCAGAATATCAGGCTGTTTACTTCTAATGAAAACATTCTACAGGTCCATCAAATAAAGTACTCCAGCATCGTTAATAACTAACCGCTGTTAATAAAACACCACAAGGAAAGATAATGTAAAATAGTCCTAAGTCATTACTAACACATACAAGATTGTTATGCTGTATTTCTTAATATTCTCCGTGCTCCCATTTATAGATTTCAAACACTGGGACTCTGACTACTTCCTGTAAATATACACTATGCAGTGCATATGTAGCAATAATTTGCAGCCAACATAACAAAATATAGCAAAAGGAACAAAAGTAATATAGAACCTGGCAGAATGAATCCTAACAATGTGCTTAGGACCTTGGATTTACCAGAACCCACTGTGTCTTCATGCACGCGTACTTCCATTGCTCTGCTTTCCACAAAAGGGAGATTCCAGGCCATTTAATCATAAATTCCTGGGATGACTCTCTCTCCTTGTTTGTGGGATTTGTTTTTTAATTGTGTTTACATTCTTGTGTGTGGGTTGGGAATTTAGGTTTGTTTGTGATGAAACATCAAAGTTGAGTCTGAAATTAATACCGTGCAGTCATATATTCTTTGCACCTTCCCACAAGAGGACGATAGAAACACACAAGCTACAAAGTTTTATGCAACATTAATGGGATTAAACTAATCTGCAAAGCTTTGTGTGATGAGATTCTGCTTCCCCATACAAATTTGCTACTGTTATTTTTCCTATTACTTGCTTATTGATTTTCTGTTTTCTTTTTCAGATTTTACAAAAAAAAAGCTTTCTAAATCTTCATGTGATATAAAAAAAATATTAATATTCTGTAAACATGCAAGTATATCTAACTGATATATCTAATTCTGTTTGTCAGAAAGTATCATTTTAATCCTGACATATGCATTGCACAGGTATGTGGCCCATAATCTCTCTCCACATAGCATCACAGTGGTTATTGTACAAATTACACCACCACACGCAGGAAATTATCAGCAGTTAGAGCAGATAAAAGCTCGAACTGAGATTGCTATATTTTTTCAAGGAGTCCTCTCGGTTATCAAAAGCTACACAGGTAATTTAGCAGAACTGCTAGTAAATAAAAAGTCCTCAGGTTCTGCGGAAGAACTTTGGTGGTTCAAAATCAAGAGAGAGTGAAAACCAACAGTGTGGGGCTTGCAAGAGGTGCCAGCGAAGAGACAGCAGACTGAGATTCTCATCAACATAAGGTTAACCAAAGTTACAATTTGAGTGTTACCCGAGAAAGTATTTCTCTCCCAAATGTTGTGATGTTTTTCAGGGAAAACGTTTACATCTGAAAGTGCATGAGCTGCTACTCAGATTTACACAACACATTAATGGCTAGCACAACAATCCAGTGGAGCAATCCATTTACACTTTGCAGACTGAATAATCAGATGTGGTTTGGGATCCTTCTTCCCCAAGATCAGTTTCACATTTCACCACTTCTAACTGGCTGCTTCTGGACTAGTAGGGAAGAATATCATCCACCTATAACCTCTGAGTTATAAACTAGATTGGGGAGCTGATCTATCTGGCTTTAAAAATATACGCACCTATTTTAAATATGTGTATATGTATTTTAAATAAAACATATTTCTAGAGATTTTCACCTGGTTCATTTTTCAGATTGATCATTATCCTGATCTGGTTCACAGTCCAGCCACACAAAGAGCTGCAGACACAGCTAAGGGTTGGTGTGCTGTGTTGCAAGGGCAGGAACTAGGAGCAGGTAGGAACCAGAAATACAGCAAAGGCTTCATGTCATCAAGCCACAGCCTTATTTACGATGTGGCTGCTTTTGCCTGGACTAGGAAAGAAATTAATTTCAGTTCCTTACATTTGTCTTAGCTATGCAGAAGAGACCTGTATCCTCCATGAGTACATTTAGTAACCATGACTCAGTGCAATTCCTTTATTGCAAAGCCAAACCAAAATTCCAGCACACTTATACAATAAACTTTCACCATATCTTAATTATAAATGGGCACACTGTCCACTCAGAAAAACAGACCATCGTACATGATAAAGATCTCCAGCGAGTGCAAACTAGACAGAATTCCTAATTTTAAAGATTTGCATACATTTGAAATTTCCCTGGGGTTTGTCTTCCTAATACCCCAAGTTCACCCACACATTTCCTGTCCTCACCGACTGAGCTGCAGGCTGCACGAAGGAGAGATTGGTTCTGTGCTAAGGTTTAAACCTCTCCCCTCAAGAGTGCTCCAGCTCCACATAGCTTAGGTTAAGCCTTTGCCTGTTTACATGCAAGCCACTGTCCAATATAAATGAGTTCTGGCTTAATGAGTACAGGCTCTGGTGTGAGGTTGACTGACAGTGCAGACACAGCCTGATGTGCTCCAGCACTCACGTCTGAGCTGGCACTGCACTTCCAGCCATCACACAACTCCAGCCTGCTGCTGGCTGCTGTTCCTTCCCCAAACAAGAGCTTAAATGCAGAGTCTCATACCACTCAAATGCTTTACTGCTAAAATATTTTTCTGTTGAGGATGGTCTGAGGAGGTGATGCTATCCAGCCTCCTCAGCTATCTCAGCCTTGGTGCTTCAGAGGAAATCCTACCAAACAATTAATTTAGTCTAACCAAAATCAATGGTTTTGCAAGTCTAGATCACATTTCTCAGCCAAGCCCTACAAAAATACCTTACACTTCACGTCCTGTGGTAACATGGATCTTGTTGAGCAAAGATGCCTTGCTGGCATGCCTTGGTTCTATTAGATTTCCAACAAGGACCTAAATGAAAAGCAGTAGGGTCTTCCATTTTCAGTACATGGTGCATCTCCCTATTGTCTCACCTTTGCAACACAAAGATCTTCTCAAACACCAACAAGCATAACTTGTAGCCCCTCATTGGAAGACTTCAACGTAAACAGGGAACAGAAGGATTTAGTGAGGTAGCAAAGAGCCAAACAGATTATTTAGGAAATTTGACACAGGGTAAATTGAGCCAAATCATTCCATGTCTGAAATTAAAGACAATCTCTTCTCTGTACCAACATTTCTCAAATATTCTTACTTGAATAACACAGATCCCTAGCCCTGTGAAAGCACAGCATGTATTTTCAGGGCATTGAGAGCACTTACTCCAATCTCCATTTAGGTCTGCTTCAGCAACTATGGGACATGCCTAAATGATCAAATGCAGACAGATGTGTGCTAGTTCCACCTGCGCTGCATATTACCTATGTTAATATACAAAAGTTTCCTTTCTTTTTTTTTTTTTTAATTGGTAGAAATGTCATCTCCTTTATGACCCTCTTGACTGCAGTAAGAGTATTTCCAAAGCTGCACGATGAACCAGAGAAAGAAATTATAACCCAGAAAATACTATGAGTTAGGGTTTAGGGGGCTGGTTTTTGTTTTGGTGGATTTTTGTTTGGTTGGTTTTTTTTTGGCTTTAAACAGTTCTAGTTCACCATGTGAACCTGAATGCCATCTGGCACAAAGAAAGGCACGAAACACATCCAGGAAGATCTCTTCCCCTGACATGAATTCCTAGCTTGGACACAGTGCTAACATAACTTGACAACTTTAAGGCCCCACCTGGTTTGGCATTTTGCTGATTTGAAGCATGAGAGTTGCAGGGAGCTGCCTAAATAAGAATGCTGGAAGCTGGACCTATTTCTAGTTTATAGTAACAGCACAGAAATTAGTACTCTTGTCTCCGGTACCATCCCTTCCCTGGCTCTTACCAAGTCCCAAAGCAGCACAAAGAGCCCCACAGCATGACAGCTGCTCGGCAGCTGGCTCACTAATTTTCTAGACTTTTACAATCAGCCTTGCCAACAAATTAAGTGCAAGCACAAGGCAAATACTTTGAAATTGTCAACATTTCTGTTTATCGCCCAGAGGAGTAGGCAGAATACAAATGCAAAAAATCACTTCCCCTTAAATTCTGTGTTTTGTTGTCTTTTTTTTTTTTTTTTTTTCAGCCAGCTGAACTACAGTTTGCTCCTTGCACTCAGAACAGCATCAGGTTTTGCTCTTTATTCTATTTTACAGGGTTTTTTTTTTTTTTTTGTTAAGGCGGAGGCCTACGGACGCTGGTAGGTGAGGAAACATTCCCTGGGGTGAGCGGAATCACCTCAGCGAGCAAGCAGAAGTGTCCCTAAACGAGAAGGGAGACTTTTCCCCACAGGGCCGAGGGACCCGGGACGGGTCTTTCCCTGAGGTAAGCCATCCTCCACGGCTGCTTCACCTGCTCTCCGCGACCCGGACAGCGCGGGGAGAACCGCCCCAGCCGCCCGCCAGCCCTGAGGGGAGGCGGCAGAACCCGGCGCAGGCGGCCGAGGACAACAACGTACCCCGCGTCGGCCCGGCGCTGGCTGGCGGGGCGGGAGCGGGGCTGTGGGCGGCCCGGGCCGGCCCGAGGAGGAGGGAGGAGGGGAGCGTTGCGGCGGTGAGGGGAGGGCAGGGCTGAGCCGTGCCGGGCGGGCGACACCTGGGCGGCTGCGCTGCCTCCTCCTCCTCTCACGGTAGGTTTCGACTTTCTTCCCCGCCCGGAAACTTGGTGGTGGAGCCGCGTTTTTGCCGCTGTCGCAGGCCGAGTTGGCGCTGAGGTTTCCCTCGCCTTCTCCTTCCCCTTCCCCGGGGGCGAGCGAGCCCCCTTTGCCGCCCCCGGCGCCTCCAGGTGAGCGGTGCGGGGGGGGAGCCCGCGAGGGGCGCGGGGTTCCCGCCGCCGCGCTGAGGGGCGGGAGGCCGCGGGGGGGTCGCGGATCCGCTGTGGAAGCGGCGGAGGGCGGCAGCTCCTGCCCGGGCGTCCTGTTCCCTCAGCTTGAGGGTTTCTCGGCCACGACCGAGCCGGGCGGGAGAGTAAATGTAGGTCTTTTATCATTACACAGGGCAGCAAGTATGAGTAGGGCTGGGCAGCGCAGGTGAAGGCTGCCTGCCTGCCCCAAGGGTTTAACTCTTCAAAGGTCGGTCTTGCCGACAAGCTGTGCTCGGGCCTGTGTAGGACATCCCAAACTCGGCGTTTTGGCTGCTTGCATGGGTCAGAGGGAAGCTGTAGGGCAAAATTTCTTTGCTAGGAGATGTAGAGGTACTATGCTGGCAAGTTTCTGGTGCTGTGCTGGTAATTAATGCAGAAAAAGCCTATAAATAGAAGATGAGATAACAGGCAAAAGAGAGCAACGTGACAACGTGGACGTTTTGGAAATGCCTTAAAGGTAAGAAATACAGGTGATGTTAAATATGAGGTAATGCTCTGGAGAGGCTTGGAAAGAAATGTTTAAGGGATGCTATATGACTGAATGTTTTCTATTTCATTTAGAAGTCATTCATGAGGGGTTTAAAGTGGGGTGAGGCTGTGTGCTGCTGAAGAGACTCTGCTGCTCGGTTGCGTGAACTTGACATCTCTCTACTTCTGACATTAGCTTCGTTATCTGATTGAAAACAAACAGAACAGGCAGCAGCCAGCTGATGCCAGCACAGGAGGTGGCGGGGAGAGCGGGACTGCCCCTTTCGGTGGCAGTGCAGGCTTAGTTTGCTTTAAGCCATGCTTGAAACGACACTTTCAATTCCTTGAGCGATTTTTTTGGTCAGACTTTACCTCGGTAAAGTAAGGAATGTAAAATGAGTGTTTCCCTCTTGCTTAACAAACCTAAAAAGGTCATATTTTCACTTTCTGCTCCTGTTTTTTAGCCCAGATGAAAGGAGCAGAGCTGTATAAAGGCTCCATAGGAAACACTATTCCAGCTCAAGTGCAGATAATAAGTGTTAAGGGGGGGTCTCTTCTGTGCAAAGGGTATGTCAGGGCAGGGTCACAACATACAAGCCTATGGAGATAACAGGCAGCCCAGGGAAGTTTCTGTCACTGTCACACAGCCCCAGAGTTGTCCAGGCTAATCCTTCAGCATCTGGAGACTCCAGAGCAGCTCAAGGTTTGGGTAGTGTGCTGCAGTTTAAAGAACTGTAGTTATCTTCCTGCAGCAATGCCAGTTGTGTGCTGTGCCTCTGAGGGACAGCACTGACGTTTGTCCTTGATGCTTGAAGGCCAGAGTTTTGGCAGTTCTCCAGCAAAGAGAAAGCAGATTGTGCACATGGCTCCTTCAAAACAAAACTTCTTTCTCTTAAGTTACACACTCAAGCTCTTCTTTTACAACGTGACTAAGCAGATGCAGTGTATCTGCTGCTGAAAGAGGCTAAGGCAGCGGTAATATTTAATCCCTCCCCCAAAGGGATTTGCTCCCTGAACCAGCTCATGAAGTCAGAACAGCACCAGTGCTTGTGCAGGGAAAAACAAAGGGCTCATGTGGCTGAGGATGGATCAGAGAAATGATAAACAGGAGGCCAACCTTCTGTGGGGTTTGCGAGCTGTTGGAAAACTCAGCTGTGCTGTAAATCCACACCTTTATTCACCTTATTTATGTGTCTGCTCTAGTACGCAAGCTTGATGCATATGTAACTCATTTAAATAACGGAGATGCACTGGCATAAAACCCCAATGAAATGAAACGGAATTTTCTAACCAGATGAATAGTGAGGGAGGTGAGCAAGGGTTAAGGAACAGACCCAACCATATGGCCTGGGGAGTGCTAGTTGTAAAAGGTGGAAGAAACAGCTCCAGAAGGTACCTGGCAGCTAAATGACCTCCAAAAAACCACGAGGTTCAAAGATACTGGATGAAACAGGTTGAGGATTATTCTGGATAACAGTACTACCCGAATGTCGATTCCAGTAACTTCAAATAGAAATTGTAATTAATGGTTTCATAAACTACGGTAGCGTTATACTTTCCTAAGTAATAAGAATACATTTAAAAGAATAAATATAACTGCAGAATAAAATATCTGTAGTTCACAAAGCACCCCCTGCTGTATTTTGTTACTCTTCCTTGTGCATTGCTGTATATTTCTTGTTTTCTGCATTAGAAAATAAATAATCCTGCTGCAACTACTGTATTGATTACACTTTGGAAATTAAGCTGCATCATTTCATTCTGATTGTGTGTATCTTGCCAGAGTAGTTGCAGCTGTTGTCTTACTCACAGGCCTGAGTATGTTTTGCTGGGTTAATACAAAACCCTCTTGTTTGGCTTTTCCTTCTCAGCTTACTTTAGTGGTGCTGTTCATACAGTTGTTAGGAATTGTATTTGACAGTTCCTTGTCAGTTTATGTTCCCTGATTTACAACACATAAAATGTTGCTCTTGGCTTAGAAATTTCTTGACATGAATTGAGTTTGCAAATATCTGGCAATTTTTTTGATGCCTTGGGTAAGAAATTGCCCATAAGCCCATCTCACAAACCATCTGACGTGTTAGAGGGGATTCAGATGAACGTGAATAGTAGGAATTACTATGCTGGTCCAGGAAAAAACCACTCAGGGCTGTAAGGAGGGAAATGGAATAAAGCTGGAGGAATCTGGAGAGACAATCGTCAGTTTGCAGGCAAAGGCTGGTTTTATGTCTATATAGTGGTCCCCTGAGTTTAGAGGGTCTGTGCAAATTTTGTTCGAAGACTGTAGTGTTCTTTATTTGGAATATTCTGTAAGGAAAGTACTGGAAGGGATTATGTATTTAAAAAGATGTGTTGTCTAGCTTTGTCTACTATTTGCCTGGGCCTTAACTCATGCAAGTTTTGTAAACAGCTGCAGCAGACTCTCTTTAAAAGCTGATTTTCTGACAGTTAAAAAGGGGTTGAGATAAAACTTGACCTGCTCCTCTGAGAGTTTAAGGGGCTCGCCTGTGACATCAGTTGTGTTGCAGTTGTTGAAAGTCCAGTAAATCACGATCAGCCCTATTTGTAAAGTTCTCATACTTATTAACCTCCCACCTCTAGACTAATAAATAACAGATAAATTTTTCTCAGCCAGTAAGTGCTATTGCAGGTTTCTAAGTAGAAAATAAATAAATAACTAAAGCAGTCCCTGCCCTGGGAACCTTAGATCTGAGGATATCCTCTTTTATGTGATCTCAACTGGTAGTGAACAAAAATTGCCGTCTGATTATTTCAAGTAGGATACATAAAAATAAACATAATGGGTCTTCTGGGCCTTTTTGTACTTAGGATAAAAAAAAGTTCCCTGTGAGGTTAACACCTGGGGCTAGTTGGCTACTTGACTCCTAATATCAACAGGCTGAAGACTGAACAGAGAAAGGAGATTGCTTCCCCATTCCTATGTCTACCCGGACGTAACTGAGGAAGAATGTGGTTGCTGCACTGATTTGTGGATAGTGGAAGGACTTTGGTCTGTTGTTCCAGCTCTCTTAACTGGTGAGACAGCCATGCCCATTTTTAAATTATTTTTAGAACAAGGGAAAATAAAATTATCAATTTATGTATACTGTAAATATGTGCCCAGTAAGGTAAGATAATAAAGGTTCTTAAAGACCTGTTTCTGATGCCAGTTTGGACACGGTTTTAAATCAGGATAAGAATTGAAGAAAAAAAAAAAAAAACAAACCAAAAAAATAAACTAGAAATGTCTCTGGCAGTTTTGTTTTCCTGTAGCTGTGAGGGTTGTTTGTTTTAAGTCTAAAGTCAACAAGATACACCAGGAGAAATTGTATGGTGAAAAGGCATCTTGAATTACATGTGCAACTGTACTTAAGCTCATGAGCCTGAAATACAGATGTCCTTTGCAGCAGAATGTGTCTCAAGTCTTTTAAAAATGAACCATAATAACGTTCTGTAAATCTCTAGAGGAATCTAATTTTTAATCTGGAGATTTAATTTTTTTTATTTTTTTATTTTTTTCTTCTACTATAGTGCTTTTTTTTACTTACAAGCTGCCATCTGTGAAGGGTATTTCAGCTACTGGTTGCAGCAGCTCTGCCAGCCCACAGGCACTGGCGGGAATTTAATCTAACTTCAAATTTAGCTGCACGCCACCCTGAGGAAGCACAGTCTGAGGAGACATGGTCTAGGGAATTAGGTGTTAGGGGTTTATTTGCTTAAATGAAGATAACTTGTTTTCTTTCTTTTCCTTTTACCACGATATGATGGTAAGATGGAATGTAAAGGGGAATTACAGACAATTATCTTTTAATTCAGCTTTTTTAGTTAGTGGGAGCAAGCTTGGGCTAGAAAGTACTTTGCACTGGTTTTGATAAAATGCCCTTTTACCCTATGAAAGGAAGTCTGGGGTATTGTATACTGAGCAGGGTGATGTGCTCTGCTGTTGCTGATGGCATTGAGCCCAGGCTGGGGCAGTCTGGGGATGTTGGGGAAAAAAAAGTGTGAGGACTGGAGGGAAACTTGATGGTCTCTCTAGAATAGTGCTTTTGGCCATGCTGCGTGCTTGTTGCTGATCATTGGGTTTATTTTGTGGAGTTTAGATTCCAAGTGCCTATTGATACAAAGAGATGCTGTCATAGATTGTGCCAAACTCTTTAATTTAAAACAGAGCACCATAAAAAAAAAAAAAAAAAAAGGTTCTACTGTAACTGAGGCTGGAATTTGACTTGATGTGGGTAATGAAAAGTTCTGTGCTACTTTATCCTGCAAGTAAAGACCTAATCTGATGTTTCTGATGTTAACAACTGTAGCTATCTGTCTGTTGATAGGAAATATTTCATCCCCAGGTGCAGAACTGCTTTCATGCTGCTGGATCGCCTATGGTAAAGTTATGTAGAAAACAATATTAGTAAATGCGTTGCTTTTTTTTTTTTTTTTTTTAACTAACCTAGAAAACAAATGATTTCATGCTCAAGGTTGAGAATAGCCAAAATGAGTTTCTTTAAAATTAAATAAAATTAATTTCAGTTTAAAGTAACACTTGATAAAGTGCGATTAGAGATTTAAGCTTTGTAGGACTTTTTCACAAGATAAGCAAGGATCAGAGATGTAGAAATACCCCCGCCTCTGCACTTCTCACATTACTTTATATATGATGATGATTGCCTTGTTAAGGATATTCAAACAGTGACTTTTTAAAAACATACAGTTATATAATGCACAGTCTGCTTCTTCCCTTGTATGCTTCAGAAATTCTGTGATAAGAAAGCATCTGCCTTTTTCTGACTTAAATTACAAATAAAACCCACAGATCACAAATGGACAGTGACATAGAGGTTTTCTTTTGTCAGGTGACTGCAACAGTAATAGCCATCAGGGCTGGCTAGTTATGAAGATTTATACCCAAGACAAAGCTCTGCACATCTGCACATTACATGCTTATTTCAGACTTTGAAAACCATGGTGCTATTTTCTTTCTATATACAAGGACTTTACAGGTGGACACACAGACAGTGACTTGGTAAGAGCATCTGATATTCATATATAGCCAAGAGAAACATGATCTTTACCTCCTGTCCTCAGACCCACCTCTTTGGAAAGCAAGTGTGCTACCAGATATTTAGATAAACCTAAATCTTAGCATCAAATCTGCTAATCCCTCTTTCTTTTGGTTTTGGGCTTTTTGCTTTAATTGTAAGAGAAGCTTTGGTTATTAATTACAGATTAGGTTCTTTATCCTTAAATTATAGCATGTGATTCCTTCTTTCTTTCTCTATGGAAAACTTCTCCCACAAACATCAAACTGATTTTTAGGGATGGAATTGCAGATAGCTGCCAAATTCAAAAGGTAGGTGAGGTGAGGGTGGAGGTAGGGGTATTTAATTTCCTAGAGAGAGATGATTAGATGCCATAGGAAAAAAAAAAAAAGAGCACATAAAGAAAATTGACTCATGCTGCCAGTGGTTAAACTTTCATAGGAGTCTTAGGGTCAGATTCTGCAAAGAAGCAAACTGATTTAAGAGAGTGGTACAACAGAAGAATCCCTGTGAGCATAAAATGAGCAACTTGCATGTTTGTGTGGAAGACAGGGTGTAGAAAGTACGGTGGATATAGTGAACGTATCTAGCAAAGTGAGAAAGCACAAAGGAATATAAATAAACCAGCTTTTTATGCAGCACTTGTATTCACTTTTATTTGATGGTATTTAGTTTCTCCATTTTTCAGAGCAGTATGTTAAAATAGTCACTCTTTAATCCCCTTGGAAGAAAAGTGTAGGTGGAAAACATTCTATACCACTTCTTAATTCCTTAAGAAAGAGGGAGGAGAGAGGAAATTTATTGGTTCTTTTACCCAGATAGCATTAACTGAATGATAACACCAGAATCTCCCGCTCTGTAGAAGGAATTGGGATTAACTGTTGAAATTACATTTGTGTAGTCCCTTTACTTTAGCGTGCAGTGCCCTGATGAGAAAGTTATTGTACTCTGGCGGTATTAACTGAGCTGAGACGCAAATGTTAAGACTGTATGGTAGGAAGAGAAATTAATCGTAAGTGTCAACTTCCTAATTTTTCATGTCAGCTTTTCCTTCCCTTAAAATTAGGTGTATGTTTGCAATTTAAGATGTTGATTGCTAGTAATATTTTAAAAAATTATAATACAAAGCTAAGACATCTTTTCTTATGCTGAACTTTCACGTATACTAACAAAACAGTTTAAAAAAATCTATCTTGAATTGCATTATGCTAAAAATTGAAATCCATGTACCATGCTGGACAGCTGATATTGCAAAAGTTGCTCAGGAGAAAACTCCCTGGGATAGTCTGGCACTAGTCAACGAAGCCTTTTAGCACATCTCTCAGAATAGGGTTTCCTGGAATAATAAGTCTTTTCTAGTCTAACAGGATAACGACTCTGACCATAATTAATAAAAATACAATTGGTTTTCTGTTTTCTGGTTTAGAAAACAGATACTTGCCCAGAAGTTCAAGTAGATTAAATACAAAATTATCCAAGAAGCACAGAAACACTAGGGAGTTAGAATACAATTTATTTTCAAATTTATGGTTAAAGAATAGGCATAAATGATGGGGACAATGAAAACTTTTAAAATTGTTGATCTTCCTTTATACTGAGTGGAGTAAACCAGCTTTAATTTAGAGTTTCTCAATCAAAGTGTTCATAAACGTGCTGAGCAGCCACTCTTGGAGGTGGCTTATTAGAAACCATTTGGCTTGAAGGCAAGGTTAATTAGTGTAAGGGTTGCTTCTTATTTAGCTGTATAAATTTACTATTTACAGGAGCTTTGACTTCCTACTTTTACATTCAGTGGCCTGATCTTCAGCAATATCAAAAAATAATAAAGTTAATAAGACACTGTATCACCACCTGAAACTATTCTTGGGTTTGGTATTGTGGTTTTTGTGAAAGCTGACCTACATTAAGTAGGGCTTATAAAAGTCCTGATATTTCAACACCGCTTTCTGTGCCATTACTGTAAACTAAGGACAGTTTACTCATGGTTGTGAAACACTGCAGCAGCACACTGGAAATGTTCAGTCAGGACAGTAGCGCATTTCATATGAAACCTCTCCCATTTCACCTACGTGAAATCCTCGATCAAAGTAGCAATGAAATTCAGCAAAAACCCCCTTCTACAGAACTTTTTTGTGATGTACATCTTTCTGTCTCTAGAATGAAAAAAATCCCAGCTATTCTGTGAAGCACAAAACTTCTCAACTGAGTAAAAACTGTTTTAAGAACATTTAGCAAAAATTCTGCCATTTTTTCTTATGGTTTATTGCTAGAGCACTGGGTTTTCTATTTTAAAATCAGTCTTGAACTTGCTTTTATGTAAGCAGATGGATTTTTGGGTTAGTGCCCTGCTGGTGTGTGCCCTCAGTTATCTTAATCCAGAATGTGCTGGCTTTGTTTTGTCCACCCCCAAAAAATTAATTAATTGTTTAGCCTTCAGTTGGAATGTTGCATTTCCAGTCTCCCAGGGAAATGTAGTTACAAATATAATAACTGGCATAATTATTGCAATGAACCATTACATAGCAGTATACGTGGGGCACGCGCCCTGCAATCTTAAAATCAACTTTAACATTGGGGCTTTCAATAACACAATCTGTATCAACATAAAGTGCTAACCTACAAGTGCATAAAAGCATAAACCCATTGTATTTCCAAAATATTTTCCATGGTACAAGTAGTTTTTTAATATTGCGAACAAATTATTTGCCAGATTGTATTTTTTTTAAAAATTACTTTTTAACTAAAGCAGCATGAGATTTCCCTCTAGTCATCCTAATTTGTTAGGAAAAAATTTACACCTGTTTTGTGTCCTTACTACAGACTGGCTGCATGTTTCTTTATTTTGCAATATAGAATGTGGTTGGGCTCCCTCACCATACTTGTGGTTTTTATAAATCAGTTAAATAGTTAATAGAAATGGTATTGATTTTTAAATTTTTTAAATTATTATTATTTTTATATTTTCTCTCCAGGAGCTTCCTATGTGATCATAGGTAGGTCACTTAAGATCATACTCAGAGACATACTACAGTTTTACACTCCCATGAATTTGCCTCTCTGGTTCTGTATTTTAGCCTCTCCTGATGTAATTTCTTAGTCTTTAAATGGGCATAGCAACAATGTTATACCTCAGAGGGATGTCATTAAGGTAAATATGTTAATGAAATATGTTCATGACTGAAAGTGACTTGTATCAAATGCTGGAATTGTATGAGCAGACAGGCCTGGACTGAACTGTGCCATAACCTGTGCTCCACACTAACAATGGCAGAGTGAAATGCCTTAAAAACAAGGAGCAAGAGCTGTGTTCAGAAATGCTGAGACTTCAAATGGTGAGATTGGAAGCAGGGATGTTGCTCTTGGGGTAGCCAGGTGCCACAGCTCCTTTTCAGTCACTGCAGCACAAGTGGAGGCACGACACTGTAAAGATTTCTTAGATAATTAGGCTTTTTTAAAAGGATTTTTTTTAAAAAAAGCTGTAGAAGTAATTCATCAGTTCTGTTCACAAGTCTGGGGTGCTTTGGAGAACTGAACAGTTTGTCCCTCAGGAATGGTGCTGAGTGGCTCGCTCTCGGTGTGGTTCTTGGCATACTCCCTACTAGAGCTATTAACAGGGTTGTAGATGTGCAGAGGGGGTGTATATCTGAGGCTCTGTGCCCTAGCAGAGTTAAAACAAGAATAGGCAATGTGCTAATGTTGTCAGGAATAGTCTTGCTTTGGCAGGGAAATAGATTAGACAACCTGATAAGTCTTCCTTAAAAAAAAAAAAAAAAACAACAAAAAAAGGGAAAAAAACCTCTATTCTTTGAGTCAGTGTTACAGTACAAGAAATCCTACTTAAAAAAAAAAAAAAAAGCCAATAGTGATTTTTAAAAAAAATACAGTAAAGACAAAGGTGATACCAAAAAAACTTTTTCTCTAGCCCACAGAGAGTAAAAAATGGGGAAATATAAAGAGATTTCTGATGGTTTGTTTCCTTCAATTGTTAGTAATACACCCTGTTCCTACACATGACATTCTAAATAATTCAGACTCCAGAGGCATTCCTTAGATTATACTTTTACAGCAGAGTCCATCAGAGCAGCAACGTATGTATGTCAGGCTTTACCATTTTCATGTAGTCACTAAGTAGTAACTTGGGACCAAACTAGATCCTTCTTTTGTGATTCCCTCATATTACGTGCGTTGCACATAAGCTAAAACACACGCGGGGCCAAGGGAGGGAGCCCGGTGCTGCAGAGAATGTCAGGAGCAGGCAAGGTGCCACTCAAGGTGGCATTTTTGGAAGGGAGCTGGAGGGGGGGAACTGTGTAACAAAAAGCAACGCAAGAGCAAAGGGAGTTGTTGGGGTTGGTCTGACCTTCAGAGGTTAGAATGAGTAACTGAAATGTGATGGAAACCGCGAAGGATTGAATATATCTCAAACTTCACCTCTAAAGCGAAAATCCTAGGGACTCTTAGACAGGTTTTCTTGAAACTGGTCTATTTAAGCTCAGGGAAAATGTGCCTGTTATGTTGAAACAGTGCATTCTCTAGACACTTAAAATCTGTCTTGTTGAGCTGAAGTAGTCATCTTTGCTGAATAAGATGTTAGCAATTTTCCTCTTACAGAACATCTGCTTTCTGACTGAATCACCCAACAAGCGGCAGGCTTGTTTGAGCCTGCTGTCCTCCCCGCGCTGCTCACTAACTCCTGCCTTGCCGAAGGCTGTGGGCTGGGTTTCAGCACGGAGGTGTCAGCCTCAGGTTCCCCAGTGTCTGCAGGAGTGTCCTCCTTATTGAAAGGACAGTGGTATAAAATTCACTTTGGCACTTTTGAATTAAGTCTTCACACCTTGTTTTCAAAGATCTAGAATTGAGAGAGCAGAACAGCTTAGAGTTACATGGAAAAAAAAAAAAAGCAGCAAGATTGTGGTGATACTTTTATCTTCCACAAGTTTTGAAATGACTCATAAATGGGATTCGTCTTGTATAACCTTTAGCACAGAGAACAGAGAATTAATTTGGTAAATAATCTGAAAAACCCCCATATAAAAGTAGTTTATCAGCAAAATTACCATGGGGTTTGTTTTCACTGAGAAAGTAGATTTGTTTAATCACCTGCCAACGTTTTATGCAAATACTACAACCCGAAGCGCAAGTATTTCTTATTGGTAGATGATTGCCTTGGAAACTGGGTGTTTGGTTAACTGCTGGTGCTGAGCCGATTGATTAGAATTGGTAGGTGATGTTAAGTGGTCGCGAAATGTTTCCTTTTCCCTTGTAAAATAATTGAAAATCGAATGAAGACTTTTAATGAGGCAAACAGTAGGGATGCCTTTTTCAGATGGAGGCAAGTACCAAAGAACGGGGGTATTTCCAAGAGAGTAGGGTATAGATACAACCTCTTTGATTGACTTGTGTGCTGGCTGTGAACTGTGCTTTCTCTTTTGGGGAGCACCAAGTCAGTCATGCAAGAGTTAAGGAGTAAATGTGAACAGAAGGGCTAGGTTTGTACATCCAGCCTAAGTGCTTTCCTCAAGGGGAAGATGCTTTCTGGCACTGCAGCAGCAGGAGAAGCAAACAACTCATGCCCTGTACCCACCTGGAACCGTGACAGTAATGTTTTAATCTTTTGAAGTGAACAAGTTGCTATGGCTAGGTAAAAATTCGCCTGTAAAATGGCTTGATTCTGTTGGTGATACGTTATCCCTTTAATTAAATAGCTGACTTATGCTTGACAATTAATTGGAGTGATGTATGATTTTTATTAGAAACCCATGACTAATTTTTTCTTGCCGTTCTTGCTATCTTATTGTTCTTGCCTACCCTCCTCCAAAGTTGCTGCTGCGTGCCAGCCATGTCCTCCAGGCACTGGTGCCGACCAGTGTTCACTCTTGCTTAGGCTTTTACCTGTTCCAGATAAAGCAATTGTTTTCAGATATTTTCCGTGTTGTCTTTCAGAAATTTTCCACTTCATCACAGTTCTGCAGTTTTTTTGTTTTAGAAGACTCTGGATTTTTTTACACAAAGTTTAAAAAAAAGAAAAAACAAACAAAAAAAAACAAACCACACCCCCAAAAACCTCACCATCACAACAAAACTCCCCACTGTGTTATCTTCATCTAGTACCACGTCTCCTACCCCATTAAAATAACTGCCAAGTTAAAAAAGTCCTTCCTGCAGTAGGCTCTGTGCCTGTAGAGTAATCTGTTAGCAAACTCAAGTGAATTTTATATTTAATTACAATAGGCAGGATTCAAAGTGGATGTGACTGGAGACACCTCTATTAAAATCAGCAGAGCGACAGCTACAGACAACTCCGTTTGCCCCTTATTTTGTTTTCCCTGACTGTAAGAAACCAAAGCTCGAGCCTCTCTGTAATGTTACAACAAACTGTGATTTGGACAGTTCTTTAAATTTTTTCCACTTAAGAAGTTTTAGTTTTTTTATAGGAAATTTGTTTCCATGGGTGAATGTAGGCTTGGATGAGTGGGGAACAATACATTGTTTGTTAAAATGAACATTTTTGAAGGGAGTGGGTTTAAAAGGAAGGAAATGTGGTTTAGATTTAAGTTTCTTTTGAAATTTCTTCCTCTTCTTTTTCCTTACGGCCGCCCCCCTGAACACAAAACAAAAATCCAAACAACTAGAAGTCCCCAAACTGATGTTTTACCATACATATCTTTAAAATATTTGGTATAATCTAGAAAGCCCAGAGGAAGAATTGTCAGTTTAAAAATCACTATTTTGTATACCATTTCTTTTCTTCCTTCCCTGGGTTGTTCTCCCTCAAGAACATGCGGCTTTTGTCTCAGCTTTTTTAGTTCATGTGTTTGGCAGGGTTTTGTCTAGTTTGTGTCACTGGTGTCTGTAGCGTAATTTAAGCTTCAATTTATCCGTGTGCTTAAACATTTTACTGAATGAGGTCCTTGCGTTCTCTGAGCCCTAGGTTGATCATTCACAGGGTCGCTCTGGAAGAACCCTAAGTGGGAGGTGGAGGTGGGGGTGGAGATACCGGGGGGAATTTAAGACAGGAATAAAATTTAATTTTTAATTTGCTGGATCTAGCGCAGACAGTTGGCTGGAAATCTCTCTTTCTCTCCCTTTCACTAGAGGGCCTCTGTCAGACAGCTGCTACGTGACCAGTTTCCTTGCTGCTGGGCCGAGAGTGCCTGATGCTGGCTCTCATGGCTGATCCCGGAGCAGAAGAACACGCGTCCCAAGTTAGTGAGCTCTGCTGCGAGTGCGGTCAGTTCCACCTCTTGCTGGACAATCACCTCTACAACTTCCAGGATGAAGTGGACGATGAACTCATCTGCCATATCTGCCTTCAGCCTCTGCTCCAACCTATGGACACCCCCTGTGGACATACGTACTGTTTCAAGTGCCTTGAAAACTTCATGCAGGAGTATAACTTTTGTCCTATGGATCGGAAAAAGCTCTCTTTCCAGCAGTGCCACAAGTCCAGCCTTCTAGTACGAAACCTGTTGGATAAGCTAATTGTCTTCTGTCCTTTCAAGGCAGAGTGTCAGCAGACGATGCAGCGGTGTGAACTAGAAGCTCATCTGCAGAACAGGTGCATTCCCATTTACATTACATTATTCCTACTTGTATAATGCCATCTGGCTGTTGTGCTTCTGGCCAGAAAGATCCATTCTCTCAACAATTCTTAAACTGGGGCGAGGTGGGACACCAGAGATGACAGAGGGTGAGGCCAGAGACGTGGGTGGGTGAAGACAGTGTAGTTGTGTGTGTGTGTGTGTGTGTGTGTGTGTATTACAGAGGTCAGCTCACATGTGCTACAGAGGCAAAGTGTGAGGTACCTGCCTGCTTGCATGCAAGTTGTCCGCAGACACGAACACTATCAAATGTATATAAATTTGTGTGTCCTGATCTGGGGCACCTGACTCTGAAAATTATTGTAAACATGCTTATTCTTGTTTCACTTGCGTAGAGAAGAAAGACAGGCACAAAGTCAACACTCTGGAAGCAAGGGATTGTTCAGTGTTGCCAGTTTAATTGGTCCAATTAAGATGTGCAATACATAAGTCTTTGATCCAAATAATGTAAGTCCCTCCAAGCTGCACATTATGCAGTTGCTGAATCACCTACTTATAATTCCATTATCTTCTCTCATTCTTTTGCTGAGAAAGAGAAGCAAATGAAAAATACTTTTTTTTTTCATTCTTTTTTCCCCCATATGCAGAGGAAAGGAGACTTTTTTTTTTTTTCTTGTGCTTGTTAGCAGAGATGTGTTTTGGTGTTACCACTGCTGGTTTTGCTGGTGGCTAGTGAAATACTCTAGCTTTAAAAGAAGTGCAGGTGACAAAGAGCTCTTGCCAAGGCACTTGAAGAACACTTGTTCCTACGTAGTTAATGATTGCAGGAAAGGGAGCTAAGTGCAAGCCCTACCGCAGGCAGAAGCAGACCTTCACTGGCAGTGTGTATTTTGTCAGTGGGCATTGAGAAATCCAACAGGCTTGTTGCTCTTCCGCTATGTTGTAGCTTTTTGTGGCAATGACATGTTTAAAAATACGTCAGCCAGTGTGCAGGGGACAGTTACACCTGGGATACCTTTGCAGTTCCAGCCAAGGATGTATCCTTGTGGTTCTTGCTTGTCTTTGGTACCCACAAGCCGAGAGCTGGTGTTATAGCCAGGGCAAGCAAGGGAAGATGCTGTTGTGCCCCTTTTCCTCAATCTCTGAAATCTTATAATCTCGTTTTTCTTGAAATAACTTTGTGCTGTTTGCTTGTTATCAGGCAGGGCTGAATGCTTAGACTGCAGGGACAGGGCTGCCCAGCAGTGTAGCTGATGTGTAGCTGGGGCTGTGGCCCGTACCAGGGCTGGGCCTTCCTCTTTGCTCTGTAAATCTACCCTGGTATCAGTAAACTTCTGTCGCTTGTTAATCGCTTTGGCACAGGAGTTAAACACAGAAGAGGGAGGCACCCTTAAACGTTTGTGTTAGAGACCTGTCTGGAAACTATCATTCTCATACACCTCACAGTTCTTTGTATCTTCCTTGGGGAGGGTGTTTTCTAAAAATTGAGGCTACTTCACCTGGGCTGTGAACAAGGGTGGACTGAAAAATGAAAAGAAAAAGAGAGAGAGAAAAAAATTACACTGGGATTTGGGCGTTCCTGTTTTTCAGTTCTACGTGAGGTTAACTGATAGCAGGAGACTTAAGGAAAGAAAAAGTTGCTAGATGCTTCATCGGGGATTTCTCTGCCCTTTGCAAAATGAATTTGTTTCTCACCGTCTTAAGAGATGCGTGCAATTGGATCAATCAGCTTCTGTCTTTAAGTTTCAGGGTCATCTTACTGCTTGGAGAATAAATGACTAGGAATAAACCAGAGGAAGTAATATTGGGATGAGACTTGTTTAGCCAGAATGTAAATAGTCAAGTTTAATTTGGACAGTGACTCTGGTAAACACCCAGTACTACTCATGTCTCTGAAGATGATGCTTTTGCAGTCATCATCTTCCTCACCTGCCACCTTTTTCATAAGTACTCTTGATAAAAGAGCTTGTTTTTCCTCACTCATTTTTGCTGAGATGGGCTGGCTGTGGTGTAGCTGCATACAGAGGACATTTTGTTGAACCTCCGTGGGGGGAGCAGTCAGTGGGATTATAAACTCCTGTAAATTGCTCCCATTCAGATAGAGCCATCACCTGCATGGAGTGGAGGTGGAGTGCTGTCTGAGGGTCAGGTCTCATTCAACCAAAAAAAAATAAAATGCAGCCTTGCTTGCATGTTACTGATTTGTTAAAAACGAAGCCTGATTTTCAAGGCTGAGCTTGAAATGAGCCACTTCCTTTGCAAAAAGATACAGTTCGTAGTCATCTCTAAAAGGTCAGAACTAAGTATTTGCTTGTATTTTAAGAAGTATTGTTTTCTTCACCAAGTGTTTGCCGGGTAAATATAGCAAGAGAGACTCCTGTTCTTATTACAGTCTTCTTTTTAAAATAATTTGCTTAATTTTGAAAGTAATAAAATAACAAGCCTGCTTTTAACCTGGTCCAAATACAAGTAGAATCTGAAGGTCAAATAAGAATAAATTTTAACATTTGTGTTAAAAGCTTTGCAGCTGATGAGATCTTGACCACGCTTCTTTGTCAGTCGGAGCATGCATGTGCTAGGTTGGCTACACAGGCAAAGACTAGCTGCTTACAGTCACTGACAATCTCTCTCTAGGTGTCCTGGTTTCAAGAAATACAAATCTGAACTACAACAGAAAAAGCATCCCATTTCCAAAGGGAAGGAAGATCCTCCTTCCAAGGTGGAGACAAGCACGCCCAAGGATCCAGAGGTACCGAGTGGAGGATCGTCGCTCGTGGCAGAAAGCTCTGGAGCTGCTGTGGTATCACTAGGGACTGCAGAGCCTGGACTGGTTAATCCAGCTTTTGAAGAGACTGAAGAAGGTGAGAGTTTGATACAGAAATGTAATTTATAATTACCTTTTATAATATAAAAATGAGGTAATTATCTCCGACAATTCAATTTTTAAAGTGTCCCCAGTATTCTTAGGTAGCCTCAATGCTATTCAGCCACAAGTAGCCTTTAGAGTAATCTCTTTCCTCAGCTTGTCCTTGAGCAGAAGGGAGATGCGTTCTTGTGCATCAGGTGTGGCAGGATTGGCTCACAAGCACAAAACTGTCTGTGCAAAACAATTTGGAGAATCTGTTAGACTGCAGTGAATATTTGCAGTATTCTTTGCAGGAACAAAGGCAGTCCCTGTCAATGGGAACATGAAGCACTTACAGCACTTGCAGAAGCCAAATAATTAGTAATTAGGAATCGTTCCAGCTAATTCTTAATCTTGTTAAGAAAGTTAAATATACGGTTGGTTTCCTGGAGTGGTCAGTAACTCCCTAATGGTGTGCAGCAAGTGTTTTTTTTATAGCATAACTTAGTTTTTGGATTAATGGTCAGTTATGAAAGCCTTGCAGATAAAAGTAACCATCTCCAGTACAGAACCACTTGTCTCCAGTGTGGAAATCTCTGTGCCTTGTTTCAAAGTTAGGCTCAGTTTCCAAGTGGGCAGGCGCTGGAGCTGGCAACTGCTCTGCCCGTGCCAGGGTTAATACACAGGTCAGTCTACTTCTCTGTTGGCTTTTTCCAAAGTGCACTCGGGGCAGGTTTTGCATCTCTTGTGTGACAACTGCAGCTCACCCTGACAGGCAGCGCGCTTGGCTTCGTTAGTGTTGGGCCTGCCTAAATGTTGCAGTGCTGGTAGATTTAATAGGGCTTGCTAACAACAACTTTCATCTTCAAAGTGTCTGAAAAGCATTGCTTAGTCTTCACTATGCTGTAAATAGGTAAACATTACTCCTGTTTTACAGGGGGACGGGAAAAGAGGAGGAAAGGAAATTAGAGGTGGGAAATTGCAGGGAGCTGCCTGTGGTAAAGTCATCGCAAGGGCAGACCAGTAATTACAACTCGGTAGTCCCCTTTTCTAATGAGCATTGTGGAAATTGGCATTTATGTGTGTGCTTCTAGTAGGCCAGCTGTCACAGGAGAAAAATAAATCTCTAAATAGTAAGTGAAACATACTGAATGCCCTTTAATAAAACTCAAGAAATAATAATGAAAGAGTTTGAATTTGCAATAAGCTAGGAGAAGATGGGAAACGTTCTGGAGAAACTCTAAAGAAATAGGGGCTTTTAAAGTTTTCAATCTGACCTATTGTTTCCTCTCCTGGTAGTTGCTTTCCCTCCAGACACTACTTTGGACAACCTGCCAGTGCTACAAATCTCGTGGTGCTATGTGAGGGACAGTTCTGTTAATGTGTTGTTTTTCTCTTCGATTTCCACAATCAGACCTTCCTCAGAGAACTAGTCTTGTGGCTGAAACAACCACAATTGAAATTCATCGGGAAGACCCAGAAGAGGAGCTGGGGATGAGGATAGTTGGGGGTAAAGACACTCCCCTAGGAAACATTGTTGTTCAGGAAGTCTTGCGGGATTCTGTCATTGCTGCAGATGGAAGAATAGCACCTGGGGACCATATTCTTGAGGTATGTAAAACCCCACTGGTAGGCCCATTGCTTCTCTGACTTGAGACGAGGGCTGGGGGAGGAGAGTTGCTTAGAAAAACTAGAAAATCTCTACAGCTGCGGGTTTAAAAGCACTGATCAGCCTTGTGTGTCAGTAGTACTGTGTTTTTGCTGGGGCTGAGAAGCAGACTTTTGAGGTTCCTTCCAGTCATACTCATACTTATCTTGCATATTTGATAGCTTTTTGAAATTTAGACCATTTTGGATTAATTAAGAAGATTTCTATCTGATAAATTTCACGCAGTAGCACCATTTCTCTCCAAAGGACCGTGCTCTAGTTAGGAAGTCTTATAATTGTTTGCTCCACTATGTTGCTTAAGCTGCATATTCTCAATGGGCAGGTCCAAAGTTTAAGACCTTACAACTTGAAGTAAGGATCAGATAGTGTGAGTAATAAAAACCACCAACCTCATACTGTGCTGACCCACAGCCAGATTCAGTTTCCAGATTAATCACGCTGTGTGGCAGTGGGCTAATCAAGGTGCTTGTATGCAGCAGTAAAGGCTGCATGCAGCCAGAACTGTTAGCACCTCCCGGCTATGGCTGCCCCATCATTTGAAAAGCCATAAAGACCTAATTATCCTGTTGGACCGTGGACTTCAGGAAGGACTGGCAGCAGCCCCACGTGCACGAGTGGCCGATACGGTCTCTGAGTTGGTTTCTTAGACCGACAGAGTAACTTCTGTTTGATCTAGTTGAATTGTACATGTCTCAGTCTTGGCTGGGCTGTAAATAGGGCAGGTCCTCGCACTTAGTAGCCCTGCTAACATCCTAGAAGAAGACTGCACAGAGTCTTACGTGACAACAGACAAAGCAAAAGGTAGCTTCTCAGTTACCTTGCTAAAAAGCACGATTAGACTGACGATTCCAGAAGCTTGTAGACTATGGACCACTCTTCAACTTAAAAGTGGGGATGAGTAGCCTCCAATTTGAGTCTTCTCCTCCAAGTGTGTGTTGAACGTTGGAAGTTAAGGGAAAGTAGTTCTGCATTGCCACGGGATGGATGTAATGATTTAATATTTTGAAGTTTCAGATTTGTTAGTTTTGTGAGTTGTCTTGTCTCGCCCCTGTCCTCAGCCATTCACCATCAATTATGGTCTAATTTCATCTGCTTTACGCTGCATTTTTTCAGAAAACTCTACTCTCTGATGTGCATCAGAAGCAGCTGCTTCAGTCACAGCGTTGCACAGGGAGTTGTACATCCTGTCTCCAACTCTGTGATGTTCCGCACTGCGGACAGTGCCTAAATTATGTAGGTTCTGATTAGTGACTCTGGTTTGTTTGTCTTTCTAGGTGAATGGCGTCAACATCAGCAGTGTGACTCACTGCCAAGCTGTCTCCTTCCTGCGCCACCCAGGTCCTGTTCTCCACCTCATGGTCCTGCAGGAGAAGGGTTTTTCCAATAAGACTGCGCAGCAGGATTCCACTTCTGCTACGAATCGGGAAGTGATCCAGGTTACCTTGATAAAGAGAGACCGATCCGAACCCTTGGGAATCAAACTGATCAGGAAAACCGATGAGGCAGGGATTTTTATTCTAGATCTGTTAGAGGGAGGTTTGGCAGCCAAAAATGGAAAGCTGAGTCGGAATGACAGAGTCCTCTCAATAAATGGCCAGGATTTGAGGCAAGGAACACCTGAGGCTGCTGCACAGATAATCCAGGTAATTTATGACATGGTGAGGTTGTATGGCTAATGGCTCTTGCAGCTGTCTGCGTTGATGGCAGGGCTCCTGTTCTGACCCAAGGGCTAACAGAACACACTAGAGCAAACTGCATTCCCTGAAATATCTCTTTGGGAAAGTGACCTCCCTGCAGATGTGTGGGAGGCACCGCTTCCAAATGAAGATAAACACGAGGAGTGGGAATCCATCGTGAGTCATCGCTGACAAGTCTGAAGCGAGGCAGTTGCTCATGGCACTTCAGTTCAGCTCAGGCAACTGGATCTCCTTTGTGGTGTGGTGCTTGGAGCCTTTCTTGCAGAGTGAATATTTGTATGCACTGCGTAGATGCAGCAGAGACAAGGAGAGATTAGGCCAGCCTCTCATGCTTCAAACAGTCAAACTGAAGGTGTTTGTTGGGAGATGTGATAGGCAGGCAGCACAGAACGGAACCCTTCTGACTGATTTGAAGCCCTCTCTCCCCATTTGGGAAGGGAGTCTAGGAAACAACATGAGGCACCTCAGGCTAAAAGCATTCTGAAATACTAAATGGGTAGAAGAGGGGTGGTCTTTCCCTGCGCAATAGGAATGTGCTCCTGCTGCAGCATGCCAGATGTATTGTTGAAAGTAGTGGGCAAGGAATTTTGGTGAAGGATTAAGGATTTCTACGTGTGCAGCAGGTATCAGTTAAATCCTTTATCTCCCTAGGCAATGACCTCCAGTTTCTGTTTTTATCTAAAGATCCTGACACAATACATCTCCTCACATACTGTTTATATCCCGGAAAGGATCTGAGGTCAGCAGTGAGAGCAAGCCAGTTCTCTTCCTGGTAATCAGCAGAGGATTGCAGTGGCATGGGAGAAAAGAAGAGAAAGGGCAGAGTTCTCGTACTGACACATTATGTCATTCCATTCTGTGGCCTCTTCAAATATAGTTTTCATCCCACAAGTGCTGCTGTATTTCTGTCGTCATGTGCAAACATAACTCCCATATGCGGAACTCTTTCTTGATCCCACTGAAATCGCTAACCAGTGTCTCAGAACCAGCTTTATTAGGTTTGGGGATTTAATTCCTTCTGAAGTGACATTTCTGTAAAACTGTGACAGTCTTCCAAACATTATCTCTTCTTCGGAGGGCTAATTCAAATTCATGGTTAAATGTGATTTTAATTTTGATTTCAAACCATTTGCAGAAAAGAGTCCTGCCTGTATATATATGTACAGCCATATATACTGTACAGAGTCTGGTACTCCTGGCAGAAGGGGAGGGAAAATCCCCATCTTAGAACATGATGTTTACAATGTGTTTTATAAGGACATGGATGTGTGCTAACTTGTCTGGAAAAAAACTGCTCTATCTGAAGTGACTTTGGAGACGAGAGGCTTTTAAATTCTGTTTCGGGAAACAAAACTCTCCTGTAGGAGTTTAAAAAGAAAAAAACCCAAACAGTTGATGCAGTCCTTCTTCCAAGGCCAAGGAATTCACTACTGCCAGGGTGCTGTGGCACCAGGGAAACAGGGTCTCGTGTCAAGAAGTCAGTGGCAATTCTACTTCTCTCATCCGTCACAGGAAATGCTCCAAGTAAGCACATACGCCTTAGCCCAATGGACTCCTTCACAATAAGGTTTTGTCAAATTATCTGGAAGAACAAACCAAATTAGAAGAGCAGTAACAATAGTGAATACTTGCCCTGTAGCTCTGCCAAGGCCAGACATACAGCTGGTTAAGTGTTTAATTGGCAGCAATCTTAGACAAAAGGTCATGTCTTCAGGTACTCTGGGAAAAAAAATGGGTGGGAGATGTTGAACAATAGACGTGGTACATAAGCTGCGAGGGAAAGAGCTTTTAACAAGTTTCTTTACAATAAAAGAAAAAGCATCCAGTACTCGTATCATGGTCATCCATTGTGTGGACCAGTCAGCGTTCTAGCTCTGTTCATTTTCTATCACAACACAATATGCTATTTTGGTTATTCGTACTGAAGGAGAGCAATTAATCATCCCTTTCTACTTTTTCTTCTTTGGCATTTGTGGGGGAGGGAGGCATGAGTGAAGCCTGCCTCTACTCCTCTTCCTTCTGACTAACATTTGCTAATTCCTTTTTTCTTCTCACGATAGGATTATGTGGCTCTTCACAAAAATACACTGCATCATGTTGCATCGTCCTGTTTCAGACCCTTTGTAGAAACCGATGCCAACCCTTTCCTCTCTCCCCAAGAAAACGACAGGGGCCATCCCTGATTTTTAATTTATTTTTCTATCTATTTTATTAACACTCTTTTTGTTTCTCCTGGCAGACCACTGAATCAAGAGTGAACTTTGTCATCCTGAGGCAGCAAGGCGTACAGCTGGCGGACCCGGTAGAAGATGGTAGCACATCAAATAACAGCAGCAGCAGCAGCAGCAATGGAGGAAGTCCGGTGCACCACCGGAGACGACTGGATCAGAATCACTACAGACGAAAATCAAATTACCAGAAGGTAAGTTTTGTAAATGACAGCAAAAGCACTGGGTTATTCTTGGTCTAGCAGATCTACTGTGTTTGCTCTGTGATGGCAATTTATCATGTAAGTCTGATCAGTAGCTCCATTTCTTCTTGAGCTGTTAAAAAGGAGCAGGTTCGTGGTTTTTGGCACTGCAGAACTGTACATTTGTCATCTACTGGGAAACAGTTTATAGGAAAAACTCAACATTTCTTCAGATGTCTCTAATATTGATGCAGAACCAGTGTTTAATCCTTTCATGTCTGGAAAAGGCAATGGGAAATTTACTGTCCGTGAGACGCTCGGGACTTGCTTCTTGGTATCTTTCAAGCACAACTGTGTGGTGCTCCTGGGGCTCAGTGTTGCGTCTGCCATCCGTTTGCATGTTCTAAGAAACAGTACGAGCAAGAGGAGGTTTGCCAGTCTGTTGTAAGAAGAGATTTGCTCTCTATTCAGAACTTCCATCTGAGTAAGAAAACTTGCTACAACTGCTTAGACTTCTGTGTTGAAATGTCTCTGGGGTTTAGTAAATAGCTGTCATAAATGGCTGGAGCGTGGCTCCTCAATTTAAAGCCTAAAATATCATTTACATACTGTTTCTACAGCAAATGCTATGATGTGTGCTTTCACTGCAACCTAAACTTTCAGTACTAGTTAGAGAGGTTGATTGCTTGATATGAACGGCCTTAAAAGCTGCGTTTTGTACCGTCATTCCTTTGTAGGATTTACCTCAGGGATATGCAAGTCATGAAAAGACAGTTGCAATAAAAAAGGAACCAAAGGAATCTTTAGGGATAACGATTGGAGGTGGAAGGGATAACAAAAACAAGCTCCCTATATATGTAACGAGTGTGCAGCCCATAGGATGCCTCTTCAGAGACGGCAGAATCAAGCGAGGTAAGGAAGCTCACAGACCCTTGGTTCTTTAGGAACTGGGGTTTTTTCAGTGAAAGTTGGACGTGGACACTAAAGCAAGACTGGAAACAGGGTTCCACATAAGACCTTGAGGCAGAACTGGGCTTCATAGGGTTATTACAGACCTTTTACTGTCTTATTTAATCAACAGGAGATGTACTTTTGAGCATAAATGGCATTGATTTGACTCATCTGAACTACTATGAAGCTGTCTCAGCACTGAAATCTAATGCAGCTTCCCACTCAGTTGTACTGAAAGCCTTGGAAATCCTTTCATTGAACTCGACAGATCCATCTCTGGACATCAAGGAGCAAGGATTCAGCTGGTCTCCCCTCTGGATCACCTGGCTCGGATTGCCCAGGTACGTTTGTTTGGTGACTGCATTGAGATTTGTTCAATCACAGAGTTGACTTTCACTCAAGTGCTGGAAATTAATTGCTTTGTTGGTGGACTTGGAAGCATTCCTGGTATTCTCATTTAGCTCCAAGGCAGTGGAAAGCCTTGTTTGTCAACGTGATCGCAGTATAAGCAACGCATGAGAAACTTCCACTGCTTTTTATGGTGTGACCCATCGTTCCCCCACTTCTGTTGGACAGTAACTGTATTTCAGTGGTTCCTGAAAACCACTTTTTCTTAGAGAACGAAACCAGGAAATGAGAAGTACAGATTCTGGCATTTGAGGCAGAGTTGACATATAGTCAATGTAAATACAGTCCCTGCTAAAATATCATTAACTGAAATCACTCTGTGGCTCTTTCTGGATCACATAACGGGAGCCAGCAGATACCTGTGCTGTTTTATAGTTTCTAATCTGATCATCTCAGGGGCAGACATTCTTTCAGTCTGATTCTTTTTGGCTGTTGTGTCATCTTTAGCATGGAGCAGAAATGATTCTGAATAGTTGAGTTTTCCTGCTGCAAAGCTTTGGACCATCGACTTAACGCAGATTTTAGCAACACCACGGTCATTTCCAGGTGACAGGGTTAGGGCTGTGAAAGCTTGAATTTCCATCTCTTTCCTGGAGAGGTGAATCTCTGGTTTGCTCACTCGTACAGTTTCATAAAAATACATTCAGCTGGCAGACTCTGTTGTCATTCCAGCTGACCGGAGAAGGATTGTGCAGGAGATGCACGTGGAACAGTAAAGCCAAACCCTTCCGTGGGAAGCCTGGATTATTTACAGCCTTGTTTCTTGAGGCACCTGAAAGAAAAAACACTAGCAAAGCCTTTGTTACGTTACCCTTGTGTTACTTAGCAGCCTGTAAATGCTAAACAAAACAGCCCAAGGAAGGCAGCTCTTGCGTCTCAAGCGACTGTATCTTGGCTTGTACTCAGCACCAGCCTGCCCGTTTCCTCTGCTCTCCCAGGGCATCGGCCTGTCTGTTCTGTGCAGGCCTGGTACTAACTAGCCCTGAGCTGCACCTGGATAGCCCAAACCCGAGGGCAAACCCTCAGATGCTGGCCAGTGTTTGTTCCTTATGGGTGCTCCTGCAGTGAAGGCAAAACCAGGCTGGACTTTCTCCCTTCTTCCTTTTCCAATTTATTTTGGTGGCTGGTGGCTGGCAGCTTCACCACGCTTTCTGCTTCAGGGGCTGGAGTCCACTCTTTGCTCACTGGTCAGCTGGCTTTATTTCAAGAGCATACTGATATTAACTGCCACTTACTACATTGCTTGAAATTCTTTTGCTGCTGGTATTAACGTTGTCCTCCCTTCTTTGGGCTGTTACTGTGCCCTGCTACTGAAGCAAGGAGCAATGATTTCGGATGCCCTTTCTGCTTTCCAGTCTTTCTTTCTTACTCCGACCTGAATCCAGGCATCTGAATTTGTCTGCCGTTGCTCTCTGGGTGTGAGGGTGGTTAAGAGACACAAAGCAAGGTTGATTCATGTCAGGGTCTGACAAAATCTTCCTTCTTGTTTCCAATAATAAAGACGGCTGTAATTCTTGTGCTTCCTCACTCATGTTCCCACCCGCTCCTGGTAAGACCTTGAAGTGACTGACTGGTTGACCACAGAATGAACGATTTCCCTAAAGCCACTAAAAATCTGCCTTTCAGCTAAGCAAGGTATTTATGTTTGACACTGTGGCTGGCATAATTTTTTATGATTGCTTGAGAATCCATACACTGGAACAGCACCCTTGTCTCTCACCTGGAAATGTTCAGGGTGCCTCTACACTAGCATTTTCGTTTGGCTCAGGAATGTGCAGTTGAAGCAAGGATCCCAGTTGCACCTCACTTGCTGTATTTTGGTTCACACTGCACGTCTTCCTAAAACCCCTTTTTCACGTGGAAAACTGATTTCTAGCAATCAGCCTTTTCCACGTCTCGAAGAATGTGGCTAATGCTGTTATTTATGTTCTGTGCCGACACCGTGCTTACAACTCTTGCTCTCTGGGCTACTTATTTGAACAAGCTGCCACATACGTTTCTCATAGCTGTGTTTTCACACTTGTGAAATGTGGAAGAAGAAAACCATGGAGTCATCAGTAAGCTAGAGCTGGGTCTTCCAGCGTTTACGTGTGAAGAACTTGTACAAAAGTAAATTACAGTTTGAAAGTAGATAATTGGATCTTTCTCCCAGTCAGAAGTTAATGGAGGAGGCTTTTGAAATCTGAAACTCATCTGCAAGCTGCTCAAGCAAAGCCCTTGAGGCAAAAACGTTTATTAGGAAAAGTTTAGCTGCTGGAATACCTCAGTGGGGTGACGAGCGGCAGTTTCACACAGCGCAGCGCCTCGGTGCCAGGCACAGCCTGGCCAGGCACAGCGCTTGCCTGCGCTCCTGCCGCACCTTTTCAGCCGCCTCACAAAGGCTTTGCGCGTCTTCGTGCGACAAACTCGGGGAGCAAGTGCTGCCAGCACTTACATAGCACCTTCTCCAAGGCAGCCCTAGCCACTGCAGCATAGCCCGGGCTTACGGAGACGTACCTCGGCGGCTGGCATTCAAAACCAGCGCTGTGCTTGCTCTCCGAGGAGTCCCACATCCTCCCTGCACACAGCAATCCTGGGTGTAGGTCCTGCAGGACAGACCTTTCACACTCTGCGTGGGTAGGTAGTAGAAGAAAGGCTGCCATGCCTCCTATGTTTGCTTTCCACCAGTGATAACAGAGCTGCTGAATGCCTTCATTGTACCAGGCGTGGAGTACACAGACGGAATAAAAAAAAGCTCAAATCTCATTAATTGCATGGTTGTAACTGCTGTTCATGATTAATTTGTTTTTGTCACTAGTACTGTGCCTGTTCATAGCAGAATTCGTTAAGTTATTCATGAATCTTTCAGGTCACAAACCCCTTTAGAGAATGGTAGTTTTCTGTTAGTTCTTAAACTAGCGCTGACAATACTGAAAAAAAAGATTTCTAAAGGACTGGCATCTTCAGATTTGAGAATTATCCCTGAAACATGCCCTGCAGAGGGGCTGCCTCCAATCCTTAAAAAAAGAAAATAAATATGAGGCTGTTATGGAACGCACAGCTATGTAAGGAAAAACATAAATTTCTGATCAGGCAGTTTTCCCTGAACCACACTCATAAAAGCTTTCTCTGTTTTTCGCTGTGCTCATCTTCACAGCTACCTTCACTGCTGTCAAGATATCGTCCTTAGTAAAGGTAACCTGGAAAGCTGGGGGTTCAGCATTGTAGGAGGCTTTGAGGAAAGCAAAGGAAACCAGCCATTCTTCATCAAAACCATAGTGCCCGGGACTCCCGCCTTCCGAGACAGGAAACTGAAGTACGTATGAGCCACCCCCAGGTCTCTGGTGTTTGTATCACTTGTCGGCACTTGTGTCAGCGAGCGCTGCGTTGCTGGGGGGCTGCCTCTTACCTTTTAACCAGCTGAGCTGACAGGTAAGGACTTAGAGGCTCCTTTGGGCAGTTACTACTGCGACCAAAGTTGCAGCAAACTAAGTCCTGTGTTAATGAGCGTTTTGGTTTCTCTATAAAGGTGCAACTAAAAGCAATTAACAGTTGTGCTTTAAAAGGCTGTAAAGATTTTAATTGAGTAATTAGATAAAAGTAGGAGGATGTTTGAGGTGGATCTTGGAGGTGCTAGAGTATGAAGTCTCCTGGATTGGGAGAAGTATCCGGAGCCCTTCTGTGCAGGATGCTGCAATGGAGCTTTGCTGCTGTTGGGCAGCAGTCGGGGCGAGCAGAGCCCAAGGAACTCGCGGAACTCTTGCAGCGGTCTCAGCAGGCTGCAAGTGCAGTGCTGTGAAAACCAGGAGCGAGGCTGCCGCCCTGCAGGGGAGGCGGTTTGGGTGCAGGGCTTTGCTTCCCCCTCAGAGCAGAGGGAAAGACCGGAGCTGGGTCAGAGCCTTGGTGGGAGGACTGGAGTCAAGTGGGCTCCTGTCCGAGCTGCTGGGGCAGCGCTGTGCATCCCCCCCTGACACAAGGCGGGGGGCTGGCTGGCTCCAGCCCCTCCCACACACCCCCGTGCCACGGCGGGGAGCAGATCGAGCAGAAAACCTCCCTTGAGCTGAGCTCCGCTGTGGCAGCATGCTTCAGCCTCGGCCAGCACTTCACCTGAGGGGCTGCTAGTCGAGGCCCTGCAGGAGCTCAGCACAAATTTGTTTTCTCTATCATTTCCCTCTGCTGACCGGCAAGCTGGTCCCGCTCCTGGTGACCTTCACTGCTGTGTCACTCAGGTACCACCAGTGTCCTCCTTTCCCTTGCCCTTTCTGACTCAAAAAATGGCTTCAACAAGGGAGTTGATGATCTTGGCTCAGGGTAGGCTAGATGTCCTTGGGGTGGCAGTGTTAATTAATAATTAATGATTATTCAGTCCTGACAAGCATGTTTCCTGTCTTCTGATTAGGTGTGGAGATGAAATCGTGGCAGTAAACGGAGTGCCAGCGATAGGAATGAGCAACTCGGAGCTAATCCCCATGCTGAAGGAGCAAAGGAACAAAGTCACGCTGACGGTGGTGTCCTGGCCGGGAAGCCTCGTGTGAAAGCTCAGACCAGACACACGCCACTGCCAGGTACCAGGTCTCACTTGGCCACCACCCAAAGCTAAACGTGACAGATAAACCAAGGGACTGCCAAGTGCAGCGCCACGGAAGCCTTTGAGCTTTTTGCAGAAAACATTTCTTTACTGTGCTGAGATCATCAACAGATCTGGTTGTTGGATTCAAAGGAACAGTTAACGTGAGCAGTTGGTGTAGCTTCACGGGCCCCTTAAAGCTCTTTAGGGTTGGTGTTGCAGAGGAAGCTCTCTTCCCTGTTTCTCTACAACTTGCCTTCGAGGTGCTCTCCTCAATTTGTAGAGCTCTAGCTTTCCATTTAAGATTTTGAAAAGGTTAAAACAGGCATGACTGGCCTGATTTCCTAGGGTAGTTTAACACGGTCCCGCTGCTGATCTCTGACTACCAGTCTTGGACATTGAAGCATTTTATACATGTTTTTAAAAGTCACTGATAAAACTGTAACAATGAGGACCCAATTAGGCAGTTCCTATAGCCCCCAGTCTCGATATTTTTAGGTCACAGAAACATAAATTAATGTGATTATACAATAAAAACCCTGCTGTAACTCTCAGAGCTGCCTGGTTATGGTGGAGCTGGGCTGACCTGTATGAAGGTCCTAGCACCAGGCAGCTGGTGTGAATCCTGATGTAGGATCCTGCCAAACCAGAGTTACCATAACACAAAGTTCTGCGTGATGTCGGCCGCTTACCAGCGGTCTGCTCTTGGTGAAAGGTGTCTCAGCCTCGAGGGGCAACCAGGAGAGGTGGCCCAGCTCTAGGGGAGATCAGAGTCACACGGCGCGTGTTTAGGGAGAGGAGTGGCTGGTTTGCAGTGAGATCGGAGGTGAGGGAGAAGGGATGCACGAGGCTCCTTGTCCCCACAACCTTGTTCCTCTGCAGCCTCTACCAAACTACCGCTGCTTTGGTTAAGGAATCGAGTGCATCCTCCACAGTAGCCAGAGCTAAGGAATTTAATTTTCACCCCCTTCCTCAGCTCGGTTTCGTGGTTTTATGACCTGGTAAAATGACCAGCTTTTCCCACAGAAGGTAGATGATTAAGCAAACAGGCTCCCAGAAACCTCAGTCCCGGGCTGCTGCTGTCTTATCTTTATCAGTTCCCCAGAGCTCAGGGGCGGGAGGACAGCCCAGGAGCAGCAGGCAGGTGCCAGGAGCTCCTGCAGTTCTGCTCCCGTCCCTCCTGCAGCTGGAGCAAGCTCTCAGCTCGCTGGCTCAGGGTGAGCCCCACCGTCCGCAATAAGCCACCGCAGGAGAGGGCCGCGTGCCCACGGCGCTGCCGCTCCAACCCCCGCGGCGGCTCCAATTTAGAAGAGAACAACTGAAGCCAAGGCAGGTGGCTCTGACCTGTGACACCTTGTGAAGTTCCCACCTGCAACCCCCCCCCAGGAAGCAGCTTCCTTTTTCAGCAGGTTGTTAATCGGCACTAGAAATGACAAACCCTTCTCAAACCAGGTTGCACTGAGAGATCTTTCCCCTTCTTCCGCCGTGCCCTTCCCAGGGCCAGCTCAGATTAAAAGAATCAAAGGAGTTTCTTTCCCCTGGAAAGATGCTACCTAGAATGAATGTTTAATTCCTTGTTGTAGCAAACTGTGCCCAGCATTGTCTTAAGGCTGGCCACTTCATAATTAGCAGAGTAGAATTGTTCCTTGCTAGATGACTTAGTTGTTTGCATAGAGTGACTTCACTTCCTCGGCTCTCAGCTCCAGGCAGCATGGAGCAGGACCTGCTATCAGAGCCTCGTGTACAGAAATAGTTTAGGATCCAATCGTCACAAAAGCTTTCCTGGCACACGGTGTGGCCTCTTTTCTTTGCTCGATAAATACCGCTGAGGACTCTGACAGCAGAGACAGCGCGTGGCCAGCTGGGCTCTGGGGCCTTTTTTCCCCTGTTGTTTCTACAGAATGCTGAGAGCCAAAGAATTCACAAGTCAGAAAGGTGCCTGTGGAAAACCAGTCACTCGACTTCTGTCTGACACAAAGGAACAGAAGAACCTGCAGCAATTTTTTGTCTCTTTCCAATCAATGTGCAGAATCTGGGCCTGGTGTGGAACAGTAAATATTGATGTAGATAGAGAGAGGGCGATTCCTACTGAGTAGTACCAAATGTCACTTGTATAAAGTACAGTAGGAAAAAGCCGGGCAGCTGGTGGTCAGGCAGCTGAAGTGAAGAGGATGCTGCAGAAAGCAGCTTGATTTTTCCTGTTGCTCCATCTCGTTTCAAGGTGCCTTCGACTTCACCAAAAAGTCCTAGTAATTTAAATATTGTTTCCAAGATCAGCTTGTTAATAGATGTTGAATTTGTTTTGATGCCTTTATAAATTATTGCGATATTACTGAAAAACATGGATTAGAGGTGTTGTTTTTTTTTTTTTTTTAACCTTTCTTTCCAGTGTATCAGCTGACCCCCAGAATAAGTCACCCCAACACCAGACATTCTCTGAGAAAGTGACTTGGTGAGGCAGGAGGCTCTGCTGCTGCTCCCAGCAAAGGAGCTGGACTATCCTGAGCTACCCCAGGGCTGTGACTGGGAAAAAAACCTGAACAAAAATACCCCCCCCCCTCCCCTTCCCCCTCAGCTGTGCCCCTGCTCCTGCCTGTGGGGCTCAGAATTGACTGAAGAGCTAACCCAGGGACTCAATAAAGCTTTATTTAAGGAGGTTTAACTCCCTGAGCTACCAGCAGGAGCTGCAGGACCTGCCCGGGGTTCCCCTTGCTGCTTTCCTTCCACCTGCTCTCCCCACGAAGCTGCCTGGAGCCCGCGTAACCAGGTTTGTGCAAGCGCTGCTGGGGCTGGGAAGGTGACACTCAGCACCTGGGGCTCAGCTCCAGCTTCAGTCCAGCACCAGTCCTGACACCCCCAGCCCAAACTGGCCTCTGCTGGGAATTATGAGAGCCACCGTTCAGTACCCGCCAGGAAACCTGCAGTAGTTACTTGATGCAAGTAAAGATGATTTCCAAAGCCCCGCTTTTAGCCTTCTCTAATGCATTAAAGGCTAAACATTTCACCTCAATTTATTTCATTCAAATAAAACCATTTCAAACTATTTCCTTTACGTGCACAGCTGCTGCTGGCAGCGTAAGCCTGCTACCATCAGCGAAAGGACTTGGGTCTGTCTGTAAATCGTTCAGAAAAACACAAGAGGAAGTTGCAGCACTGACGACTCAGTACAAGACACTCCATCCCCTCTCCCACGCCAGCAGCAGGAAGCCCAGGTGCAAAGTGGATGTAATCACCATTAATTACACCTGTTTACAGGCTGAGTAGCTACTGTCACCTCCACAACCAGGACAAGAGAGGAGCAGATGTGGAACAGCTCTGGCCACCCACAGAGAGGCACACACAGCCCAAGCCCTCTGGAATCCTCCTCACCTGTTTGATTTCTCCTCTGCCCACGCCCTGCCACAGCTGGAATAAAAACAAGTTCACCCCAAGTTCCTGAAAGCCCCCCGGGGCGATGCCCTAAATCGCAGCTTCCCGACCCAAACCCTGCCAGGGCTGCAGGGGGAGGGAGGCTGGGAACCCCGCTGCCTCCATCTCTGGTTCAGCACAACGCGCCTCCCCGCTGCACACGCATTTCCCACACTCTCAAACCACGTTTAAAAAGCTACATCAAAACAAAACAAATTAAAAAAAAAAAAAAACCAAAACAAAACAGATAAACACACCCCCCCCCCCCGGCGCTTTTCTCCTCTCCCCACAGGTTTTGCAGTCAATGACTCGGCCAACGCGCTGTCAGAGCGCAGAAGCTGTTACCGCAGCGCTGCCCTGGCTCGAGCCTCTAAGGTTGGAAGCTTCACATGACACACAGAGCTGCAAGATTACAAGCGAAGAGAAAAAAAAAAAAAGGCTGTAACATTTCAGGCCCGTGTTATCTTAGGGTAAGGATTTCAGTTTTAAATAACAAGTCAAAGTAGCGGAAGATCCTTCAAATGAGACACTTGTGGACTCTCAGGAACAGACGTGCAGCGTCCCAAGCACTAGACATACCCAAAACCTCTCAAAATTATTCTCCGCGTGCTTCCCCCGCAGAACCGCCTCTGTCGCTGCCCTCCCCAGCCGATACTAACGCCAAACAAACTCTGAAATTTGACTGAATTTATTTCGAGCTCTAGGGGGAAGGAATGCATTGCACAGGAGTGTTGGTGAGAACCAAGTAGAAATAAGCCAACCCCATGAGGGCAAACCGCTAGCTGGGACTTCATGTTCTCTACTGTGCTAAATTATTCAGGTCAACTCTTAGTTTTTTTTAAAAAAAAAAGTCAAAACTAATTAAAGAGGAACTCATGCTCTTGCTATGGGTCTTCCGTTGATTTCCCACTCAGAGGTGTAATATATGACAGAACTATTTTTGCAATGGATAAAAAAAAAAAAAAAACCCAAACAAAAAACCAAACCCAAGCTAGGTTTGAAGTCTTTGCACACCCTGTGTACACACACACGACACTTCTCGAAGCCGTCAGGCCAGAGCAGGATCTTGTGACCCAGCAGGAAAAGCCGCTCCTCCTCAGGCGCTGCCTGGCTGGCCACAGAGGTATCAGGAGATATTTTTGTAGCTAGAAAGAAATTTATTTGGGGATGGGACTTTTCACTACTAGAAACCAGACTCTAAGCTGGCTCTCAGGGTCTAAACGACACTCTTCTTTGGACAATAAATTTCAAGTCGCACTTACTGTCCTGGTTTTCAAAAAGGAATGATGATGATGAAAAAATAAACAAAAAACTATTACCTAAATGCATTAGTTTCAGCTGAAGCCATCTTCCATCAGAAACCATAGGATCTGATACAACAAAGTTCTCCCTAGGGATGTTTATGAGTAGAGTAGCTCAGTGCTTTGTATACTAGTACTGCTGTATTTTGTCTCGTATCAAAAAAAAAAAAAAAAGAGTTTTAACTGCATGTGCAGCCTCTGCTTCCAAACCACTGCAACACACTTCACCGCTCACCCAGAGTCAGCCTCTCCTCCCTTGGGAAAAAAATAAAAAATACAAAATAAAAAAAAAAAAAAAAAAAAAAAAACAATCAAACCCCCAAACCAAACCATCACCACTGCCACGCTGGTTCACAAGGAGTCAGTTCCTCCGGGGCGCAGGGCTGGGTGTGGGTCACTCCTTGGCATCCTGCTCCTCTCCCTCCTGGGCACCGTCTTCACTCGCCTCCTTCTCCTCTTTGCTCCGCTTGTTCTTTTTGTGCTTGTGACGCCGATGACTCTCTCCCTCCTCACTCTCGTGCTGCTTGCTGCAGGGAGGGGGAGAAAAGAGAGAAGGAATCACACCAGAGCCTCCCCCTGCCACAGAGGAGGCAGACCCCAGCGCGCCGAGGTGATGGCACCCCCTGATCCAGAGTCCCTCCCCACCTCTCCTGTCCCCCCTTTAAGCCCTGGGAGGCCGCTCGAAGGGCTCCCCGGAGCCTTCTCTCCTCCAGGCTGAACCCCCCCAACTCTCTCAGCCCGGCCCCCCAGGGGAGCTGCTCCAGCCCCCCCAGCATCTCCGTGGCCTCCTCTGGCCCCGCTCGAGCAGCTCCGGGTCCTTCTGCTGTTGGGGGCCCCCGAGCTGGCCCCAGCACTGCAGGGGGGTCTCCCCAGAGCGGAGCAGAGGGGGACAATCCCCTCCCTGGCCCTGCTGCCCCCCCTGCTCTGGCTGCAGCCCAGGGCACGGGGGGGTTCTGGGCTGCGAGCCCACGGTGCTGGCTCACGGTCATTTTCCCCCCACCAACCCCCCCAGCCCCTCTCCTTGGGGCTGCTCTCCAGCCGCTCCTCGAGGGCCCAGCCTGGGTTTGTGCTGGGGATTGCCCCGACCCACGGGCAGGACCTTGCCCTTGGCCTTGCTGAACCCCAGGAGGTTTGCCCGGCCCCCCCTCTCCAGCCTGCCCAGGTCCCTCGGGATGCCATCCCCGCCCTCAGCGTGTCCCCCACCACACAGCTCGGGGTCGTGGGTGAATCTGCTGTCCATGTCACTGACAAAGATGTCCCAATCCCTGAGGAACAGCGCTTGTCACTGCTCTCCACTGGGACATGGAGCCAGAGTGGACAGACCGCTGTTCAGAATAATTTTTTGTTCTAAGCAACATCTGTGTCCTTCCCACTGCTAAGGGAACCCTTAACAATTTTGACCCATCTCACACTTCAGCCTGAAGCACTGAGGCTGCTGAGAAAAAGAACAGTCCTAAATCCGAGAGATCTTTGAAACTTCCACTGCTCTGAACATCCCGGGGGAACCCCTGGCCTAGAGGCAAGAACGGGCTCAATGGAGCTGCAGAAACGTGGGTTTCCCAATGGGAGGCAGATCCTGTTTCTACTTCTCGCACAGAACTGACCCGGCAGTAGCTTTGTGCTTTAAAACTCCTCTGCCCCCTCTCCCAGAACTGTTTTCCAGCTGCAGCTGGCCAGCTCTGGACGTTTACACAGGATGTCTGTGATGTGGGGAGAAATCCCAGCCAGAATAACTCCGAGGCGGCTGCGCGTGGCCCGACACCCCCCACACCCCGCCGTCAGCCGCCGCCTCCCATCGCCCAGAGCGGGGAGGTGGGAGCTCTGGTTTTGCCCCCTCTGGTTTTTCAGCCACTCCTGGGAAGGGATTTTCTGCTGCTTCTCAAACGTGCAATTATTTCTCCTTACAGGTTGAAAACCAAGTGAGCTCCCCAGGGGTGAAGGCAGCAGGATTGAAACAGAGCAGAGGAAAAAGCAGATAAAAATTGATCCCAGGAAGCTGTAGAGCCACACAGCGCACACACGCAGCTCCACGAGTGGGGACAGTCAGGTGTAGAGACAAATTCTTACCACAGCTGGAATACCAGTTTAGCAGCAGGAACACCTAACTGGCTGAACCACTGAAGCGCTGGCTGAAAATCTCCTGGCTGCGAGTAATTTTCTGACTTGTTTAATAAATGGTTTCATAGTCATTAAAATGAAGGGGGGGGGGGGGGGGGGGGGAAAGAAAGAGAAAAAAAAAGTTGCTGCCTCTCCTGAACACATCTTCAGCCACCTTGTGGACAGCGCCGTGGCAGTGGTTTATGCTTGAACAATGTGACTGTCCTTTAATATTTAAACGAGCGTCAGTGATTTCCTTCAGCCTGGTCAACTTGCAGTAAACTGGAAACTACAACAAAGCCCTTTCTTCTTCCTGCAAATGCCTTCAACAGGCTCAGCTCTCAAAGTGCCTCGAGCAGGGACTCCGACACGCACCTGAAGTGGCCTTAAACAAGAGATATTCCTCCCTTTGCTTTAGGTAACAAACACTTCCCATCCTACCACTCTGAGCAAGGCAGAGCATCTGCGTGTGGTTTGAGGGGCAAAGGGAAAGTCACCTCGTTCCCAGCTCGTGCTGCAGCCCCGTTCTGTAAATTGAGCTCTCAGGCAGAGCCTGACACTGCTGTGGAGAATTCCCCCTTGTTCAGGCAGTCGGGTATCTAACACTTCAATTCTGGGTAGAGGAAGCTGAGAAATGGCCCTTAAAGCTACTGGCTCGTTAGTCTGGTATCAGCTCAGCTTCCATTTATTTTGTATTTAATTTTGATTATGGTCCTGGCCTTACTTCCCATCTCTTTGTTTCCAACCCGTCAGCAATCAGTCCTTTCTTGAAAACATATTCATCTCCTCAAGGATGAGAACAGCCTTTTGCCTCCAGTCACTATGTAGGAGTTTTCCTGATACCAGTTTCAAAATAAGGTTAATTACCTACAGAGCTGACAGGAATTTCATCTAAAAGAAGGAAGTTGAAGCACAAAAAAAAAAAAAAAAAAAAAAAAGAGAGCAAGTCCGCTCCAGTCATTACCAGGATGTAAACTGACACAGAGCACTGCCTCAGACCAGAGACCAGACTTTGCTAGAAGAATGCTCTGGCAGGAAAATCATCCATAGCAAATAAATTTTCTCCAGAAAAGCTGGGATTTTAGGACATCCTGCTCTGCTCCAAAAGTGTTTCACCTTTGTCCAGGATCATCATCAACCTCGCTCCCGGAAGCCCTGGGCGCAGAGCTCTGATCACGCAGTGCTCAGCCTCCTCCTCCAAGAGGAAATTTCCAATTACAGGCTGAAAGAAGCTCTTCTCTTCTGCACAAAACCACCTAATGCCGAAAGCCGATGCTTCTGTTATGGCTTTGCATTTTACTTTGTGTGTACTTCCGAGCAGTGAGAGCTACGCCGTTCCGATCTGCTGTTTTAGCACAGGTCAAGCTCTCCTTTGTCAACCAGCGCTGCCATTCTGTGGCCAGCTGCCTTCCTAAGAACTTAGGAGCACCGAGGACTCCTCTCCCTGTCAGCCAGCTCTGCCTCCTGCCCAGGTACGCGCCCGAGAGCTCTTTCTCTCGCCTGGGTGTCACATCTCAGGACATCAGCGGGTCACAGGAAGCCAGCGCGACACCGTGAGCATCAAACGTCTCGTCTGCAGCTCAGGCGTGTTCCCACCAACGGCCCAGTTCAAGCCCAGACACCTCTTACCGTCTTGAAGACTTATGCTTGCTGCTCTCCTCTTTGTCTCTGTGCCTGCGCTCGCGGTGACGATCCTCTCGCTCCCTGCTGCGATCTCGACTCCGGCGGTAGTCGCGCTCGAAGTCGTAGCTGCGCTCTCGGCTGTAGTAGCGGTACCGCTCATCGTCACTTACGAAGAGAAAGGAGAAGTGAGGCAGAGGAACAGCCCGTCGTGGACCCGAAGGTCAGGAGCCACGTCCGCAGGACTGTAACATCCCACCCTCACCAACAAAATCTGTCGCACCTCTTATTCTATCAACAGGCTGAGGTGTTCGCGATGCTCCTGAGAAAACCTGTAACAATAAGCTGCTGCTGCTTATTGAACCCAATCCCAGTTTCTAACCACAGTGAAGTAACTTTCTCCGTTTGCCTATCGCACAGCCCAACCAGTTGAAAAATCATGGCTTTCTCCCGGCCCCTCAAGGCAAGAGGTTTACCAAATCTGTTCTCTGGATTTGCCAAGGCCTTAGCAGCAGGCACGTGGCCAACATCTCAGGGCTTTTGTCCTCACAATCCTTCTGGAATACGTCCAAGACGTCCAGCTACCCTGTTCAAAACTGACAGAAACATGCTCCTCTCACCATTCTGCCTCCCCTGGTGCTGGGTTTTACCTCACAACACTATCGTCCCACATAACCTGTAATTCTTTTGTATCAGTTAGACTGAGGGACTGTTTTCTTCCCCGTGAGTTTGAAAACTCAAACTGTGAATACAGCTGGCATGGTCTTTCTGCCTACACCCACCCGTCTGCTCGAGGCACCTCATTCAATCCACATACAGGAGCGGGCAGGATGTACCCCAAATTCAGATACATCCCACACTCCCCTTCCCTCTGCATCTGAAAGCCAAGAGTTGGAGGGTTAGCAAGTCCCACGGTGGGAAACAATATTCAGACTCAGAGAAAGGAAGTCTGAAACATCACCCTAACAGTCACAGAAACAAGCCAGACAAATGTCCAGTATCGATCACCTGGGAGTGCTGCAAATGACTCTGCTGCACATGGCTACTTGCCCTGCTTTGGCAAACACGATCTTAGAGGGCAGCGTGCTCGGAAGCACCCAGAAATGCTCACAATGTGCTCAGGAGTGTTGAGCACGGGGCTTGGCGGCAGCATGAGCCTGCTCAGGGGGTGTGGGAGTCTGAGCTCTTCAAACTGCAGCAACTTTGTCTTCTGTTCCTCCCCCCTTCCACCCAAAGGCTTGTAGGGAAAAAAAGGGGAGGGGAAAAATAAAAAAAAAAAAGGGGGTTAGGAAAACACCACCCTCTCTGCTCACCCCCTGGGGTGGGAAGTTCCCCAGCAGGCAGCACCCCTCTGCCAGGAAAGCACATTCTGATCATGTTTTGAATGACTATTGGTATTTCTGAGCCTGAAGCCTGCAAAACACTGATGTTGCCTGTGATAGAACAGAAGTGATGGGTGTAGAATGGGCCTTTGCAGCTGAGCCTTGACTTTAGTCCCGCAGATCAACACTGTGGGGGGTGAGAGCCTCCTCTCCCAAGTGCTCCCAGCACCTCTGTTGCCCGAGATCCCACCAGCTCCCACCAGGGTGGTTTCTCCAGCGCTGCTGGCAGAACCGCCCGGTTAAGGATTAACATTTCATGGCTGCCTGGCGGTGAACCCCACTCCTTGCCCTGAAAGCCTCTACAGGAGAGCTGAGCGAAGCAGGGGTGGTTTTGCCTTTGATCTGACAGTTACATTTAGAAGACAAGAGGCAGCAGCTTCTAAGGCCAGTGTTTCACGCTGAGCTGTGAAATACCCAGTAAACAGAGAGGGGCTATTTCATTTACTGGCCTCACATTACAGGTGGGAGAGCAAGCGTAACTGGTTCTGCTGGATTTAAAAACACAGACACAGGAAATCAGCCAGTGACATTGGCACCTGGTTTGTCCTCTAGATATTGATCCAAAGTATCTCCCCCCTAGACGTTCGAGAAAATTAACCCGGTATAAATCTGTAATCCCAACCCTTGACCAAACACCTTCTGGTGCTCCAGGGCGAGGCCAGAGCCCCGCACTGGGAAGCTGGGAGTAGAAGCTGCCAAAAACCAGCACTCACTTGTTGTATTCACTAGTGGTCGGGGTGCGGTCTCTGTCTCTCTCCCTTTCCCTTTCCCGCTCGCGTTCCCGCTCCCTCTCGCGCCTCGAGCCCGAGTACTCCCAATGGCTGCTGCTGGAACTGCTTGTGCCTTTGTCCACCGTCGTCACCCAGGGCGTGTGGGACGTGGAGATGGGTGGGTAGCTGATGAAACCCGAATCTGCGGCGAGAGAGCAGAGTCCTTGTTCACCTGAAGCACTAGCAGCATCCTCTCTGCCCCTCCAAAAATACCCTCAGAGGTACAAGGGGAACCCAAGGAGGCAACAATTCTCCCTTTTTACTTTCAGCAGTTTGCCACGGATATGTGAACACCTCTTCCCTGAGGAAGACGCAAGACCAGGTATTTACAGACGTTGCTGCAAAATCCCCCCAGCCCTTACGCTGGGCATTAGCGTGAGGGCTATGCACTCCCCCAGCTCTTGTTCTCTATAGGTCCTGCTATATAGGCCCTGCTAGAAGATTTCCACTGAGCAAAGTTTCGATCCATCCCTCCCAGACACACTGGCTTAGAGGGCAGAGGTGCCTGTGATGCCGAGGTCCCCCTCGCCCGCTGGCTTTAGTTAGCCCCAGGCTCCTGGCCACTCGTACAAAGTCCCATCACCAGGTACCTTCTCGCCCAAGGTGGCGCCTGGGGAGGCCCAGGGGCACCAGCTGTTAATGGAAGGTGCCACCTCATGAGCCCAGAGCCACCAGGACTTCCCCACCCAGCCGCTGGGGCTGGCTCAGCTGGCCCTGCGGGCTCACGTCCCGCAGCAGCACCCGCTGCTGAAAAGCTGCGCGCACGCCAGCACCCCAGGCTGCCCTCGGTCGGGAAGGCACTGCCCGCTCCCCCAACCTCTGGGGGGGAGCTGCCCTGGGACTCTGCTCAGCGAGGAGAGGAGGTGCCACTCACTAAGGCAAAGGGGAGAGACTGGAGGAACTGCTGCAACAGGGAAGGAAACTCGTGGAAATTTGGGCACTGCCTCCGTTCAAGGGGAGGCAGATGCCTGCGTGTGCCTGTAGGCAAGGGAGATGATAAAGTGGGGGAAGAAGAGATGCAAAGCTGAGGGTGGTGGAAAAGGGAGAGAGTGCGAGTGAGTGTGAGCAAATACGGGTGGTAAACAAGCACAAGAACATGTTGCTGAGGCACATGGGGAAGCTTCTTTGTTGCTGGGTACCTGCACGGAAAACAGTGATCCGAGGCTTAGCACTCAACTACTACATTGCATTCATCACTGCTGCAAAACATTCAGCTTTCCAAACACCTTATGGTGTAGTCAAACTTGGCACGTGTCTAGTGACTGGGATGGTTTGGGGCACAAGCAAGACCCTAAAGTTAAAGCAAGCATGACGGCCATCAGCTTAAGGACAGCCTAAACTACCAAATACCAGAGAACAGAGATAGAAGCGGTTTATCTCCCCAGTGCTCACCTGCAGAGTTGTAGCCAAATGGAGGAGGCTGCCTGTTATTGTAGCTGGCTGGCTGGCTTTGGAGAGAGAGAAAGAAAAGGATGCAGGTTACCAACACCCTCGCAGGTACGTCTGTGCTGCAAGTTTGCCCTATTTTTTCTGAAGGTCTGTCAAACATCTGCAGGGGAAACCCAGGTTTCAGTCAATCTCTTTCACTTTGCACTGCAAACAGTCAGAAATGCAGCTGCCTTGCCACAGCTGAAACAGCTGTAACTCAATTGCTTCTCCTGGTTTTCCCCTCCCTTCTGTAGATGAGGCAGGTTCCCTGGGCAATAACTCAGGCTTACGAAGTACAGGGAGAATCTTTACAGAAAACACCTGAAGTAACATAACATGCTATCAGCTACTCTATACTAGACCCAAGCACACACCTAGATTTTATTTACTCCTTCTCGTGTCATGAATATGACATATCAAGGTAAATGCAGAGGATTCATAGAATCATAGACGGGTTTGGGTGGGAAGGGACCTCAAAGCCCCCCCAGTGCCACCCCCTGCCCGGGACCCCTTCCCCCAGCCCAGGGTGCTCCCAGCCCCGTCCAACCTGGCCTTGAACCCTTCCAGGGAGGGGGCAGCCACAGCTGCTCTGGGCACCCTGGGCCAGCGCCTCACCCCCCGCACAGGGAACAATTTCTGCCTTATATTTAATCTAAATCTATCCTCTTTCAATTTAAACACCCATCACCCCTCATCCTGTCCCTATACCCCCTGACCCAGAGTCCCTCCCCCCCCTTTAGCCCTGGGAGGCCGCTCGAAGGGCTCCCCGGAGCCTTCTCTTCTCCAGGCTGAACCCCCCCAACTCTCTCAGCCCGGCCCCCCAGGGGAGCTGCTCCAGCCCCCCCAGCATCTCCGTGGCCTCCTCTGGCCCCGCTCGAGCAGCTCCGTGTCCTTCTGCTGTTGGGGGCCCCTGAGCTGGCCCCAGCACTGCAGGGGGGTCTCCCCAGAGCAGAGGGGGAGAATCCCCTCCCTGGCCCTGCTGCCCCCCCTGCTCTGGCTGCAGCCCAGGGCACGGGTGGGTTCTGGGTTGCGAGCGCACCGGGCTGGCTCACAGTCATTTTCCCCCCACCAACCCCCCCAGCCCCTCTCCTTGGGGCTGCTCTCCAGCCGCTCCTCGAGGGCCCAGCCTGGGTTTGTGCTGGGGATTGCCCCGACCCACGGGCAGGACCTTGCCCTTGGCCTTGCTGAACCCCAGGAGGTTTGCCCGGCCCCCCCTCTCCAGCCTGCCCAGGTCCCTCGGGATGCCATCCCCGCCCTCAGCGTGTCACCCACCACACAGCTCGGGGTCGTGGGTGAATTTGCTGAGGGTGCCCTCGATCCCACTGTCCGTGTTGCTGACAAAGACATTAAACGGCTCCGGGCCCAACCCTGACCCCTGAGGAACAGCACTTGTCACTGCTCTCCACTGGGACATCGACCTGTTGTCCACAATAATCTGAGTGTGACCATCCAGCCATTCCCTACAGACTCTGCCCTCACCCCCCCACCCCAGTCCAAGACCAGACTAAGAATTACTAGCACTGATTTTAGACCTGTCCTCCTCCCTTCCTCACTTCGGAGGAGCTGTTCCGATGGCTCAGCCCAGGTGTGGTCTTACCCATCCAAGGTTGGAATGAGGAGAGCTGGTGGTGGTGCCAGAGGAGGCGGGAACAACCCTAGACACAGAAGTGCAAGTCATCACAAAGATCTCACAGTTTGCCAGGAGAGAACAAGACTTCATCGCTGTTTACAGTTAAATGCAGTTAAAGCATCTTTTTACTCTAAACAAGGCACTGTTTGAAATGGAATAACCCCCTTAGGGTTGTATCTCCTACCAAAATTAGAGCCTTACAGCTGTATTACTTCTATAGGAGTATGGAAAGAAAAATAAAGGAAGAACTACCTTCTATTTTGGCTTACTTTAAACGTAAGATTCATTCAGGAGTAAACATTAACCCTTACATTCCTGCGGAAGACAGAAAAGCCTGGTTCTTGGGATGTAGACATGTTGCAAATACAGCAAAGGTTTTCTTGCTCCATTGATTAAAATGAGTAACTTTGTCTCTTACAAAGCATGTAACACAGAATTCACCAGGTTTTGTTTGTTTTTAAAGAAAGCCAATTTTCTGAGTACATAGACATTTAAAAATCATGAGAAGACGCAGCACCAACGATGCAGAGTTGTCTGACACTAAAAATGTTGAACACATTAAGAGTTATTATACCAAATCAAAAGGCATTATCTTCAAGAAAGTAGAATTAGGCAGAAGTTTATGAAGGCTGCTTCCAGAAGTGACATAAGCCTTGGAAGGCAAAGTCCTCAACCCTGACCAATCTCAAAGTGAGAGGGACACGCTGACTGCTCGTAAGGGAACTTCTTAAACTTGTATCCACAACTATAAGCAACCATTATTTCTACAGGCCAACAAGAACAGAATAACTACTCATTGGTTTGACTTTGCATAAAAACTCCCCAGTTTATTACTGAACAAAAAAAAAAAAAAAAAAAAAAAAAGGAGCAAATTGTACTCATACAAAGGCTAGGAGTCACCTAACTGTGGCCATTTCCATTGAAGGTAGCAGCTCCAGGTTCCTTTTCAAGTCAGTGGAGATTGAGCCACCATAGTCAATGAAACCACAGGACAATTCATCACCTCTCACTGTGAACACCTAAAATGGGTCACGGGAACTAGCAGCTGAGTGCTGCAACATCTACAGTCAAGATCAGTTTGCATCCAGTTTCGCTACAATACAGTTCTACTAAATCCAAGCTTACTATGAGCAGGTTCCTTCTAGTACAACAATGAAAACCAGCCCTGCAATATTACTGTACACTGAGAGAAGTATGAAAAGTGACATTTTAACAAGCACAGGAATGTTCTCAGCAGGGGGGATAGCCCAGTGTAGGTTTTCCCATATTTCCATTTGGGAAGCCCAGGGCAGAGCATGAACACAAAAGCACAGACACAAAAGCTGCGAATCGAGTCTGACGTGTCTGACACATAGTGAGGACAAGCACATCACATCCAAAGTCTGTGGTGCAGACCTTTTGCACGTACATGAATCAAGTGTAACACAGAAGCAGTGGCCCGACTGCATGCACATGGTCACCATCAGCCTTGGATTTTCCTACATACGGTGTCTGGTCAGAACGATCACTCCAAATGGACAAACAGTTAAATTTGTTTTCACTGGACCAGGCAAAATTTTCAGTAGGAAAAAAAAAAATATTATAGCTAGAGGAAACTCAGTTTCACAGTAGCTCTGAATTAGGTCCTTGACTTAGATAAAAGACTGGTTACTACATTTCTTTATTAGTATTCACCATCTCTACTTCACACCAGGAAGCAAAGGCTTCTGATGGAAACGGCATCTGTTCTGCTCAGTCTCACTCCAAATTCCTATACAAAGCACCAATTTGCCACTCAGACTTTTGCTGTGCAAATGCCGTAACAAGAACTAAGCCATCTGAAATCTAAGTGGCTTTTGCCATCTGAAGTTCTCCATTTCACTTTCTTGATTGGTCTTCACAGACAAAACAAGATAGCATTAAGAAGCCCTACAGATTATTTAGGTCCAAGAATGTAAGATAAGCAGCTGGAGTTCAGTGCTGCATTGGTGTTTATTAGCCTTAAATTAACTGTGCTCTAAAAGGAGTTTTGATGTCATCCTCTCTTGTGGTACTTAATCCCAACGCTCAGACAGGGCCATCTGTGTGTTCAGAATTGCTGCTGTTCTTAAGAACAAGTTAACACCTACCTGGGATAGGCCCGGGGGGCGGCAGACCTGGGGAAATAAACAAGCGAGCAAACCGGGTCAGGACAGCAGGCAAAGCATCTCCTCTCTGCACCTCAAGCTAAACCTAAAAGCACACTTTGAACAAATGTCACATATTTGAGCAAACAGACCAACAGAAAAATTGGTGCTATTAAGCAGTAACAAGCCTACAAGACTATTGTAATCTTCCTAAATTACGATCTCTTTACCTTTATAATCTAAGTATTGCTGCTCTTTTACACTGGAGAATTCCTTCTTCCAAGTGTCAACACACAACCAATTGATTTGGCCTTCAGAACAACTGAAGGAGCTGGAGAGGAGAACCTGCTGCAGATGCCAGTGTGTCCTTTTGCTTGTTTGTTGTTTTTTTTTTTTTTTTTAAACTTTAAAAAAAAATGTCAATCACATCTGCATAGTGAAATCAGACACCCTGGGTGGTAGCCAAAAGAAAGAGTGAACAATTTATCCTTTTTTTTTGCCAATCATTTTAATGAAAGGCAGTAGGAAAAGCTACCATGGTCCACCAGTAATGCTGTAATAATTCTCCTCAGATTAAAAGCGTTGACTGTATTTTTTATTCTGTATTTTCTGCATGTGGAGCCAGTGCAAATACAGGAGTTGCTGCATGACGTGCTCCGGGTGACTCCTCAGAAGTCTGGCTGCTGCCTACAGGACCAGGGAAAGCCCGAGTGTGGCCTTCCCTTCATCCTCAATGCACTATTTAAGCCAGAAGCAACAGGGGCACAGACACAACTCACGTTGGATCAGAAGATGCGCAGACTTCGTAGGAACTGAAGACAGAAAAATGTGCCTTAGGCCATGGCCAGTATGTCTGTAAACTTGCACTGGAAAGGGTCAACAGAAAAAACACCCTATGTCCCCTGGAAAAGGCCAAGACTACGCATATTTGGCCTTTTCAGTTGCAAAGTTCTTTGTTCTATCCACCAGTATTGCTCTATTTCACCTGGTGCCCAGAAAGTAGTGCTGGCCTCCATGTTGCAGATGCATTAAGAAACTTTGGGGAAACTGAGTTATTACACGTGCAGAAGAGGCAGTGAAACTGTTCTGTAACATGGTGCTCAAGACAACAAAGTAGAAAAAAAAATTGAAATTTTACCTCTGCTATTTCAATAGGCTTCAGGACTCAGCCTGTAACTGCAGGGGCAAAGGGCATTCCTGCAGGCACAGGGCTTATCTGACAGTGTCTTCTCAAGTGCCAAGTGCCCTCAGCACAATACAAACCCATCTGGTTATTGGTAAGAGCACGTGAACTTGCCATGTTGAGGACTGACCACACCCAATCAGGTAGAGACCCATGGTAAAGACCTCATTTATATTTTGCTTTTAAAATGAAGCACTGCTCTAATGTCAGCACTGGACACTAGACTCTTGCAGCAGTAAGAGCCATCCTGCAGTGGCAGTTGGTACAATAAAATGCAAAGAAACCAACACAGAAAGACACAAATCTTGGTACTTCAAGGCATAAACCAACCAAGAACTGACCTGGAGTAGGAAGAAAGCTGCTTGTTAGAGCTGCTGTTGCAGAATTGCCAATTGCAGCAAAATGAAACATCTTTCCCTTGAAACATCTGCAATCTGTCATAGTCAGACAGGATCCTGAACTAAACAGCCTGCTCATCTGACACAGGACAGCAATTTCTATGTTCTTAGCTTCCTCCACAGCTAAACAGAAGCTCATTTCTTCACATTTATCAATAAAGCAAACAGATCAGTAGCACCCAAAGGCTCCCTCACAGAAACAAAGCCTCAAGTTTTTTTCAACAGCTGCCATTTTTTAAGTATTCAAAGGTAAATGTTAAATAGGCTGACGGAGACACTGAACAAAGATTGTCCAGGTCTAAAGACCTGTTCCCTGATTGCTCAACCGTCCCATAGTATTTCACGATTAAACCTTTGACTCGCTCCAAGCCGTGGACATCCTAACTTGCAGCCTCAGACTGCCACATATTGCTGCGTAAACACCTACCTGGCGGATGCAGGGGAGGTGGAACAGAAGTAACTGGTGGAGGAGGGTGGAGGAAGTGTGGTGGAGGTGGCCCAGCGAGCGGGGGAGGCGGTGGGCCTGCTGGTGGTGCAAACGGCTGTTGCTGAGGTGGCTGTTGGGGCTGTGATGGCTGCTGGGGCTGTTGTGGGGGTTGTGGCTTACTTCCGTGGTCTCCAAGGACCTTAGAAGGCAGAGGAAGGAGAAGAGAGTATTTTAATCTCTTTGCTCCTGCAGCTAGGACCTCACTGCGCTGGCACAAAGGGAGCATATCACCAGAGCAGGCAGCACTGCGATACCTGGAAAGACCAGGCTACACTATACCCAGGGGATAACCTCTCTGGGGAGGAGGAAGGATGGGTGATCAAAGCAATCAATATGCTTAGCAAGGTGTCTTCTCTTATGCAGAACAGTGGCGAGACCGAGTTCTAGCTGGATACACAACTATGCAGGAGAGTTGACATTTTAGTGCTATGAACAACTTCTGTTCATGGGAACTGCCACTGATAGAGGCTTCAGATTAAAAGCTGCCATAGTTCAAGGTGACACAGTAGTGCTTTGTTTTTTTTTTTTTTTAAACCCAATTTATCTTTCCTGAGGGCAGCAAGAGGCCAAATTCTGCTCTAGATTGTGCACACTGTCAGACAAAAGCAGGCCACCTACCCACCACTGCTGAAGGAATGATCAATAGGCAGAGATACCAGAATGACCTGGAAATACAGGTATCAATGCTTGTAAGTGGGAGGAACAACAACCATTTCCCAGCAAATTCCTTCTCTCAGGCAAACTCTTTTTTGACCCACTGTTGGCAAAATTTGGAAAACTGACCACTAAAAAAATAAACAGACGACAAAAACACATGTGAAAACAAAACCAGGAATTACATCTAGACAGGGGAAAGATTCCATATTTGGTTGTGGGTTTTTTTGGTTTTTTTTTGGTGAGTTAGTAGTGGTTGGTAGGAAGAAGGTGGTTAAGAGAAGAGTTCTCAACAGATGGCCCTCAAACCCTACACACAGCACCTTCCTACCTAGAAGCCAACCAGGACATTATGGTCACACACCGGACACACATGATCAGAACTGAGTCCAGTTTCAGACCCCAGGCTTTTATTTCTTATAAGGGACAAGATGAGGTAAGACAGGCCTGCCCTAAGTCTGAAGTGTGGGCTGCATCTAATGACGCTTAGACTAAGCATTACTTCACATTAAAGAGAAACACAAGCCCCAAGTAGAAGTCCTCCCCTCCAGAACTGGAGATTCCAACCCGACAGCGGAGGGGAAGGGAATAATCCACATAAGAGCCTCCCAGCTACACACCCCAAGGAATAATGCGGGAGAGCTGCTGAGGAAAGGAACTTGGGCCTTACCATTCAGACGGGAAGGCTAATCTTTGCAGAACAATCCCTAGCTCCTAGCAAGGTACAGCTTTTAACACAGAAGTTAATTCAACCTGCAGAAGGGAACGATGCATGCATACGTCTCGGTAGGGTCGATGTACTGCCTACTGCTTTGCAGACAGAAGCAGTGACACGGGAGGTCAGGAACACACAGACATTTGCTCAGGGCTCACTAGGAGTGCAATACAATCAGAAATTTGTCAAGATGGAGCAAAACATTTACCTGAATTGGGTTTTCCTCAGAGGCATGCTTATCACGACGTCTTCCTTCTACTCTCCGAATTGTGCCTGCCTGGCCACCGATCACATCAATCGTCCCACCCAGCTTCCTAGTACAAAGCAGATGTATCTTTTTAGGCTCAAAGACATGAGAAGGAGAAATTTTCCCCATCATTAGTCGGACTTCTCTTGTACATTCTTTTCCACCAGGGAAAAAGTCTCCAGAGGCAGCGCTCACATTGGACAAGAAGTGAATGAGAAGTCTTTTTTAACTTGTGAGCAATTTGAGCTTTGCTTGCAAGGGTGAGTTAGGTCTCTGAACACCCAGAAACATGATCCAGAGAATCACCAAGTACAGGTGCAGTAACACAGATGGCACACTCTGGTTCAGAGCTGAAATCCTTTACTCACTGTCCAGGTTTGAATAGTCATTACCACAGCAGGCTCAGGGAAAGCAGAGGATATTTACCAGAAGAAGCCTGTAATGTTGTCAGCCCAGATTTTTCCTACCTTCTGTCTAGTATTCCCAGTGTTGCTGATACCACTGAAGTTATTTACAAATCAGATTCTCGACACTTACTAGCCTACCTCCCCGAGGTCTACTCTGTTTCTATTAAAGGTAAAAGTTTTGCCACTGCCTTCAATGAAATCAAGGCTAGATCCTTGAAAAAAAAAAAAAAAAATGTAGCCAAGAAACAGTTCTGTCTTTGCACCAGTGGACATCAGTCACAGAACCTACAACATTCCATGTTTTTTTGTCTCCATACCCAGGTCACTCTTAGGGGTAGAACGTTTTTATAGGAGCTCATTGTAAGGTCACCACAAGTAATGGTTTGTGAGAGAGGAGCACCCCAACTGAAGTTTAAGCATCCCTCATCCTATATCCACGCCATGATTGATTTGGGTACATATGGCCTTAGACATCTCTTCCAGCAGTTAGGATAGAAAAACGTCAGCACTTTTCCAAGTGAGACTGCAGAATTTTCTATCTCAGTAGGAAATTTAGACAAAGTGGATATAAAAATGCTGGCTAGTTGGTGAGTTAAAGTTTGCTCACTGAAATCTGCTCACTTTAAGAACAAAAAAACCCCGAACAACTCATTGCTGAGCCCATTGGTTTGATGCTGCTGTGGTGTACAGAGATACTCGTTCTGGTCCTGACCAAAAGCTCTGCTGCAGGAATAGGATCTTGTGTGTCAGTACTTTCAAAACTAGACTGAAAGTTAAAATGGACAAAACCAGTACAGTCACAGTAGCATCAGCTTACTTTGCAGTGGTGTAAATTTTCAAAAATCTCATGAGATATGCATAACAGCTGCAAACAAACCTGACTGCATTTGATGCACTATGAAGGGGGACAGAAATGCCACCAAAGTGCTTACGTGCAAACAGACTAAGTAGAGCTTTAAAGCTTATACTTGAAACATACAGTTGGTTCCCAGACAAATTGGAAAGTTAGAATGCAAGACTGATTTCTGCAAGACAGTTGTGCAAAATATGCAATGTGAATAAAGCAACAGAAACACCAAGATCCCAAAGCTCTGGCTCTTCTGGTTTTACATACCTTTGTTTTTCTGAAGCTTTTGATAAAAACCCATCAACCTCAGAAGGTCAAAGTGGTTTTCCCAGCAGCAGCTGCCAATCAGAATGACTCAATTGTTTTGCTTTGTCCAGCCTGGTGGATCCTCTCTCTCATTGGTGAAAATAACTAATTAGTGTGCATCAAGCAGCGTAGCACACAGGTTCAGAAACTAATAGCTCCTCTTATCAGCTGCCAAACATGTAATCCGCTTCCACTTAAGGAGGCACAGATTAACATCGTGGGAGTAAGAATAAGCCAAGTAAGCACAAGCAGCCAGCAAAGTAAACCCTCAAAGCTGAGATATTTGCCTTGTTTTTTCACTCCCAGAGATGTGTCCCTTCAGCTGGCATACAGTTTCCCTCCCTGTGCGGTGCTATACTGAGAATATTGCCAGGAGAGATAAATGTGTAGGGAGGGGTTGCACAACCCTCAGGAGCACACTGCTGAAGACAGTAGTTCATGAGTGACCACAGTAGCCTCCTGTGAAGTTTAAAAGCTGCTTCTGTTTCAGGCTTGAGGAGATTCAGATAAGGCCCGGGTGGATCCCAGCTACCCCTGTGAAGAACACAGTGCACCCAGGCTTTATGTCTGCATCATCTCTTACCTATTAGGAGGAGGCCCAGCCTTCATGCGTCCTCCCACCAGAGCCAAGAAGTCTGTTTTGAATTCTGTTTTGATGATGTTGTTTTCCACTTCTTTTTCAGCATTTCCTGTTCTACCTTGCTGAACCTGTGGAAGGCAATATGTAACACAGCTTTAATGCCCTTGCTTTCAACTGAATGCAGCATCAGAGACTAATCCTTAGCAAAGAAAAAGGTCTCCCCTGAGGAACAGTCACAGAGCTTTTGCAAAAAAGCAACCTGTTCTTCAGTCAAGGTGGCAGACATCTCTGTAAACTAGCTGGCTATTCCAGCCTCAGCCTGCTGTCCACTGTCTCCTGTCAGAAATCCAAAAGTTTATTAATCTCATATCCTTTTTCATATAGTCCTTAAATCAAAACTGGAAGTAGTAATACTTGCTGAATTGACTCTTTGGCTGAAGTTCTGATTAACAGCTGTTAGCCACCTGATGGACTCCTGCAGAGGCTGGATGGCCCAAGCAGTCACCAAAAAGGCAGCCACACCAGTCAACAGCAACAAGCAAAACAGCCATGGCTGCCCAGCTCCCCTCTCTACACTGCTCGTATCCACAGGATCTTCCAACCAGACATCCCTATAGCTGAGTGGCCTCACAGTCAACTGGAAATTCACTCAAGTCTCGCTCCTGTAGTGGTTCAAACCTGCCAGGCAGCTGGAACTGTTTGTTCCATAGAGAAACAATTTTTAGCAGAGATATTTAACATTTAAAGATACATTTTTGTATTTCTCATCACTGAAAGGAACAGAGAACAGTTAGGTGTTAAGGCATCTTCTGCTCTTGTACTCTCACCTCTGTGATTAAAGAAACAAACCCCAGTTTTATGGTAGCCATATACAGGAGTAACATGTCACCTACCGTGATCTTATTTTCGGTGGTGATGGGAGGAGCAGGATCCAGGCCAAGCTGAAGCCGTCGCTGCTTTTCACAATAAGCTTTCCATGTTTCTTCATTGAATCCATAATTGAAATAATCAGAAAGATCAGCACCTGAAAAAGGCAGCAGAAGTTAACATAGGGATTCTAGCAACTTACAATCCCAAACTGCCCTTTAACTGCTTAAATGAAGAATTAAAACCCCCCCAAAATCTTATAGAGAGCCCAGCTTACTCTTCATTTCATTCTGTCAGAAAGCTGCAGTGGGCCACAGCAGAGATGGCTGCATCTTTCAGGAGGAGGGCAACTACAGCCTGAACAGCAGTGGGACAATTCGGGACACAGAATACAGCAGGTATGCAGGCTTTTAAAAAGAGATGCTTGCAACCACTTACTCACCAACTGGATTTCTTCAGACCGGTTTCTTGCAATTGTCCAACTGAGTGCTGGGGAGAGCACAGGAATGACTGTTCCAGCTACCACCACAAAAACCAGGATGGTGCCACAGAACCTTTTTCTTGGTAGAGCTAAGCCAACACCTTCTGCTCCTGAACATCACTGCCCTTTTGAGAAGAGATTCTGAGACTCACCCATTTCATGAAACAGGGCTAAAGTGGAAGTTTTTTATTGATATGTCTCAGACGATACAAGTAATTACAATTCAGCCATGCTCCTAACTACAGCCTTCCAAGACTGTTATCTTACTTGACAGTCTTCTGTGAAAAGTGCCAGTTCAGCATGAGCACCTCTGAGCAAGGTGGCCACAAATTGCTAGCCAAGAAAACGTAGATGCAGAGGAACAAACAGCTGCAACTAACTCCATGAGGCACACCTCGCAACAGGAAGAGAGCCCTGCTGAGGTGTCCCTCAGACATCCCCCTTCACAAGGGTAATCCCAGACAGGCCAATTTTAAACCAAGGAGCTGATACATAAATGCTAAGCAAAACACTTTGATGATGCTGAGCTTGGATCTGTACAGTGAGGTTTATCTTCTAGGTAGGCTGCTCTTCCTGCTGTACCACCCAAATATGCAAATTGCACCAACACAGACTCAGCAACATAACATTTACATATCTGTTTTATCAGCCTATATTTCAGCCCTCTATCAGTTCTTCCACACTGTATTTCTTCTTCCTCTCCCTCACTCAAAGAGATACCAACTTGCTGAACAATTAAAGGATATAAACCTGAAAGGCTCTTGAGTAACAAGCTACTTGTCATCTAAAATAAACTCACAGGCCACGCATCTCTGCAGATATCTCCCCTCTATTTGTACTTCAACACTGTTTTAAGGCTAGCCAGCTTCACTGTGGTTCAGGGATGTCAGCATGATCACGATTTCCATGCTTTATCTCTGAACTTCACTTCATTGTTTTCCCTCTAACTTATTTCCTTCCTAGCCCCCCCCATTTCTCACTTCACAGTCAATGGGAAATCCCCTGCAAAAGAAAGGTGACGTTTTCTATTATGTCTGTACTAGCTACTATTCATCAGAACATGCTCCAGTGCTGGTTTGATACCACGACACGTCAATGCAGTTATTAGAACTGTTATGTACACTGATGCCCTTCCTTTCAGGTGGGCAAGGGATACCTAAAATATACCACAGACAACCTTATAAAAGCACTACTTACTCAGCACAGCAATATTTCTGAAAGATAAATAAAGTACAGGGGCTGGGGCAGGGAGAATAATTATTTCTGAGAAGAAGCAAGGGGATTTTTTGCTTCAGTTAACATTTCATCATAGCATGTTTTATGAGTCTAACACAGCAAAAATTTGGATCTCTCTGGTTTCTTCATTTACTTTTGTATCCAATGCAGATGAAAAACAGAAGTTTATTTGTAGCATCCTACAGCTGTCACGCAAGAGTCGCTTCTGAGTAGAAATTTCCCTGATGCTAGTGAGGAAGACAAACGAGACCATGTACATATTAAAACTTGCTGTGCAAGGTACTATTTGTCTGGACACAGTCTAGATAATACTGTCCAGAAGAATTAAGTAGGGACTGCTCACTCACAGTTAATGCACCTAGGGGCAGAATCTAGCAAAGAATTAGGCAATGCAGTTTTTTTAAGAGAAAAATTCTAGCCTTTCTTGTCAGAGTAGACAGTGTTTTCCTTCCTTTTATTCAATTGTTTGCAGCAGGAGAGTTCAAGAGAAAAAGATGGCTTTTCTATCGTGACAAGTGCTCAAGTGGTAACTCCCAGCAGCACTGCCCTCTGTGAGGGGTACTTTCCTGCAGAAGTGTGGACATCCCCAGGACCAAATGAGATGCACGGGGAAGACTCTAAGCTCAGCCATGGTGACACAGCAGAAGCAAGCTGCTTCACAGGAAAAAGAGACCACACATCATCAACAGTCAAATCTTGATCCTACTCCATTGACTTTAATGCCAACAAACGTTATTGTACTGATACCAGTGCAGTATTTTCTGGAACTAGGGAATTAATAAAACAGAGCATTAAAAAAAAAAAAAAACATTTGTTCTCCTTAGGAAAGTTAAATTAATAGAGTAAATGCAACCCAATTTTAGGTAGAAGCATAGCTTGGTCAATCAGTAAATGTCACTGATTGCCTAGACACGCATCAGAGGCTGAGCAATACACGTTGTTCCAACTTCCCTGTTCCCTGGCAGCAACGAACGGACAGAAATTAAATGTGAAATTAAAGAGAGACAACTAAAACTGCAGAAAATATTTACCACAAGAAACTGTGAAGCCCCACCTGGTTTCCTCCATGGTTTATCTTCAAATGAATCTAAATCCACTTCTATAACAGGCAATCCATTTATATTCCCCGCAGCATCTAAGTCAATACCTTTGGGCTGCAACTTGGCTTTGGAGAAAGAGAAACCATTACTCCTTTTAATGCAATGCCTTTAATCTACTAATTTGCTGAGCAAATTACTCCAGTCAAAAATAAAGCGCTACTGTGAATTTATTGCTGGCTTTATAGCACGTAGGTAACCACAATCAACTTTTTAATAAAATTTTTTCAGTCATTCTGTAAATAAATAGCTAGCGTGTACAGCACTTGCAGTTGAACAGCAGAGAAGCAAATTCAACTCTGATTGGTACTACAGAGAAACAAAGTAAATTGTTAGAGCATCCATGAAATTTACCCCAAATGAAAAAAATTTCATTTTCTCCCCAGGCAAAATATTTTTTTTCTCTCCCAAGATACACACATTTTCTCATAAGAAGAGACTTTTTCAGGATCAGTCTTAAGTGGACTGTGTACTAACTGGAGACAACAAAAATCTGTCAGGTACAGAATTTTCAAGGGGAATTTGTTCTTATTTTCTCAACCAGAAGATAAGTCATCTGCAGTAAGAAATTAATGGAAGGAAGTATATGAAGCCCATGAAAGGACTGTCTCACGTGTGAGGAAGGACAGAACCCAAGTCTCATTATACACTATAAACTAAACTGAATGGTGGGGAAGATTTGATCTGAAGAAATATGCATAGCTGATAGCCAAGGCCAGAGTTTGTTTCTTTTAGTATCTTACACTGAAAGTTGCTCAGTACACTGACCGCAGAGTTAAAGTTCTTCTCCAGGCAGTTAGAACGTTTGACCCCAGTGCAACAATACAGTTTAAAAATATTCTGGGTTTTTTAACTATAAAATTAATAACCAATGCATTTTTTTCTCGGTTAAATAGAATTAGAATCACTTTGTTCAGTGATGGGTAATTAAATCATTCCATTGCACCCTGGACTCTCAGACTGTCCTAGGAGTGCTTATCATTAGGAAATGTGCTTACTGTTCCTAGTTTAAGTAAGATGCACTAATTTTATATCCTTCCAAACAGAGACCAAGATTTGCAGCTGCTGCAGCTGTCAGTGCCAGATAAGTGAAATACTGCAAAAGGTGAAGGATAAAAATAACAGCAATACCTGAAGCAGATGCTCCATAGCCTCTACCCGTTTTTAAGTTTAGATTCATAGGAGTTCCCCTATATGGAAAAGAATCACTACATTGGTATTTGAACAAATTACTTGGTTGAAGATTTTCATGAAAAATATATTCAAGCCCTGACATCCTTCAGAAGATGCTTAGTTCACTTGGGTTTACTCATGCCTCACTACAACTTTTAGTACTAAATCTCAACACCTTAAAAGTGAGATTCATTTGCCACGTAAATTCCTCTAACCCTACAGAAACCCAGAAAACACATTTACTGACCAACAACAGAACACAAGAGGATTGTCTTGAATGTGAAGGGAAGGGTTATTTCAAAGAGTGGTAGTTATCATTCTGCCCAGGAACTTAGTATTTAATTGGAACTGAAGAACATGGAAATCATAGCTGTGCAGAGATCGCAGAATGAGCAGAGAAAGGTAGAAGAAGCAGATTTCGAAAGGGATGTCTGCAAAAATCTGGTGAGCTGCTAACGGATGAAGCATTGCTAGTCAGAGTAATCCATCAGACTGAAACCACCTCTACAACAAGAGAAGGAAATTATCCATAAAGTGGAAAAATTAGAATATGCTGCAAAGCACATGCAAGTTGCTTAATAGAAAGGCTACTAGCAGCAAGCAAAAATGCTGTCTTTATTATTTTTATTCAATGCAAATTAGGTAGAATTTTGTCAGTGACATGATTTCCTGGTTTGCAAATCCAGCCTCACCATTTCTGAGTCATGAAAAAAATCAGACAGGGGAAAATTAGTAAACTCACATCTTATGCAAATTCTTATCAATTCAGATATTGGTTCTTAAAGTTTTCACAGATGATGAGTTAAATGTAACTTCCCACCTTTGAGTTCGCTCGATGAAGCACAGTAATTACCTGGTTAATTTTCCAACAGCAGACTTATGAATTAACATTCCTATCTTATAGATGGATTCTCCAACAAGCAATCGCAGGACAGAGCCGCCCATCAGCTTCCAATCCCATTTCAGTGCTCTACCCGTTACTCCCATGCCTCCCAGAAGACAGATCAGCTTTAATCCCCACTTTCAATCCCAATCAACACTCCAGAGCTACCTCAGATCAAAAACTGACACCCTCATCAACAATACATACATGTACGATGGTGCTCCCGTTTTAATGTTGCCAATAGTAACTTTCACGTCATCATCATCACTGTCGCTATCGCTGTCATCTTCATCATCTTCACCACTCGGAAGGGCCTAGCAACAATGAAAGCACAAAGGAGCTCATTAATACATAGAACTGGTAAATCCCCCAGGACAGTAAGCTAAATCTTACAAAACTTGATATGATGAAGGACTATTAGAAAGAATGATCCTGATATAAAGACAAAACTTTCTACTGCACTCCAAGACTATACAAAGCTGTCTCTGGAGGCAAAAACCATGGAAGTAACCAACCTTCAACCTAAACGGACAGGTGCCCACTGCTATGTCCTCTGAAGAAGTGACTTTACATAAGAATCAGATTTCTGAAGATGGGGAAGGTTTAGCTCGGTTCTAAGAATTTAATCACGTCCCACAGTTCCTCTCCCCTACTTTTTTTGAAAGAGCTAGGGCTTTTCTAACACATCTCTTTCACAGGCCCATAGTGAGAGTAGACACTCACAAAGAAAAAAATCACCAAAACACGTTCACCAGGCTTCACCCAAGAACCTTGGTGCAAAAATCCTCTCATCATAACTTTTGTGGTAGGAAGCTGCCGAGGAGCTTGGCGTAGTTACCACAATCAGTCCCCGACTCACTGTATTTTACATAAGAACTTTACAGCTGCGATCTGACTCCAGCGCTGCACCACTGCTGGAGCACAAAAGCAAAGGAAGTCTTCCAGACACTCAGCAGTGCAGCTTTGCAAGATGCACAAGCTGAATTAACACCTCACCACTGCAAAAGGGTATGAGGAAGTTGTTCCTAACCCTCCCTCCTTTTCCACGGCACACGGGTTTGTGAGAACTCTGCGTGAGCCCTCTTGACAGACCACAGTGGCAAAAAATAAACCCATCAAAAAGACTTGAGGAAGAGGAGGTAGAGAACCAAGCCTCCTCCTACTCTTTCAGCACTGAGCCACTAGACTGCATTCTAAGAGGTCTGAGCCTGAATCAAAACGGGTCCCCAGCCCAGTGTTTCCCTTATTTTACTGACCCTTGAGAAGTCATGATAAATATTAAGCTGGAGGTTACATCATGTTCTGCTTTTCCTGCTGGGCTGCAGCATCAGAGCCCTCATCTGCCTCTTTGGTGAGCATCAGTAATACTTAGATCGGGGTTCACTACCCACTCCACAAGGTAGGTTGAGAAGAGAAGCCTGTTGCTGTAGTTAGCATTGGGAATTGACTACCAGTACACTCCTACAGTACAAATATAACATGTTAGGCATTACCAGCATCTTTACACTTACATCTTTTTATCCACGAGTATTGGGAAGCACAAAAATAACTACGTCTACCATTTGCAGTGGAACACGTACATGTTGTGACATCTCTCGGTCTTCATTGCTGACAGGCCGGTTCTCCTGAGGAGCATCTTGCAAAGGATGAGAAGATTCTGCATGTCTAGTAAATACGACAGAGAAAAGAAAGTGGACAAGCCCAATCTAGACATTCACCTATAAATATTTCTAAAGCATTCATCCAGGTGACTTGCATATAATGGCTTTACTCATGTAGCGTGTTTATTCTGCTGGCAGTTAGCTCAACTATACAACAAAAAATTAATCATCCTTGCTTGGCTTTGCTTTTGTTGGAAAGAATCATTTTAGTGCTTCCAGAGGGCGCTCAACAGACAGCATGGCTGCCTACCCAAACACCACTCAACAGCTAATACATAAGTGGGAGCTCTAATAGCTTTCAGCTTTGGTTCAGCACAATTAAGAGGAACAAAATCATAACAAGCAAAACTTCATCTTGTCCTTACGGATGCTAATAATTATATTTAGTAAGCAGCAAGGGCACCTGTCCCGTAGAAATTAAGGAATAAATGATTTTAGTGTTTCTACAAATAGCTTACATTAATGAGTAGTTAAAATTCAAAAAGACAGATAATTATCCACCCAATCTTCTAATTCATTACTAATTAGTCCTAATGCAACAATGGGCAGGCTCAGATTTACCTCCAACTGAAGAGTTCATACAAATATTAACATTGGTTATTGCATTAGCCAAGCAAGAATGTCAAATTGGTATACGCATGCTAGAAAAGAGTATGCTAAGTGTTACAGAACTAAAATACAAAGAGAGATTGCTTTTCTCTAATCTCATAGGTAAAACTTAGTAGAACTTAAAAATAATTCTGGCCTTTCAAAGGAGACTATTAGAATAGCCCAGGAAACCCAATTCTCTACCAGTACTTTGTGGAGACATTGCTATTAATATAAAAACCCCATGTCAGTTAATAAACATATACAAGATTACCTTCAAAAAGAAACATACATATCACCTAACAGAATCTTAACACTGGTCAGATTAAGGCCATTTCAGAGGCAGCAGAAAAGGAGGCAACAAACAAGTAAGCCAAAAGATCACCCTAATGCAACTCAGCAAGAAGTTACTGAGCATAAAAAATAAGAACAAACGAGCAAGAACAATTTGAGCAGCTACTGAAGCTCCCATATTAGAAAAGCCCCATGTACAAAGAAATTCAACAATCGAGCCAAGATCAAAAAAAAGGGATGAAGGTTCAGCAGCTAACCGAGGAAGCAACAGGTCCCATTTTCACCAAGTTCCTGGAGTAACAGCTGAAGGCACCTTAAGTTATAAAAAGCAGCCAAGATGTCTAAGGGAAAATCAGCCTCTAAAAGTATTTCAAAGCTGAAGACATAGGCTATTACATAAGGACCAAAAGATGTACCACTGGAGAAAGTCTCACAGACAGCTCCAAAACCTTTTGCATTTTGTTTGCCAAATCTAAGCGGCTTGTAACATTAACCTCAACCCCTGAATTTTCTTAAGAATCCAAGATGACTGAATTAAGGAAGAGTGACAAAGTATTACCTTCAGCTTCAAGTCACAAGACGTATCTGTGGGTGCGCATTAAAATTTATGAATCGGAGTTCAAATCAACATTTGCTAAGTAACAGTCATTCCCTAACCTGTTTGCTTCGCAGGAATGACCAATATGACAAGTCCACAGCCATCATCTGCACGCAAAAAATGCTGCAGCTATTTAATCCCCCCAGAATGCCAACACACCCTGTGCACTGCCGACGTAACAGCATCCTGTGCAGACTGCTAGTATTTAATACATCCTTTAGGCTAAGGAATGGTAATGGATCCTGCATCCTGCACTACACTGATTTCTGCTTCATGAGTAGAGACAAATACTCTAGACAAGCCAGCAATGTAACCCTGGAGCTGCAGCCACTGACAACATAGCAAACAAAGAGTCATTTTTCTTAGAACATCCCACAGCTCTTCATTTAGGAAGATTTTCATTGTGCAACAATGAGAAGGAAAAAAAAACCCAAGGGGAAAAAAAAAAAAAAAAAAGAGCTGGCATGACTGCTAATACTCTTCCTTCATATATCTTACAGTTATTAGAGACAGTTGATGGAAATTCAGATTTTTAATCCTGCTCGTTAAGTAAAATTACAGATCAAAGTAGCAAGGAAATTTACTGCTAACATGTATAAATGTATCTAAACCAAAAGCTGTTCCTTCTCTCAAAGCTCATTTGGTGTTTTTAAGGTAACAATTTACCAAGTTGCCTAAAACTTGTTTTTGAAAACCACGTTACATTTAAAAATAGCAAATAGATAATATTTCTGCTGAGAGAAAACGCTGCTGGTGCAAAACACACTGCTTCAAATATAGGGGAGTTATGATCAAGGACAGACAATACTTCCCATACACAGAAAGCAAACCCCATCATTGAGTTGTCCCCAACACTTCTATCTCAAAGACTTACCCAAACCACACACTTCACACATCTCATGAAATCTGTTGATTTGGTCATGTCAACATTTTAACCTAGGTTCAAGGTTTTTAGCTTTTCCAGGCTAAAGCACAGGCCAAGGTTTTACCAATGCTAGGCCAGCAAAAAGGGTGCCTCAAGGCACCATTTTTCCCAGGGAATTAAACTGGAAAATAGATCTGATTTAAAACCAACTGGGGGGGTTGGGAAAAAGGGTTAAAAGTTGTTTTTAAGTCAAATCAGTTGCTTGATCCAGTTCACCTTCCAAATCCATAAATGCTGTGCCAATCCAAGTGTGGCAGCTGGGGATGACCCCATGGGATGGGAAAAGGACACGCTGCTGTTTCTGGCAACAGCGTTGCTCTAAAGCATTCACGAAGCTATGCTCAATGTGGCTTGATCTTCTTTGCAGCATATATTGTTATAATGAATAATCAGCCTACAGACTCACCCAGAAATTGGTCCATCTTCCTGCTTACCAGTGGTGTCATCTGCAAAAATAATAATAAAAAAAAAATTCAAGAAAAAAAAGCTAAATTTAAGTACAAAAGCTACAATTAAGTGCAAGCTACAGAAATACCTAGTAGTGCCAAGGCACTATAAACCCTATGTTCTCTTTTCAACAGGGTTCAACTAGAAAATGGAGCAACTGAAAAAAAAGCAAAAAACAAAACCCAACAACCAAAACCTATCCGCAGAAGTGAAGTCTCACACCACTGACAGAACAAAATTCAAAATATATATCCAAAGTTTCAGAGCTGAAGGAGTAAAGGCAAACATCACATAAGGAACTGAAGTCAGCTGTAAAGGTCTTCATATGGACTTTTAACATGCCAGGGATGAAGACTGATAGAAGTATTCAGCTGGCAAGTCTAGGAGGACAAAGATGTTTAAAGAAAGTCCTCCACTTTTTCCTAGACACTGACACGCATCAGTCCCCTCTTAGCCCAGGGGAATCACCTGCATCTATCAGGTGAATAAGACTTGGATGATTAGGAAACTGAAAGCATAACAAAGCATCGCGTTAACCGCTTTGCAGCGCGGTATTATTGTTAAAAGGACAATAACCCCACACATATCCACTCACACCCACCCCCCCCCCAAAAAAAAAAACCAAAACCAAAACCAAAACAACCTAAGAAACAAAGCAGCTGAAGCGCCGGCCCCCAGAGGGAGGACCCCACATCCCCCCCACACCCCCCTCAGCCCGGGGGCGGCCCTGAGGCGGGGTCGGGGGGGGGGATGCTGAGGGGGGGGTGATGGCGGCCAAGTGCTTCGCGTTGCCCCCGCCCCGCGCGGGCCTGGGCGCGGCGGTACCTACCCCCGTAGAGCCAGTGCTCCTCGTCCTCCTCCGCCTCCAGCGGCGCCGCGCCCGGCACGCCGCCCGCCGCCGGCGGCTCCAGCTCGGTCGCCATGGCCGCCGCGCCCGCGGGGCTGAGGGGGGGGGGGGGGGGGGAGCGGGACGCCCCGAGCTGCCCGCCCTCCCCCGCGCCCGGCAGCAGGAGGAGGGAGGAAGGAGGAGGAGGAGGAGGAGGAGGAGAAGCGGCGGCGGCCGCCGGGGGCCCCGCTAAGCTCCCGCCGGGGCCTGAGGCGAGGCGCGCATCCGCTGCGGTCGGCACGGGGCGGGGAGGTCCGCAGCCGCCGAGGCCGCCGGGCTAACGCGCCGCCATTGCCCCTTTCTGTGGGTGCTGCGGGCGGGGAGGCGCGGAGGAGGGCGAGAGACCCCCCCCCTCGCCCTCCTCCTCCTCCTCCTCCTTCCCCCTCCCGGCGCGGGGGCCGCGGCGCCGCGCGCTCCGCCGGTACAAAAGGCGCCGGGCCCGGGACAAGCGGCGCGGCGGCGACTGTGCCAGCGAGGGGCGCATGCGCAGCGCATGCGCGGCGGGAGCAGCACGGCCTGGGCCTCCCTCAGCCGGCGTTTGGCGGGAAAGGGCGGCCCCGCACCGCGGCGGGCAACGGAGGGGAGGGGGGGGAACGCACCGCGGTTCGCTGCCCCGCCGACGCTTGTCACACCAACAAGTAGGTTTCCATCTCCCAGTCAGACCAACAAGCGGGTTTCCATCTCCCAGTCAGACCAACAAGCGGGTTTCCATCTCCCAGTCAGACCAACAAGCGGGTTTCCATCTCCCAGTCAGACCAACAAGCGGGTTTCCATCTCCCAGTCAGACCAACAAGCGGGTTTCCATCTCCCAGTCAGACCCGAGCCTTGTCCCAGCAGCGCGGGAAGGGGCACAGGGTTTTCACTGCCACCCACCCACTCAGCCTTTCATCTTCATCCCCTCGATCTCCCTGACGAGGTGCTCCGCAGCCACAGCCTTCACTCTGACACGCAGCACAGGCTTGATGGAACCGCTTTCCCCAGCAGAGCCCAGCGCTCGCATTTTACAACAGCGCTGTCTGGCACCGGGGGTGTCACATCGAGACTCCTAAAATATGGTTTTTCTTCAACCTTTCACACGGAGTCTGGTAAGATTAAGGCTCTGGAGAGTTTCAGCCTCTGAAATCAGCTCAGCGTGGCGAGCATTACTGCATGAACACCTAGCGTGGCTCCTGTGCCTGACACCAGGAGCCAGGAGCTTCCCCCTAGGAGTCCTGCAGAATTCTCAAAAAAAGTTTTTGGAAGTGACCAGAGGCAAATGCTGCTGCTGTTTGTGTTCATTTCACCAGTCCTAACACCTGTTCTGCCAATATAGCAGTATTCACAAAACCGTCTGTCACACTATGAAAGAGTTCAGTACCTTTTGGGCAGGTTTTGCGTGACCCATTTCTGACTTTACAGCTCACAAGCGAATTTCACATTTTACACGCTGAAGATGTAATGCCTGATACTTACAATTCGGCAGTTCAAAGCCATAGGGTAGCTTCCAATTTAGAGCAGCTGTACCAGTCGGTATCACCCTCTCTGAGTTTCAAAGCTCTTAATTCCGTCAGTACTACATGGAAATTTGGAGCAATGTGATTTTCAGCACTACTTGATGCTACCAAAAATTATAAAGAAACTTAAAGTAAGTTACCTTTTCCATGCACTCAACGATGACAAAAAAAAATACAGTATCAAAAAGTTACCTCGGATGTGTCTCTTCTCTTTGTGGTTCAAGTGTGGCTAGGATCCATTCCTCCTCGTTGTCTCCTGTTTTCTGCTACAGGTGGAAAGAAATACTGAACGAATGCTCACCGTAGCAGTTGGAATAGGAATTAGACAACTGGACACCCGAAGTATAGTGAGAGTTGACCTCTGATTCCCTGGTCATATGCTACCAATGGCTGAAGGTTAGCTCACAGAGGTGGAAAATTGCCACTCATATCAAGAGCCTCAGCAGTGGCCAACAACTCTTGTTAGGTACTAACAGATTTTACAATAGTTTGGTTTTTTTTCCAGATGGTCCCAAACCAGCACTTGAACCTTACAAATACTTGAAAATTATCTAAAAAAACTAAACCAAAACCTCAACAGAAATTAAATTAGATTTGAAAGGAACTCATTTGTACTTTCATGGAAACAGCAGTAAGGACCACTGGCATCTTAGTTTTCAATTTACAATTTTGCACTTCATAATCTAGCTCAGATTAAGATGCAGACTGACCCTCTGTGGCTACAGATTTCACCATCCATAAGACTGTCATTCTAAGGTCAAAACAAGTTTGTCTTTGATGAAGGATGTTCAAACATGTAGGAAACTAGTGTGGAATTAAGTTGCCCTGTGCTGCTGAGCTGTCCCATGTTGCTGTGGTTTCTTCTAACCATTCCCATTATTGTTTGGGCACTCCCAGCCATTTTATGCACGCAGCCTTAGGGCTATTGTTTGCAGAGTCTTAGCAGACCATATTCTTCAAATCAGAAGGCTTGAAAGCATCTCAAATTGAGCACCCATCACAACCACAAGGCATATTAGTGCATTGCCTTCAATACTGCTAATGTGAGAACCCCTTTTTATATTTGTTGCCCTATTCAGACACTTCCTTGTCATCAATGTCCAAGAATGTCCCTGTAGATATTGTCAGGAGAACCAGTAATTTTCAATTACCCATTTAGCCTTGCACATCACAATTCACACTAAATACAGATCGGTCATTACCTTTTACATGATGTATGCCTTTTAATTTATTTAAAAATTATTTTTAGTCTGAGAGCTACTTTAACTCCTCCTCCCAATTTTCTTAGAATTTTGTTGCTCTGAACGTTCTTTAAAACATTTTTTTTTCTAGCAGAAATCTCAGGTCATATTTGTTACCAGTGAGTTTAAGATATATAAATCTATTTCCTGCAGAAATTTTAATTTATTATTCAAAAAAAGTCTACTGTGGATCATATGGTTTATCTAAATAATATGAAATAAAAAGTGAATATATTAAAAGGATAATCCTCTAAACAGATCCAATTATTACAGAAAAGTCAGTAGTTTAGCCTAGACTAAAACCAGCCCTGTTCACATTGTTACAAAATAAACAGGTATAAATCAACAAAGTCTAAATAGGTTAGTTAGATCTACCAGATAAACTACAACAAGGAAATTACTGGTTCAGTCAGATGGAGAAATAATAGAAAAATTTAAATCAGGTAGGGGACTAAGTAAAAGGACTTTTAGAAAATTACAAGCAGAATCTAGACATTAATCTTAGAACTAATCTTTTCAGTAAAAACAGTTTTGTTAACCGTGCAGATGGAATCAGTCAGCAACAAAAGATTTTTTTACAGGAGGAATGGGAGCACATACACAAGAAGAATTGGAGGATTGGGAGGACCACTGTAATACAAGTATCAAGCAATTCAACAGTACAAAGTGTGAAATGATAAATCCGGACTGACGGGACTAGTAATGAGAGTTTGTCGGGCACTCGTATAAATGAGAAGTGACTGAAGAGAGAAAGTCCCAAATTTATCACAGAATGGCTGTGAAACAGAAATACAATACAGCCATTAAGAAGACAAATGTGACCCTTTAAATTTAACGGATCACATTATTTTCACATAAGAGAGGGAACTATCTACATTGAAATACCCAGTGCCTTAGCTATGAGCCAGTATCTGAAATATCTGATCGTTTCTGGTCACACCTATTCAAGGAAAATTAATTCAGACTGGAATAAATAGAAGCAAATCCAATTGGGATTATCAGAAACAGAGAACTTTGCTTTTGAGAGGAGACTAACATTTAATTGTCTAGCAAATGAAGACTAAGAGGATTTAAATCTCTATAAGCTTAACTAGAAAAATAAACTCAGCTGGAACACTTCAACTATTTATTCTGAAGACCAATACTAACATGACAGATGTGTAGAATTTTAAAAGCACTGGCACAGACATTATAGTAAGCTTCACTACTGAACAGTTCTGAAACTGCATTCCAATAGTAGAAGTTGGGGCCAGATGCCAAATATTCTTTAAATGGACCTTTGCTAGTAGTCTAGGCAATTACATCTCATATACCCTAACATAACATTACGTTTACGACTCAGCCCAATGTTCTTATATTTGTCTTAATACCACAGTAACATTCTCTAAATTTCTCAAACAATATTCAGCAACAGTTACATGCTTAAACAGCATGTCAACCTAGATGATGCTCCTGTATTTGTCCAAAACAACTGAGGACACCAACTTTCAACAAAAACATTGCACATGCCCGTTTCAGGAATTCAATATTCCTTCCTCAGGGATGAGCCACAGGCTTTAATTTTAAGTCCTGCTTTCACAGCTACAAAGCCAGCCTGTTAACACACACACAAAAGGCCACATTGTTCTGCGTTCACAAGCCTTGATATAAGCCAATGATTTATTTCACTAACACACACTACCCACGCTCAGGTTGTGCTCTCTGAGGTGCAACTACAACAGCACAGGAGAAAACCCTCTTGCTTTTCAGAGAGGAACACTGCAGCAAGAGACTCCTACAAAAAGTCCTTACAACAGAGGGTCAGTAAGCCAATCAACCAAATTATCTGGAGACTAAATGTGATGCTTATTCTGCAGATTTCTTTTTTGAAAAGCCTTCTTAAGCTTTCAAAGTCTTGTTTAAACCAGACAAATCATACTTAAAAGTCCCAATACAAGCACCTGATTTGGCTGTATCAGAAATGTGTCTCAAAGAAAAAAACCACCACCACTACTACTGCCATTCCTTTGACAGCTGATGAGCATGCTGCTACAGAAGCTTTTTTTTTTCCCCCACAAACACATTGCACTACTCAAATGTTTTCATCTTTAAATTTAATTAAAGAAAAATGTCTCAAAGTGATTAAGCATGTCTGACTTGCAGCTTCTTTTAATGGCACAAGCCAGTGCAGTAAATAGTAGAAAGCAAGCTCAGTTAGAATTTTATTTTAATTTAAAAAACCCCCAAAACTCTCAAGATGTGAAGTCCTGTTAAAAAAAGTGGCTGTTCACTTGTAAACAGAATAAAACTGTTAAGAACAAAGTTTCATACAGCTTAAACAAAACCACTTTTCTTAAACAGTACAAGTAACAACACCATAAGAACATCAAAAGCAGAAAACAAAAAGAAAACAAATGGCAGAAGAATCACATAACATTACTTACTAAAATGATAAATTATTTACATTGAATATTAATAGTTTGACATTTTTATTGCTCCAATGGTAGTGTGTTGACAAGTAAATGAAGTAAACTGTCATAGTGGGACAATAATGAACATACTTATGTTTTTGCATATGGAGTTTTGTACCTATCAAGGAAAAGCATAGGAACTTTTTTTTTTTATTTATCAAGACCACACCAGATTTAGCAAAAATGCTTTCTGTTTTAAAGTCACACATCTACAACAGAATCCACACTTCCTAGACTTGTCTGTGCATGTCTTGGAACACTTTTTTTTTCCCCTCCTATGGTAAAACAACTTCACAGATGCAGGTGGGGAACCGGTAGTTCAGAGCTTTGATGCTCTGCCAGCATTCTTTAATACTTCAATACTCATTAGATACAAAACTTACTAGATACAAACCCAAATATCTCCTAGATAAAAACTAGAACAGAAAATTAGTGTCAACATGTTTATATGAAAAATTAAACGCTGATTTGATAGGCAGTAACTGCTTTTTAAAATCTGCTGCAAACTCACGCTACTGATAGTTACTAATGCCCTCTTCTCCTTACTCTCTGCACAATGTTTTCTCTTGTTGGAACCAGTCAAGGCACTTTCTTCACCACTTCCACTACACTTTGCTAACATTTCTCCGTTACATTGCTACAAATTATTTCTCTAATTAAGAAGTATCCTCCATAAATTGGTTTACCAATTCATGCTGACTTCTTATTGTCAAAAATGAGATTTTCAGCCTTGTGAGACGTAATTACCTGCTGAATGTTTTTATATTAAAGCAGAGGACAGCCCAGGCCAAAAAGAACCTGTAGGTAGGAGTGCACGAGCTCGCAGCAGTACTTACAGCTGCCTTAATCTTTATATGAGCTATGGAACCTGTGTCTTTCAGATGCAAACATAATACTGTGTTCTGGTTTTGCATTTTAATGCAAATTTATCTACTTATTAAAACACGGAGCTTCCTGTAAATGGCAGTTTTGGCTCTCTTTACTAGCTGCTTCATGGCCACATATTTAAATGTCTGTTAAAGCACACAGAGAGACCCTTTCATGGTTTGAACACTATACAGTTAACAATTAAGGACAAAGTAAAATGTACAGAATTTACAAACTTAAAATGTAAACTTTAAAAACTAATATTCTGTGCTTAAGTGCCTGGTGGTGCCTGGGAAAGACCCAGGGGCAGACAAGCGGCTGCGGGCAGAGCAGCCTGCGGCACTGGACGTGGCCAGGCCCACGGGAAGGGGACGAAGGCGGGAAGGCAAAGCTGGGACCTTGTTCTGCCTTGGATCTCTGGTCATAGCGCAGCACAGGGTGGCCAGGGAGCAGCCCCAGGGGCTCCTCTAGCTCCGGGTATTCTCTCAGCTTGGCACAGCACTTCACAGAAACAAGACAGATCAAGTTGAGAAATTTTGAACTGAATGCCATCAAGTCAGCACAGACCGAGGAGGATTTCTTTTACCAGCAAGACTGAAGACTGCTCAGCATTCACTGCTGGCAGTGACTAGAACTGTCATTCAGCTTGCCTGTTCTCTCAGTCAGAAAAGAACATTTTGAAAATACAGTCACATAAAGAAGAAAATAAGAACGTGCTGAGATTTCTTGAGTTTCTTACACAAAAAAAGAAAATTACGAACAAAGTTCTGGTGTAACAGTAGGAGACTTCCATTGTTCTGTTAATTAAGCTAAGCTCCCTTCATTCACTCCAGAAACTTATTTGTAAGAGAAATACATAGAATTGTGTGCGTTATTTCAGTTTTGGTTTACACTGCATTTTTCTGCCATTAAGTATTTTCTCTGCTTCCAGTTAACACTCATCCTAAAAAAATAAATTGTAAAGAACACTTTGCTTGGCTTTGTAATAGAAATCTGAGTTGCAAGGTATAGCTAATGTTAAATTCAAACAACACAATAGCTTTTTATTCATTATATTACATATGCAATTACACAGTTAGTTGTCACCAATCTATCAGTCAAAGGAAACCTCCGCACTAAGTATACAGATTTCAGAGTCTGAAGCATCAGTCTGTGATTGGAAACTACTGCAAGCGCTGGAGGTTGACTCCTCAGCTGTACAGTAAGAGTAGCATGGAATTTGATTCAAAGGAACAACTTGCATAAAACTGGCCTTCTGTAAACACTGTGTACAAGAAATCTGACCTACTACAGTTATTAGAATGCAATGGTTTTACAAATACTATATTTTAATACAATACTGCATACTGAAAAGATGCAAATACATTCAGAGGAAATCCCAAGTCACCCTGAAACTGAAAAGTGACTCGGGATGATGTCACAAGGAGTCAAGTTGATGCAAAGAAATGCCTGGACACTCACAATGATACTCATCACAACTTGCAAAGACTCGGTCATCTGCTGTTTTTTCTCCAATTTCTTATTTCTAGTCAGGAAAGGGAGGGAACCTGCATCCATTTTCATTTGCTCACTACTATCAAGTGGTCCTGCTTAGGCCAGCCATTAGAGGAAGCTTTTCTACAATCACTTCCCTTCCTGAAATCAGGCAAGCAGGGAAGAATCCAAAAATACTCCTGAATTCCACAAGGCATCTGTGGCTCTTCAGACTGTGCCCAAATGCCAAAACATATGCATGAACCCTTTCAACTGATCCACTTCCTCCCATCAGCATATTTTGAAACACTACTCTGGTTTAGATAAAATTTATTTCCACTGGAAAGGATGCCATGTCACTTAACTGTTAAAATGCTGAAGTACTCTCACAATACAGAAAGAACAGAAGCGTTACTTCAGCTTTGATTTGGCCTTTCCAAATTTTTCTCCTTAGTAATGAAGGTCTCCAATTATGGAACATACTTTTCCTTACTTAAAAACAAAACTTGACATTCATATATTCTTAACTTAAAAAGAGGCTTTAGGATATTTTGCTAATAGCAGCCACCACCTGCCCCTCAAATGCAACTTTTTCAAAGGTGAACAGTATTTAAGCTTCCTATTTCAGGTGCTACAAACACCATCTGAAATTTTTTGTTTGTTTGTTTTTTAAAAAGACAGAAATGTATTTTTCATCCATTTACTAAACAAAGTGCAACTGAGCCCTATACATCTGATAGTATGTACAAACTCATTATGGCTTTACCATAAAAACAGGATGTGAATGGGTCTATACAATCAGAGGGACACTAGCAAATGTCATGAAGAAAATGATGCTGGACTGTTGGCAATAGAATAAGAGCTATATTACATTCTGTAAACCTTGGCATACCACACTTTACATTATGCAAAGAGTCAATATTTACAAATCCATAGTGGGCAAAATAACCCCCTAATGTAAATGATGATTTTGCAAAGTGCAGGACAAAACCAGTGCTATTGATTGCAAGTCCTATGCAAGCAAGTTATACTAAAATCATTACTACAAGACGCTTACCTGGACATTTCTACGGAGGGTTTATAGGTTTGCGACATTTAGAATGAAATATAGCATGACACAGCATTAGGATGCATGTTTGAGGACAGCAAATATAGAAATTAATAAGGCAGCATGCTCAGAACAAGTTTAAGCAGCACTGATGTCAGATCCCTAGTGGCAACTATATCAGTTATTGTTAATGTTAAAAATTCAGAGTGCAACATAGAAGCCTCATTTAACATAAAAAAATGTGCAAATTGTTCTCTTCTTAACAAAAGAAAGTAACATAGCGAGGAAGATATTCGACTGAAGAACATTTTAAAGTCACAGCAAAGTAGACCATCTTCTTTCCAAAATCATCTACAAGGCACTAAGGGTAGAAAATGACAGGTAACATGAAAGACCAAATGCTGTTCCTCAGTCAGGTCGAAATATGGGATATTTTGGTAAGAATTCTATTAATATTACCTGTTGAAGAAGGGAAAAAGACAAGAACAGAACACAGTAACCAAAAAGTTCAAACCTTCGGCACAATTTCCATGCAACATTAGCTAGTACATGAGACTAAACATATCTGAGATATTTTGTAAGGAGTAAATGTTTCTCAGAGTAAAGGAGAGATTTCAGACATTTTGAAATACAGGGCATCTGGACACCTGACTTTTTTGGGGTGATTACCTCTCCAAGTCTACATCATCTTGACGTCTATACATGAAAGTGGATGGTGGAATAGTAGAACCACTGCAATATTTTCAATTCTATTTTCCTAAATGAGCTGTCTGTCTTGCTTAAAACTTTATGAAATTCAGAGCTGGCCAAAAAAGAAAGGGAAAAAAAAAGAAAAAAATATCCTGACAAAAACCACTACTGTAAAAATACAATGTTTCTGCACAAATAATTGGAATCAAAGTAATTATGAATACCACTGGAAAAGGTGGGTAAGCATTAAAAAACTGTGGACTGGTGTGGGAATCACACCAATGCACCAAAGTCCCAGGGGGTCTCCCTCATTACAAATTACAGCCCAAAACAAGTGTATATAACAACCCTACGTATATACTCCAGGAAGAGAAAATATCTTTAGTGGTAACAATTTCTTAATATATGCCATGACTGCTCATGTTAAGAGTGGCCTTCATGGACACATGTCAAGCACAACTGCATGTTTTTCTGAGAAATCTTTTCAGATAGGTGACAGTCTAATAAATTAAGGATTTTCTCTATAAAGCCAGTTATGTTGAAAACTAATTAACAGAAGTAATACTTACATATTCCATCATATTGCTAGTTTCGCATTTCCTTTTACTCAGCTTCCAGTGCAAACCAAGCTAAGAAAATAATTATCAAAGGATTAATGCATCACAGCACTGTTTCGATGAGTAACGTAACAAGCATTAATAATATCAAATTATTAGAATCTAGAACACTTCAGATACAGGTTTAAGATCAGTATAAAGTAGAAAATTATTACAAGACTCAAATTTCTACATGCCAATTATGCACGAAAAATTTACTATTCTTAAAGCTGAAGAAAACAAGCACTCTAACTTGTCTTACCTTATGATATAGTCTGTTATTTTCCCATTCTAATAACTTCTGAATTGATCTTCTAGTCTAAAAAGTAATTCAAAACTGTATTATAAATGGTTCAATAGCCTGCCTCATCCAGAAGAATCTTACTATCGTATTTCTGGCTTAAGATCAATTGAAAATAAGTTAGCTTTATAAAAGTAAAACCAAGCAAAAGAGAAATCATAAATGGAAGTCCTACCACTTCAACTCCCCACACCTCAACATCATATCTTCAGAAAAAAACAAGACACCCATGAGGTTTTTTTGTTAATTTAGGACCGCAACTTTCCCAGAATTAATCTACTTAAGAGATCCTTTTGAATTTAGCATTTCTACCTGCAATAGCCAAGCCACCAAAACCAGAATCTCCTACATTCTCTTGGTCAAATATGCACTCACTACAGGTGGTCTACTGACAACCCATAATTTACATACATGTAATTTCCAGATTTTGCTAATGTAACTGTTACCTGAATCCTGAAAAAAAGTCTCACCACCACGGAATTCCAGTTCACAACAAACAGTGCCTGTATTTGCAACTCTTGGATACCAAAGTGCATATGATCTTCATGTTTTGCTCTTTCCACAGTTGTGGGAGAGAAGATCTTGAGAGTTCCGGTGTTTCTTAAGGTCACAAAAAGATCACTGTGATGACCTATTCTAGTTCCTGCACTGTATGCCGCAAAATTCCATCCACCAATTCCTTTGCTAAAGCTAATAATGGTAGGTGTGCTACACCATCTCATTAAAAAAAAAAAAAAAAAAAGATACAAAGCTATCCAATCCTGAGTCAAAGACTTAATGGTGGAGAATCCACCACTTTGTAAATTTTTCCAGTGACAAAGCTATCCTTGGAAATCAAAAGTACATGCTGTTCCCTGTTTCAACTGACTTAGTTTCCTATTCCAGCCTCTGGATCTCAAAATGCCTTTTGTTGCTAGATGAGTGTACAGGGACTGGCTGGGCTGGTATTAATTTCCTTCACAGCAGCTTGTATGGTGCTGTGTTTTTGATCTATGAATAGATTAAAATAGATGTAAGACTTTAGTTTTAGACTAAGATAGTGTTGAAACCACTTAAACGTTGTAGCTACTGCTGAACAGCACTGACCAAAGGGATATCCCACGCCACGTAACAGCACGCTCAGCAGTAAAACTGGGGGGCTGTTATTTCCAAAGTAGCCCATTGCCCAGAGACAGGCTGTGCACTGGTCTGGTGGGAGGTGGCGAGTGATTTGCCTTTGCACCACTTGGGTTTTCCTCCCTTTTTCTCCTTCACTTATTAAACTGTCTTTATCTCAACACATGAGTTTTTCTTACTTTCGCTCTTCTGATCCTCTCCCCCATCCTGCTTGGAGGCACAGGGAGCGAGTAAGCTTAGTTGCTGGCCTGGTTCAACCCACCACAAGAGAAAATTAAGAACCATCTTATGCCTGTGATTGTTAGTGATCAAATTGCTCTAATATACACACACATACATACCCACAGAAGTAACATGATCTTCCCTACTCCTACTTGGTAGGTATTATTTGTACCCTTGAGAATTACATTAACGCTACAACATCACATGGGCATTTATTTAGATTTTCACCAGCACAAGAATATTAAATATGGTTTTAAAACTGCAAATATACCATCTGTGTATCTCAAGCATATTCCTCTGCAATGAGAACATTTCTAAAGGCAGTTAAAATGAGCTAAAACAAGCCCTACAACTTCTTAGTGATATATGCTTCAGAGATTAGCAGTTAAACAAGCTAATGTATTAATGCCTTTAGTGAATTTATTTTTTTTTTAAACCAAAACCTCAATGTCAGTCAATGCAACTGTTATTTTCTTGAGCAAGTTGGAAAGTTTGGCAAAACACTTCTATTTTCTCTGAAAGGCAATACCTATTCCTTGGGTTTGCGTCCGGTTTGTTTTATTAAAGATCATAAACTCTCAAAATCCAGAAGTATTACTTTTTAACAGATTTTTACTTAAGATCTTTTCCTATAGTTAAATTGACAAATGTGAGAGTTTTTTTTTCCTAGTGCACCTATGTTCTATTTACATTCATGGATAAGATTTTACGGCTACAGGTCTTACAAACTATGTAGCTGTAAAGAATATCATTACACTGTATCTATGTATTTCCTAAACATTTACTGCTGTGATAAATCAATTTTAAGTGTAAACCATAGGGGTAATTAAGATCATGTTTACCTGATCTTGCTAAAGTGTTTTTCAGAATTATTTCTTTGGACCTGTTTACAATAATGCTCAACTGTTGTAGATAAATAAGTTAAAGGGAAGTCTTTAAAACTCCTGAACAGAAAACAAATCTGTGTTTGTTCTTAATAGAAACAGCACAGTAAAATATGTCAAATAAACCACAGCTCAGAAATGTTAATGGTAACTGCTACATATGAAAAAGTGATTTTTAATTAAAAAAAAATATTTACTCTGATGTGTGAGTGTGTGTGTGGAGAGGAGAAGTAATTTTCACTCCAGTTCAGGCAGTCTTTGAAGGTCAATGTCCAGTTCTGCACTCATTTAATTCAATTCTTAACCTAAATTTCCAGGATTTCTAAAGGTCTATCGTATAGTCCAGCCTGTTCTGAGATGGTATTAGCTATTCCTAAAACTATTAATTCAGTTGGCAATTTGGGAGCATTTACTACAGTAACAAACATTTTTTTTATTTTCTAAGGAATGGAAAATGGAATAACCTTTTGAATGTGCGACAAAAAAAAGGGATTTGAAATGGACATGATACTATTAAACTTTATATATTGTTATCAGTAATTGCAAAATAAGAGGAATGAAATGTGTACTTACTCTTTTGTTAAGACAGACTACAGGCCACAGGCTACAGCCCAGTGTGCAGCAGCAGCACAGACAGCCACAAAGCAGCCATTTTACGTTGACAGGGAGGTTCTTTCTTAAACAGGCATTCACACGACTGATGCTGGTCTTGAATTCTTCTGGCGCAACCTGCAATAGAAGTGCGAAACTTCAGTGGAAAGAAATTACAGGTTCATCTTCTCAATAATTGCCTCCGCAGATTAAAATACAAATGAAACATAATACCCTGGTTTCCAAGGAAATGCGGGGCATCTTCATAGCAAACACACTTGTGTGTCACAGAAAGAAGGATAATATTGTCCAAATTAATCCCCTATCAGTACAAGTCTAGGGTGTGCCTGGGTGAAGATGGACCTCTGTCCAAAAATTAATTCCTGAAGTCGTCCGTATCAACATGAGGCCACAACTTCACTTGTGGCTGCTTCCTAAAATAAGGAAGCCTGGAAAGACATATATTATCTTCAAGGCAAAGAAATGCATCTTGTACAGCGTTATGAATAAAGCCTGGCTGTTGAAAACCAACTTATTTAAATTAAGCAGAGCTTATTCAAAATATTATTTTCTATATATTGCCACTGTAGAGTCACAGTGGAAAACCACATTCTCTACCAGAAATAAGCTCCTTTCTCTGGTAGCAGTGTGTTTCTTACAAAAGAATGACAGTACTTACCTATTTGCATACCCCAAATCCCTCATCTTGCTACAGAATCTAAATAACTTCTGACAAGCCAAATATAGATTTGTAGTATTAACTCCAAGATGACACTCTTAATTGTAACACAACCCAGCATTTGAATGCACAAAGCAGAATAACCAGATCCAACTTTGATAGACTTGATGAGTCAGGCACAATAACTCAAAAAAAAAAAATTTCCTAACTACTTGCCATGTTGAAGAAAAAAACCCCTAGAATTAGTCTGTATACAAAGCTGTGCAACTACTACATAATCCTTCCAACCAAGCAAGCCCAAGTGTTCATTTGATTCTGCAAACAAGGGCAACAACAACAAAAGCATTAATTTAATGACAAAGACTCCTTTCACCAAAGGAGCAAAACTATGGGGCAGGAAATGGAGAGGACCTGATTCTGCTACCTCCGCCTATTCACAAGAGCTAAATTCAATAAAACATTGCAGGAAAGAGAGTAAATAAATACAACATCTGTTTCCTGGCCATTCAGATCACCATGCAGTATAGAGTCAGAGGTCATCTGGGTTTGTACACGAGCCAGTCCTACAGTTAGTGATGTAAGAACATAATTTAACGTTGTGATTATTTTACAGCAGGAATTAATAAGCACACAGAAAGTAATACTATTGCAATTATATAGGCTAACCCACCACCCCTTATTAAATAGACAATCTTGTAATTCTTTTTACATATACAAATGGAACAAATAAAAAAAAAATCCTTTAGACTGACTGGAACATCAACATTTAAGTATATTTTACAATAGACAGCAATTTTTTTTTTTTTTAAAGAAAGAAAGAAAATGTCAGAAAACCAGAAATATTGGGACATTTTCAATGAACACAGAAAAAAAAGAATCACATTGTAATGTGGAAAACTAGCAGAAGGTTTTACAGATCTCTCTGCCAATGATGGCTCTTGTATTCAGGATATAATAAATACCAGATGCACATGAGCAAGACCATTTCATCTTCAGTGTGGGAGAATGTTTTGTAGTAAAGTACAACTGGGTTGGTTGTAGGCAGTATGAGTAACACTGTAAAGCTTCTGCAGTCAAAACATGCTTCAAAGTATATTGAGATTACATATATTAACAAATTAGCATTCTCAGCTCTTAAGAAAGTTTATATTTTCCTAACATTTATATATATACAAAAGGCACTGTCTTTGATAAATCTTTTAAAATTTATTCATGTGTCATTCTATCAATTTATTTGAAAGATAAAAATAAGTAGGTTTTTTTCTTGACCCCATTAGTACTGCTGCAATGAATCTCACTAAGAAAAGAGAGTTTGCTTCGCTATTAGACACCAAGTTTACTCGACAACACCACACCCCAATCCCAAAATACAGCTGTACAAACTGACCATAAAACAATGGAATCGCACGGTCTAGAATGTAGTTTAACTTTAAGAAACCTTATCATCAGTGATAACATTCAACATGAAAAGAAGTCAACCAGATTCTTACATCACAGCTGGCAGAAACACTGGGGACCTAATGAGAAAGCACTGGGATGGTGAGATTCCCTATTTCTGTGCTACTTTTAAGGGAGTCACTGTCCACATCAGGTTAACAGTTTGATGCTACTTTCCAAGGACAATTTTGAAATCCTCCCCTTTCTGTAGAGCACAGCCCTGCCAATGGCTAAACTAGAAACCAACTTTGGATGACACCAAGAAGCAGAGAAAATTTCCATTTCAGAAATTTTGGTATGATGTTTACCTTGATATAGTATTATGAAAGCACCACTATGACCTGGTAATGCACCAAATATTTTCACATAAAGGTGAATCTCTCAGCTGCAACATAAAACGAAATTACTTAAGATGGTTTTGGTTAACCCAAACTACTGGATATTTTTCTCCCTTTAGGAAATGTAATCACAATAAATATTTCTGTCAATCAATGACATCTTCATTTGAAACTAAAGGAACCTGTGACCAAGATAAGTTTCATTCTGTGATAAATAGAAGCAAAACACAGTTTTGTTACTCTCAGTTTACAGCTCAGTAACAGCTAAACATTGTTACACAGCCACAAAGAACCAAATCTGTACATAACTCTTCTAATTTAATAATAAAATGGTATCCAAATGAAACAGTCAAATAATTTTGTTGATTTTCTGTTTTTTAAGTCTTGCCTTTCTTGCAGGTACAGATATTGAAAGGTTAATATGAAATGACTAATGTATTTGAAACAAACGGAGTATTAACAGCCCCTCCTGCACAAAGAAAGCTCCCTAAGAAAGTCTAGTTTTGAGTAATTTTGGAAAGTCTCTGGGAGAGTTTCTGTTTGGGTCTTGAACAGAATGAGATAAGTACATAGCTCCTGGCTGTGCAGTATACCTTGTAAAGAGACTTTAGTTCCTTTTAGGTCTTTAAGGGCAGGAGGAAAAAAAAAAAAAAAAACATAAAAGGAAAGGAGGGGGTGTCATAATATTTTACAACAGGATGCAAGAGAATCTACAAACACAGGAAGAGAGCAAGTAAAGCCCAGCAGGTCTGATCTTTCTCCTTCAATCACGATCACAAACCCTATCAATCACATGTTGCAATGGGATCACAATACCAAGACCACGTTTTATGGCTTACATTTCCCTGCACTGCACAGTAATCTCCGTATAGGACCCTTATTGTTTCAAGATCAGCGCAGGAAACTCCACTTTCCTCCTTAAGGTTCACTGCCTCCATCATTTTCTTGTCACCTGGAGCAGTGTATGCTATTGTGCCATATATCATGAAAAGTATTTTGTTAAAAGCTGTTAAATTACTTTTTTAAAAGAATTACTAATCCTATAAAACTGTAGCACACAATTTAAATTTAGCCAGAATTCAAATTTAGGCCAAAGTCCAATCACATCATTAAAAGTTAAATAATGCCTCTGTGTTAATATAGTCAAATCTTTTCTTAAAATATCCCATGGAAAATAATGCACTGTTTGAAAGCCTAGCTCATTTATAAACCAGCTGAAGCTTGCATCTCATCCTGCAAAATACGTATTTAAGTCAATCCGGTGGAATTAGCTAGGCCCAACATCTGACCTACCTGATATTTTCGGTCCGTTCATTGTCTTACTGCCTATGTTTTATCCTCAGATATACACATTCATCTCTCCCAAGAAAAGCAACAGACATGTTTCAATTCTATATTTAAGATGTAATTACACACATCTTAGCTCTAGGCTAATTTACAATAACTACCCAGACTTTGTAGAAAATGGGAGATGAGGAGGTAAGGGAGATGGGTAAAGAAGGGGTATTTCAGATTTAAAAAAAAATAAAATTAGCGGATGATTTACTACCATCATCATGTAGATGGGCAAACCGAGGGTCAGAAAGTAAATTCCTAAAACCACACAGTGGCATAAATCCAAACAGTGACTGCTTCTGGGAGAAAGCTGTAGCTAGATAGTTTTATCTATTCTGATTTTTATCATGTGTTAGATTTTTAATCCTCTGTTTAAAAACCTAGATCTTCATCTGTACTTATTAAAACGAAAAACAATATCATGGAGAAATCTGTCAACACCACCCATTCACTTCATCTTTTACACTCCATTAGCAGATGGGATATATTGTTGATATCAACTCACAGTGGACAACAAAGCTATTAATGTTACACAAACATTCTGAATAAAGTACAACATTGCCTTATACTAGCTGTTTACTAATGCAAGTTCATAGTAAACATTTTAATCACAAATTGCTAATATAAACAGTCACTATGCTATTCATAAATTGTGATTTCATAAAAAGTAAAAATTTGTATCTTAAGAACAGTAAAAGATCGCAAAGTGGTGTATCAATCGACTACAATGCTTACTATCCTGAATTATTTATCAGAGTATTTGAAGAAAATCCTCTTACTGGAAAAAACAGTTTTCATTTTCAATAGGGATAAAGGTGATTGACTGCCACGATCAGAGGAAGAAGCAGATTATTTATTTCTTGCAATTCATGGAAGTATTAAAAACCAAAAAAACCACAACTCGTTTTTAATGTCTTTCATGGCAGTGTGTGGCAAGCAGTAAGAAAAATGTGTTTACTATCTTATTTGATTGGTGTTTTCCCCCCACAAAAGGGAACTAATTTATTTTCAAGGTTTTCTTACTCAGAAAGCCCCTCAAATCCACATATGAGAAAAAGATAACAGAATATCAAGATTCTCAACAGAATAAGCGTACCTATACACAGCAAATTCCTGCTCATGCGATTTGTCACTGATGAGATCTATAGAACAAGAGTAAATGCCAAGTGGAAGAATTTCCTCTTTACTCTCTGCTAAATTACATCCAAGCAGTCAACTGAACTTTAATTTAAACTCCTGTTCACTATCTATTTAACAAGAGGAGGACAGTCAAGTGGGAAGTGTGACAGGCATTGATGCTGACATTAAAAAGTCCAGGTTGGAGGAGTTGGGTTTGTTTTGATTTGTTTTGTTTTGTTTTTGTTTTTTTTTTTCTTAATATGCACAAACATATTTCAGAGAGGCAGAAAGAGATTAAACTATATTATCTAATTGTTCTGACATTTCCTGCAGGCTTGTTTACAACAAACTAAAACTTGACTACAGTAACATAAAAATTGTTATTTCCAGAAAGTATTCTGTGGCTTTTCAGTGATCAGAAAGATCTTTGCAGAAAAGAATAAACCTTACACATGCAAGGTAGTAAAACGTACATGATATTATCACCAGCCCTCACATCAGACACTATGGAATCAGTAAGACTTTTCCTTTTCAGCTCAGTGAGATTCTGAAGCAAGGCCAGAGTTCCCAGGCTATCTTTTAACAACCAAAAACTCCAAATAGCAACCTGATTTTCAATTGTACTGCTGTCAAAAAAGCTGGACAAATTCAATACAAATATTTTATTCATTATACTCTGGGGTGAAATTGAAGGAGAAAAACCCCAGATGGATTTAGCAGATCCAGGAGATGCCGTCCAGCTGCATTTCAGTATACTGTTAATATGACTCAACAGCTACTGCAAGAGGCTGCAGAGGCAGTGTAGCTGTATGGTATGACATTAGAGAAAGTACTAAGAGCCAAATAAACTTTTCCCTCACAAATTCTGGAAGAGATACACAAGGAGGATATAAAATGAAGCAAAAGAAAAACACTAGAGTGTGAAACAGCAGAAAGAAACAAATCCAAGAGAAAAAGAATTCAAAATTTAGAAGTCTAAAACCCCATACAATTATGAAAAGAATTTAAAACCATAACCATGAATTTTGTTACAAGATTTCATTAATTAATAGCTATAAATGAATATGTATTAAACTTGCATTTAGTAAGATGACAGGACTCCAGAGAAACCAAGAGACTTGTCACCACTCATTTTCGGAACTAAACAATTATTGTCTTTCTGAAAATGTACTAGAAACCTACTTAATTTGTAGATTTAGCACTACAATATTTTACTCATTAAAGCTTCAGATAAAACAGATTCTCTTCCAGAGATCTGTCTAAATAGAAACTCAAGGCTTGACAGACATATTAAAAAAAGAGGTTTAGCATTTGAAATAATTTAATTCACACAGGAGGTATCACAAACTCCAGAGATCTATAAAGCAAGGCTAATTGAGTTTTGCTTTCATGTAGGTTGCCTGCATGAAAACAGTGTGATGGCATGTTGAGCTTTCCTGTGTTTAGAATGTCAGTAATGATAGTATTCGCAACACAGAAACCACTGGATGCACTGGATCTTTCCATTTAAAAGAACAGTTTAATCTCACACTTACCTTCCCTGTCAGAACAGAAGGAAATTCTGTATCAAACTTGTTGCTCAAGCCAAACCTTGAAAACAAAAGAGACAAACAAAATATATTCCACCTAACTTACTTTGTTTCCCTTAATAAAAAAATGTAATAGATTTTGTTCTTAAAAAAAAATAAAACAAAAAACTATTAATTTCTTTTGCCCTTACATTTACATTATTTCATGAGCTTTCAATCTAAGTTTATATAAGGTCTCGTGTATTTACAAGACAGAGAAATATAGTTTGTTGCCTTACTTCAATACCTTCAAGTCACTAGAAGCACAAAAATTCTTCTATGATTGCATGGCAGTAAGTTTCAATCTTTCCTTCAAAAAAAAAACCCTCCAGCTATTAAATTCCAGTTTTACTAGGTTCAATAATCCTTTCACTGCTATTTCTCTTACTCATGCAATTTATTCACATGCAACAGATAAAGCTAGTTATAAGGAACCCATTCATCATCATCTCAGCTTTATAACCATATAGTTTTAAAAAATTGCTTTGGGCTGAGTTAATCCATCTCATGCAAAACATGTAAGAGCCTACACAAAAACAAAACAGTTTAAAAACAACTATGAACTTCAAGAAAATTCAGTCCTAGGTATCACTGTGACTATTCTTCATTAAACTGTTGTTGGTTTTCAGCAAGAGTTCAGTCTTCCTAACAAGTGAAAACTACAAGGAGCTAGACTTTGCTTGTAAACCTATGTTACCATTAGCTCCAAAACTACTGGAACCAACTGAAATTTCCAAGAAGCTAGTGCTGTAGATCAGCAGGATATCAACACTGCAGGCTGACTTGACTTTTTTAGTTAAAGCACGTAAGTAGGCAAGAAGTTAACTAAGCTCTGATGCTAAACCTGCTGGCTACTGAAGAACAAGAACTCTCATCTCCCACTCCTTCTACCCGAATTGAAATCTTGAATCTTCACAATTCACTAATTTAAGAAAATACAACAGCAGCTGGCCTCTCAGCTACAACCTTTATGTTTGAACAGAGCTTAATGCTAAATTTGTAACAGTTAAATATACTCTACACCAAGCCCACTGTCAGCTCTGCTATACTATCTCCTGAGTATTTTTATTCAAAAAAAGGAAAAAAAAAAAAACAAACAGAAGGATGACAGCCAAAAAGGAGCATAAATACAGTTGGTATTGTAATATTTATTGTAGAAACAAACCTTCTGGAAAGAGAGTAGTTGCTTTGAGTCGAACTGACACCTGAAGTACTCCCTACTAGTCACTTGTACAAATACTAGTATTGCTGAAATGACAGCAGTCCCCTATCACTATATAATACAGACATACCCACATGCACAGTGTAAAAATTCAGATATCCAAACCTGGCAGTCTATCTTGTTTAGAAATATACAAAAACGTAAAATGAACATTAAAGAAGAGAGAAGCATAATAAAGGAACTTGTGCTGTCTTTAGAAAGCCAGTAAGCTAATTAAAATATTTATCAGCAATACTGGTGGAGTCCAATCAAGTTCTTTCAATAGCTAATTTCAGTCAGAGCCTTGATTCTTGTAAAGAGCAGCACATTGGAGCACTAGTTGTGTAAAACATTAAAAAAAACCCCACAAGTTTCTCAACCTTTGTCTCTTAAACTATTCTAAGCACTATAACCAATTGCCACCTACTTGTGTTTGTTTCATTCAATATATTTTCACTGAAAAGTTTCTAGAGGTGAATGCGTGCAAACTAAACATCAGCATAGCATGGGCTACTGCATATCCAAGTGAACTGGAAAGCCATGATATTAGTGCTACAAAAGCAAACAGTAAAAACAAGATTTTAGGCAAGCATAAAGGTTGCTAATATAAGTACATTTCCATTCTCTGTGAATGTAATCTGGCAAGTCAGTCTCCATATTTTGTAGCTTTTATTTTTAAACTGAAGTCTTCCAAGTTGTATTATACTATGTATTTATTTTTAAGGAAGCCTGAAGAGCAATGTGGTAGTCTTTTCAGACTTTAAAAAAGAAAATCCAGAAAAGACTAACGATAGGAAGCACATATGCAAGCTTGCTTTGAGGAATACAGACTTTTCTGTATATCAGCAATGAAACTACCTGAAACGATCATTAAGTCGCAGCAATCAGACAACATAATAAATGAACTACTGGAAAGCTCAGGTAATACTGCAGAATTATTTACTCTACTCACATAACTGACTAGTTCCACTAAATCATGCCAAAGGTCCACCTAGGTCAGAACACTGACTCTTACAGTGGCCAGTAGCAGATGTCTAGGAAACAGCAAAAGGAAAAAGAAAAGGCACACATGTACTAGCATTTCCCCAGAACACTCTTCTGACCTTCAATTCATAGTTCAAAACCTTTCTAAGCCATAGGTAGTGTCTTTTATCTCATTGGTCACTTATTAACATTCCCACTGTACCACCAACTTCCATAAAGAATAACATATATTAGTGCTTTCCGATTTAAATCTGTTAAGAACACAAGACCACAATATATTACATCAAATTTGAAGGCTGATAATGTCATGAAACATATTTAAAACCCAAAACTTTTATCAGTTGCCGAAACATTCCATTCAGTTATAACACATCCAAGAAACCGCAGTAACAGAAATGCTTCTCTTTTACAGTGACACCTGCAAATGGCTAAAAGAATATAAAAGGTTTTGACTATACTGAAAACAGGATAATGCCATGTTATAATACTATGTTTAGTCAGCATTACCGATGGCCTGTAGCAGAGTTTTACTAAAGTGTCTCTAGAAGTCTTACAGACTATACTTGTGATTATTTACCATATAGTTCAGAAACATTAAACTCCTATTAGATGGGGCAGAGGGAACTCAAGGACCAGATTAAAAAAATACGTATTTTTTTATAGAAATGTTAAAGCAGAATGTTATATAGTTCTACAGCTTTGCAAACAACTTTGTAAAAGTACTGAAGTATTATTAGAATATTTAATGTAACAAAGGTAAGACCTAAAGTCTTGATTAAGAGGTTAGTAACTTCACTAGACCTTCTACAACAGACTAATGATCTAGTATTACTTGGCTTATGAAGTCTTCCAAAATTCAGTATATTTAAAAATAGATATGTAAAATAAATTAAAGCACCTGTCCTTTAAATCATTTAAAACATCAGTTGGTGGCAACTTATTTCTGGCCTAGTTTTCTGGCTCCTCAGTGAAAGCTGCCCAAAGCCTAATATTTAGAAATTCAGATAAGTCACCCATATATTTCCGCTGCAATTTCCTCACTGGATAACCAGTATCTCCAAAAGCAAGGCACTGTTTCATATTGGCAACACCACTGGACTAGAACTAGGATGCCCTCACTTTCTAGTTCTTCTGTCCCTCTTTCCCAGTTTCGATGTATGGCATCGGACAAGTCCCATCATCTCATTTCCCCCCATTTGTAAAACGGGGAGAATGCAACCTCTCGTAGTGAGCTGCAATAAGATATATTCATAAATCCCTCAAATTAAAGGCTGAAATGAACACCCTGAATCATCAGTTGCAAACCCCACATGCAACAGGTATCACATTATAAAATTGTTTCCATGAGTTTAGAAAGTATAAGGAAGTAAGGTTTCCTATCCCCAGAACTGAAACAGGAAAATATTGGAAAACACTCTTATCTAGAACAGACATATTTGCAGGTACTTTACCTTTTTTTCCACTGGACTTAAATAGTGCTTCATTCTCATTTATTCCACTACTGTATTTATAGATAGTAATCACTCTTACTAGACAACACAAGCTAAACCTGTTCAGTCAACTCTTGTACAGTAGGCTCTCCAACCTCCTTTCAGCATGGCTCCTTTCCCCATGCCTCATCCAGGTGACGTTTAACCTATCTTGAACAGACAAACTCAGATCCTACAAACTATTCTTTATGAGGTACCATCTAAGCTTTGTCCAGATTACTGAAGAGCCCTGAGCTGAAATCTCCCTGAACACTTAATACTTCTCTTCCTAGCCTAGGGACTTTTCCTATGAAGCCAACAGAACTCCTGAAGAAGATCCTCCTTACCCATGGATGTTTTGGAAAACTAAGTTTTTGATAACTAGTGGAAGGCTGAGGTCATTTACTATTTTAAATATGTGGAATCTGATATTTTAAATAAGCAGAAGGTGGAGTAATATCAGACAGTAATCAAATGTCATCTTATCACAACTGAGAGCACCTGGCTCTTCCCTGCCTTCTCTAATTGATGACAATATGCTTTTCCTTAGTGCCTGGATTGTGGATGCCTGGGGCACTCCTGCAGAAAATATAATGGAATAACAAAAGTTAACTTGTATCCAAAACTAGGAGGTTTGCAGACTTCAGCAAGAATCACGAGCTGCATACTAAAGGCAAAACTATGCTTAATGGCTATTTCATTATCTCATTACTATACATCCACAGGGACTTAACGATATAGAAAAATTATATCGGATAAATAAAAAATTATACCAAGTTAGTTTGTTTAGTGTTCTGTTTTTGAAAATTACTGTCATTGCTTTGGTAGGCATATGACTCAGCCTTTGTTAAAAATGTTTATGTTTGGATACGCTAACCAGAGTCACACTGACTATGCAAGAAACAGTGAACAATGAGTTTATAACTCATTAAAATGAAACTTCAGAAGCAAAGAAAAGGCATTTACTAGGCCCTTGTAATTTCTTTGTGCTAAAATTCAAAAGCTTTCTGAAAACAATATATATGACTGATAGTTAATTTTTTCAAAGTATGAATCTTCTAGAGTGAAAGAACGTCGAACAACATGAGCATAAATTTTGCTAACCACTTTCACATACATTCTCTCTCTGTGAGTAAAATAAACCAAATACACTTTATATGATCACTCTTACCATGCACAGGGGTAAAAGGGTTAGCAAAACAGTCAGTAGAGAAAGCCAGATCCTGCTAAAAATCCTCAGAAGATTCTTGGAATTTATATTTAGTACTGTTGGATATTGCAGTAGAACTCTGTTAGGGTCAGCATCTCACTGCCAAGGTCATAAGAATAAAAACTTTCATGCAAGAAACTAATACGTAGTTAGAATCTACTAACTTGGGAGTTTTATAAGAGGACTGTACATGAAAAGCTGGACCAGAAGATGACCTTGGAATTAGAGAATTATCCCTTCTCTATACACCAAAAGTATCCAATAAGGCCAGCATCAGATGAGGAACAGAAGGCATATGAAACAAAAATCCAAGGAAAACAATGTGTTTTAAAAAAAAAACAAACCAAAAAGTGTTGTGGTTTTTTTTTTTTTTTTTTTTTTTTTTATTAATAGAGTGTCTAACTTGTCAGAACATAAATTTTTATCAGCGGTGTTCCAGACAGGTTCAGAAAACAAACACAAGTTTTACTTGATGATGTATCTCACTTCAGTAACTAGAGCAGGCCGCTTCTGAAGCCAACTGATTTCAAAAGCAGCAGCATCTGTGTGATCAAAAAGCGACAGAATTTCAGAGCTGATACATACTAACCAGAAACTCTTTAGGAAGCAAAACACTTCCCACTTAATAAAGAGGTTAGGATTACATACTATAGTGTCCAGGGTTTATTTGCATTTTATCGATATCATCCACTAGCTGTTTTTATTAATGTAAGGAGACTTAAAAATGCATCATGAACTGATAAAAGCCGCCTTCTACCATTGAAGTAGGTACGGGAAGAATGCTGGGGGTAGTGGAAGAAAGGGAAAAGGTAGATGGGAATTCAGTTCAGGCAGTTATGAGGACATATATGCTAGCTCATAATTCCCACATCACATACAACTACTGCTTTCTTTTGATGTAGACATCACTAGTTGACAGAGCTCTTGGAGATGCTCCTGCCCATCCCCAAAAGATGCTGGGGCCAAGAAGGAACTTTAAGGAACATCACTAATACACAAAAAAACATCACAGCAGACAAAGCAAATAAGTGTGTAACTTTTTTTTCCAGTTTAGAGCTTACAACCAGGTAACTATTAAGATGTGTATGCGGTATTCTAATCATCTGGCTTGTGTTACATCCCTCCTTCGGTCAGGTCACATGTTATTTGGGGTCAGGACAGAAAGAAATTCCATCAACACAAGCAAGTACACTGCGGTGCAGCAGAGCAAGTATCCACTGGCAGTAGCTCAATGCAAACCTGATTTAGACTTACATGACGGACACAGTATCAAATCCAACATTAGGATGAGAGAGAGCCTTCCCCACCCAGTGTTTTTGCTGCATAGCTAGATCACACTGCACCTATTTACAGAGAGAAATGGGCGTTCTTTTATGCAATCCAAAGAGACTCAAAGCAACACAAGCTTGATGGATCTCTACAATGCAAAAATTTCAATACCTCCCTCCCTGCCACAAAAATGAATGTAACAGCCAACAACTTGTTATGGATGTACTTTGTTATATTAATTCCTCTACTTGCAGGAATACTAAGAAAATCCCTAAAAGTAAACATTACACATAAGGTCGCAAAATTTGCTCATCTTCTGTTCCAACTGTTTAAATGAGTAGCCAACATTCTAGCTTATGTCGTGTTCTAGTGATAAAAACGCTTAACCTACACCAAACTTGAAACTAAGTTTGGAGCAGATAAACCACAACACAGCCATGTGCCTCCTCTGCAGTGCAGTGTGGGGGCTCCACGGCTCAGCTGAGACAGGGAAGGGTCACAGGGAACAGACTGCACATCCTCACATCGTGTGGCGTTTGCTTTTTATCGAACAAATTTGTTTGGGAAAACAAGTACACTCAGGCCTGTCCGGGCTGATTAGCTGCTGCTTCTGAACAGCCAACTGAACTTCAGGTGTTCGTTCATGACTTTGGGTTGCCTCGAGCGACTGGAAAATACAGATCTTCCTGTTTTAAACACGCTAAAAAGAAAACTCCTCTCACAAAACAGGCGGGGGGGGGGGGGGGGGGGGGGGCTGCAGATCAGGGTAACGCGGGCATCTCGCCTCCTCGGGTGAGGGGAGGCTGGGCGGGGGAGGGCAAAAAGGGACAGGACAGAGTCCCCCCTCGCGTCTTCACACCCTCCCCGTCCTGCCAGCCGACACCCATGTCCCGGCAGCTCGGTGCCGCGGCAGCCCGGTGCGAGCTCCCGCCCGGCCCCCGCCCCGCCACACCACACCGGCCTGTCACGCTGCCTCATGCCCGCCACCCCCCCTCCCCGCTCCTTACACAGTGATGTGCCCGGCGCCCCGTACCGCTACGGGATCCGGCGCATCGCGGGGCCGGGGCAGCTCCTGGCTCCGCACCACAGGCTCGGACTCCTCCTCCTCCTCTTCCTCCTCCTCCAGCTCATAGATAGTGTCGAAGTCCGCCATATTGGGGAGTAGTACGCTCATCTCAACCCCACCCCCCCACGCTCCCCCCCCCCCCCCGCACCGCCTCGCGCCGCGCGCCTGCGCACTGCGGGGGGGCGGAGCGCAAGCGCAGAGGCGCCTGTGGGGGCGTGTGCGCGAGCGTGTGGGAAAGGATTGAGGCGGGAAAAGCTGGGGAGGGGGGGGGGGCGGGCAGGGCAGGGCAGTTCAGTTTAGTTTAGCCCCACGGGGCGGAGAGACTGGAACCGGCACCGGACTGCCCGCCCGCCTGCCCGCCCCGTGCCCGGCAGGGAGCGCCCGCTGAGGGGAGGCGGGCATCCCCCCTGCTGCCGCCTCTCGGGAGGTGGAGCCCGGCGGGGGGGGCGTTGCGGCTGAGGGGAGCCGGCTGCGCCCCTTCCCCTTCCCGCCGCGCGCCCCTTCCCCTTCCCGCCGCGCGCCCGGGGCGGGAGTCGCTGAGGGAAGGAGGGGGCGGCCCGCCCGCCTGCCGGCGCGGCAGGTGGTGCTTCGCTGCGTTTCACCCTTTTTCCAGGTGTATTGCTGCGGCGTTTTAAATAAAAACAGCCGGGTGGCTACCTTCCCCTTGTCACTTTTCGTTTTTAGCTGCCCGCTTGCTTTAAGTTTTACTCGGGCCGCTCACTGGGGAGGAAGATGCGCGGAGGCTGAGGTGAAGGAAGAGGGGGGTGATATTAATGACGAGGCCAGTGGTTGTTGAATTTTTCTGGGGCTTTAGATGATTTTCTGGGGTTTGTCGGATTGGAAATCGAGTTGAGTCCTGCAGGGTAATGGGGTGGTGTGAGGGAAGAAAATCCACATAAGAGTTCCCAAATTGGGGAAAGAAAAACAGAACAGTTGAAAGCAGAGAAGTGCTCCTCTACTTAGTGTAATAATTACTGAGGTAATGTTAAGCACTATATTAATCACCTACTGTAAATTTGGTGTTTTTAATGGCGTTAGAGGAATTAGAAATAAAAATCTGAGAGGATTTTTGTGTATGTGCATGTTGTTTGCCTTTTTATTTGCTGTTTTAATTTTAGTTTGTTTTATTATTAGTGTAGCTACTATAAAGTGATGTGTTTGGTCTGGGGTGTGGTCAAATCTGAATTCCTGACCCACAGCTCCTGTAAGGAAGGGACCTCACCTCTTCCTAAAAGAGTGGGTCTCCATCCCTCTCTGCTGTTCTTTGGAAAAGACTTCCCTCATAAATTGTGTTTGCTGTTTTTCAGGACTTTCTAGACTGCAGCAAAATGTAGTGGCCTTGATTGTGAGAATTTTTACTACTTCCGAAAGCAAAATTGTATGAGCTACAGTTTTATCAGTGCCACGTACTCTTACTTCAGCATATTATCCATCTTATGTGGAGTTGCAGGTAAATCACACTATTATGACTTAAGAAAAAAATCTTAAATAAGGGACAAGATATTGTTATAAAATAAAATATATGTTTTATGTTCTCCCATTTTTGTCAAAATGATTTTTTATTGTTTAGTGATGAATATCGTAGATAAATTGCAGGGAAACTATGTCTGAGACAGAACATATCTCACTGTCATTGACCAAATACTAAAAATATGACCTATTTAGGAACATTCAAAAAGTGGAAAAAATTCTATAACTGAGGATGTAATATTTCTTCCATTCATCTTCATTTGTATATACATGATTGGTATTCATAACCCATGGAAAGAAAGTCTTGAAACCACTGAAATAAAGTTCTATATGGGGTTACTAATAAGGTACCAGCCTTTATTTTACTCTCAGTTAAATTCAAGGTGTCTGTTTTAACTGACGTGGAAGTCAAAATGATAAAACTTATAATCAGACCTGAGAACACTTTAAGAAATTATGGGTCTGATGCTGTGCACTGACATTACAGACTTTAATATTTAGTTGAGATTATCTTAGTTTTTAACGGCTTTGGTGAACAGACCATGAGAAAATTAATTATATTTAAAATATAACTGCAGGGGATGTAACCTGCTGTCTTTCTGGCCAGCATTTCCTATGAGTGAGCTCAACACAAGCTCTGGGGTTCAAGGCTGTGGGCTGTTGCTGAGCAGAAGTCAGACAGCTCTGGGGCTCTTTCAGAGCATCCATGGAACAAGTTCGTGCAACATGGAAGCTTTTGCCAACACTGTCACCACAGAATGCAGAATAAAATAGTGGAAACTTAATTGCTTTATGTTCTTCACTCTGCTACAATGCTTCTCGTTTTCTTAAAGCTTTGTATGATGACTGTTTTTTATAAACCCTGCTTCTTAGAATAAGGGTTTTATAAGCCTTATGCTTCTATTTCTTAGAATATGTTAAGCTGACAAGTGAAGAATTTTTACAGGTGCTTCCCTACTCAAAGAAGTAAATTGAATAGAGGGCCCCAGGTAGGGTTTCTAACTCTTACCAAGATATGAAATGTCTTGTTTTAAATAATTAGAATAAGGCATGTTTGTGAAGATACTTGCTATCATTTTCTGTGTTTAACTGTAAGTTTCTGTACTTCTCGATTAACATTGTTACTTTACCTGAACTGTGGCCTTGCAATACTCCCATTAATGGAATTGTCAGAATGTCAGTAGCAAAGATTTCTTGTCCACTTGTAACTGCATCTCTGTAACCCTGTGAGTTGAGAGATCCTGTCCCTACCTGCTAAAGTATGTATGATTTTGAGTGTATGTGTATTTTTATAAAACTAAAATGACTCTTGTGGAAATTGCATTGATATAAAGTATTTCGATTTCAAAATACTTTTCTACAAAAATGTCTCACCGCTGAAACTAAGCGGCTCTGAGTGAGGGATGTCTGATAGCTTAATGACCAATTGAATGACAAAAACCAAAATACAGTGATAAACAGTGTCTTCATAACAGGAAAAGATTACTAACGAAGTCCAACAGCCACAAGTGCTGTTCCCCATAACTATAAATTAGTTGGAATAAGAGGGTGACCAACTTTGTCACTGAGATGTCTCACTGTCTTTTGGCAAAACTGGCTCTGTGCTGCACAGAGCTGGAAAGGTGAGGGAGTTAACCCTGTTTTAACCTTGTCTGACAATTTATGCATATTTCTTTGCATAGCACTTACATACATAAGGGAAAAAGGTAAACCATGGGAACAGGCCATTACAGGTGGCTAAGGAGCAGTCCACAGCCTGCTTATGTGAATAAATGAGAGCAAAAGAGGCAACCTGGGAGAGTTGTAGTCTGGGATTTCACATGGTCATGACACTGCCGTACTGACATGATCCAGCTTTTGCTGGCTTGGGATGTGTATCAAGCCCTTTAATAAGATTTGTGCCAGAATTTTAAAGCGCTCAGGACCCGCCTTGAATGCTATAAAGCCAAGCCCACTTCCTGTTCCCTTGCACGTGTTCAGTTTTGTTCAAATAAAAAACTTGAAAATTTCAGACAGATGAAATAAAATGAGAGACAAGCAGTATGTGTACTATAAAGTGAAATAAAGAAGCTGTGTATTTGTCTGCAAGGATTGATGACTTTAACATTAGATATGACAATGATGAGATGCAAGTGGTAGTGAAAGGTGTGTCAGTGAGATCCGGCAGTGGTATCATGCATGTTTAATTAAAAAGCCTACAGTTTAATGCAACTGATGTTCTAATTTAATAAATAAGCTAATGCTACAGATGCTTAAATGGACAGAAGTCAGCATTTAGTTGAATTAAGACATGAGTTCTGTAAGGTGCTGAAACTGGTGGTAAAACAATTTGCTGAAGTGTGAAATAAGGAAGTGTAGAGTTTGGGCATAATATGCTGTGTGTCCTCTTTATAATGAGTGTCTGAGGTATCAGCAAATTAAGAAAGGAAGTCTCTAACTGAAAAAGATAGTTTGCTATACTAGCTTCGTATTTAATGTCTTATGCTTTTTAATTAATAACTTGAAGTCAAAGTTCAGCTGAAGTAGACTCTTTTTTTTTGTGGGTTCTCTTCTCTCCTATCAGGAATGATGACTAACTGGGTAAAAATAGACCATTTTAGCACAACGCCTTTTGTAACCCCTATCTGTGTTTGAATAATGCCTGCCTAGTATTGTGTTTCAGATGTAAATACTGTAGGGAATTTTTTTAGTATGATTTATCAAAATTTATGGCTTCACAGGAAGAAGTATTTTAATGCTGTCAATACTTTTTTTAGGAAGCTGTTTATTAGATGAAACAAATTATGTCATAAAAACTGAATGATTTCTGGAGAGATTATGGTCTCTGGCAATGTTTATCTGCCCAAATCACTTCCTTTCTTGGAATAAAAAATGTTGTTATTTAGATCACGAAACACAAAAAGAGAGTGCAGGAAAGCTAGGAGTCAAAAGAAAGGCTAGTATTAAATAAAAGTGCTATTGAGAGAACATGGAAAATGAATGCTAACATGGTTCTAAGAGATACTGAGTCTTCTTCCAATGGATTTTTTTCCTCCTTTGTTCCACATAAATCTCCACCGCACAGTCGTTATTCAGAAGGATGAATATGCAACAAGAGATGCCATATTGGCTGTCATAATTTACTCATTTCAGACACTTGTGTGTTTCAACAAAGGAAGAGGTTGTTGGATAATAAGAGTATACTCTTGGATGTTGGAGACTGTATTTTAAGGGTGGTGAACAAATGAACCATCATGTTTCTTGATCAACATCGACTCACGAAGTGGAGGGGATTCAGAATTTCAGGGCCCCACAGGAGAGATGAACGCCTCAGTTTTGATACCACAGAAGTATTAATTTTTTCAAAGAGAGTGAACAGAATAAACAGTATTGGACCTCATCTGTCAGTCAGCCCCCTTCCTGAGTCAGTTTACCCAAACTGAGATTACTGATTCCTTTGTGAGAGGAAGAGAGAGAATGAGTTCAGAATATAAGCCCTTGAGAGTTTTTTTGATGGTGGGGAGTGTTGGGGAGGCTTTAGTGCCTTGTTTGTTGGGCTTTTTTGCCTGGTTAGCTTGTTTTTTTAGTTCGTAGTGTGAAAAATTCTGGAAAGACTGAAATAAACTCATAGAAGAAATCAACTGATAGGATGTGGCGGTTAATAATGAGGTGTCTCT